TTAAACAAACTGCTTTTCCTAAACATGTTCAAATTCTACTTGGTTTGACACACAAAAGAAGTATAATGTTGTATGGTCTTTGTACAGACTTTGTACGATTTAAAGCAAATAAAAACAATCGACTGGTTTCATCCGTGAGTTATTTAATTGACAAGGGAAGTAGGCTAATGAGTCAAAAAGGTTAATTAGCTTGCTGTGAGGATTTTCGATTTTTAATTGGCTTACCGTTGCTTCTGCCAGTCGTTGCCATATCCACTGCTTCAGCCCCTGCCCCAGACTTTACCCATGCCCATACTCATACACATACACAAGTTTCCTTACCTACAGGTGAGAAACAGGCCGGGCCGCGCCCACTTCTGAAGCCTAGCTTAGGCCCGAGCCCCAACGTTTAAGCCAATGTTGAATGAGCCCAATCCCAACAGAACACCAGCTTCAAACTCATATCTAATCTTCGAATTGTGAGTTTTCCAGGTGTGAGAGTTGAGAATAAGGTAGCATCCACGGTAGGACATAAAGCAAGATCGTATCTTCAAAGCTTCTCATAAAATTTCAAATTTTAGTTTTTTAAAAATTTTAAAATTTTAAATTTCAAAACTTTTATAAAAATTTGAAATTTCACTAAAATTCATAAAAAGTCGTTTTTAAACTTTAAGATTAAAGAATAATAATAATAATTTTGTGTAGTTTAATAAAGTTTTAATTCCAAACCCGATCACAAGTCATCATAGCCTGCAAGAACAAAATAGTGCTGTTGCCCAAAGCATGATACATTGTTTTATCAGCCAATGGCTTCATTTTCTGTTGAGCCTGTTCAAAATCATTGTTCAAGAACAAATCCATGGCCGCCTTGGCCTTGGGTACAGTGCCATGCGCACAAGTTGTGAAAGATAGGCAGCACATTCGTACCTATTTACTCACCGCTTTCTGCATTCGAATTTTGGCCCGTTGCCCTGGGAACAACATAACTTTACCCAACCCCACGAAAACAAAAGAATATAACTATTAATAACGATTTGAGTAGACACTAACGAGTAACGTCAAATCTTGTTTTTGGGCCGCTAATGTTCTCGTTATCAAGAAAAACAACCGAAACGATAATACCGTGTTTGCAAAACCAAACTTAATCTACACCAACGTTAATTCTGGCAAATGAAGTATAATAACTATTCTTCTTTCAACATTATCAAAATAAAAAGATGAAGCAGAATTCAAAAGCCCTTACCTAGATGCAAGGTCCTCATGTCAAACCTTAAAACACCGAAAACCTTCCGATATCGTAAGAATCTTCCATGCAAATTACAAAGATCAAACATTTACTACACAATAAAACAATATGGATTTATTCATAACAAAAAACTCAACAGATCCAAATTTAGATGTTGCTTGGGTAAAGCATCACTCGCACTCTCTTGCCCATGGCCGATGGGGGGAGGTTGTGGCGGAACTTGGCGCGGACTGATCCTGTGTTACCGTGAGCTCGGGTGACGCGGCCCCAGATGGCTCTCACGCGAGTCTTCTCGTGACCTCCCTTGGCGACCTTCTTCTGGGCTTTGTACACGTAGACGGCGCGCTTTCCAACGTAGAATTGAGCTTCCCTGGTGTCGTGAACATTCTCCAACTTCAGCAGGGCAGTGTTGACTTGTTGGTTTCTTTGTCCTCGCTTGTAGCCACTGAAGACGGCGCGGACGTAGAGGCGACGACCATTTGGAGCACGAGCGGTTTTTGTGGTTTCAGACATGATGAGTGTCGGTATAAACCTGAAAGTCATTCGAGATTAAATAGTAAACGTAAGCTAAAATCAAAAAGTACAGAGCGACAATAACGCGTCCCTTCCCCAAAAGCAAAAAAAATATTAAGGATTGTTTATGAGTATGTACACATAGATAAGAGTAAAGTGTAATGAGATCATTCTTCATCTTCTGAAGATGAACCATAATTTCCAACCAAAGCTCCTAAAACAGCAGCTCTATTAGAGACAGGTTTGCCAGTCGTTCCACCAGCTTTGTCGACCAATATAGAAGTTGATGTTGAACATCCAGGTTCTTCTGGCATCTCAATAGGTAATGATGATCCAATCTGTGCAATGCTAGTAGAAGCAGAAGTACGAGGAGCTAAGAGACCATTTGACGACGAAGGAGTATCCGATGTAATAGAAGACGAAAGAACTTCGGATTTAGGCTTCACTTCTTCTTTAACCTTTGCTTTCTTCTTTATAAATCCAGCAAGTAAATTCGGAGCATTTCTTTTAGCAGGTGCTTTCCATTGAATCTTCGAACTAGATGGCTTTTGTTCCTCTTCTGCCACTTCTTCCGTCTCTTCTTTAACTTCAACCTTCTTCTTAGCCATCAATCTCTGAACTTCTTTTTCATCTTCTTCTTCTTGTAACTTGTGGCGTTGCGCTTGAGTTAGTTGCACGTCCATCTGTTGAGAATCCAAAAAGCTTATCAAGTCGACCTTGTTGTTCCTTCTGTTCATTTCCTGAAGCTCTCCTAACTTGTGAACGGCTTCCATTTCAGCTCTACTGGCTTCTGTTCTCTTCTCCAATACTTTCATAGGATCATTCTTCTCTGCTTCCTCTAACTCTTCAGCTTCTTTTTGCTTTTGTTGGTAGTATTTTGCAGCTTCAAAAAGTCGGGTGGCTCCATGTTCCATCTGGTAGTCTACATTCTCAATATCTGTTTTGAATACAAGCTCAGCGAGGCAGTTTGGACATCTGAAAGTATACAAGGTTGAAAAAATAGTCTAAAAGAGCATTTTAAAAACATATTTTTTCAGTTTACCAAAAGCAATGAAAAAGAGTGTTTTTATCAAATCTAGAACATCTAAAGTATAAACATATCTTTCAAAATGTATTTTTTGGCCTTAAAAGCTTAGTAAAAACAATATATTAAACCATAAAGCCTAAACTTAAAGACTAAACCTAAAATGTTCGTAAAGAATAAAGTTACGAATAATTATTGTCTACTACACCATCATATCCTTCAAAACACTTCTTTCCTTTACCTAAAATCAAAAAAAAACATAGAGAAACCAACTTACCTGAAGTAAAACCTAAAGATCTTCAATCCCAAATAGTCTTCACCTTGTGCTGTTTCTCGTCTCATGTTAAACTTCTTTCCTTTGTGCTAAAATATTCAAAAAGAATTAAGTTACGTATACTTATTGTCTACTACACCATCAAATCCTTCAAAACACTTCTTTTCCTTACCTAAAATAAAAAGAAAACATAGAATGATCCACTTACCTGAAGCAAAACCTAAAGATCTTCAATCCCAGATAGTCTTCACCTTGTGCTGTTTCTCTTCTCATGTTAAACTTCTTTCCTTTGTAAATATAATCGGTACATTTATTACACTGCATGTTGAATGGGGCCATCACACGCTGAACGAACTGTGAACTTCCCTTCTTTCCCTGAGCTTTGGTGAACTTGTTTGGATCAAAATCCGGTTGTCAGTATTTCTGAAATAAAGTTAGGTTAGAAGTCTAATTTAGCAAGTTTAATTACATGTAGGCTCAAAAAGGCCAAAAACAATAACTCTATATAAATAAAGGTATCAGATCTTAGCCAAAAGATCTTAATTCCAGTTTTTCATAACTTCTAAAATTAAAAATTTTTAGTTTTTATTTCAACTTTATTTTTTCAATTTTCAAAAACCAGAAACCTAAAAATCAGACAAAAAACAACAAAAACTCACAGCATTGCTCAATTCCAAGAATAAATCAGTACAACGGTTGGGCTTTTAATATAAGCTAGTAAAAGAACAAATAAAGACCTTTTTTTAGTAAAGCAGTCTTTGTGGTTTCAGACATAATGAGTGTCGGTATAAACCTGCAAAAATACAGATAAAATTCCAAAGCCAAAATCATTTTAAGTCTCTGAAACCACGAATAAAAGATAAAAAACAAACTAACACAATATATATATACTAAATTAACAAAAACTATCCAAAAAAAAACCTATTTTTAGCCATTTATAAGCTAAAGTCTTATAAAAAAACATTATTATTTTTCCGAATTAATTTTTCGCTCTGCAACGAAATGCCATAGATTTTTTGGTCATGCCACGAAAACGCTTGCATGTTTTTTTTCAAGAAAAATATTTTTTTGAGAAAAAAATAAGTTCGAGGTATGTTTTTCCATTTGTTTTTTATGCTTTTAGGGAAATTTGAAGGGCTATGGCAATGTAGGTGAAAAAAAGAAATGTATATAATATTATTTTCAGTCTTATTCTACTCTACCTTGTCTTACTATGACTTTCTCCCGTTTTCTTCCTACTTTATCTTAGTTTAATTTGCTCAATTGTTTTAAAACCGCATTACGTGGGCTATTTTACATCGCGCTAAAGGCTAAATATTATATAAACTTACCAATATTAACCTCTTTTTTCGTTAATGGCGGTCGTCTGGATGTTCGGTATTGGCTGCTGGAGATTCAGTTTCTGCCTTGGGCGAGCTGAAAATAAAGTTTTGTATATTTAATAGGAATATTCGACAATATCTTTCAACTTTTTGTAATATATTAACTTACTCTATGGGAAACACTATATTATTACTATGGAAGTAACGAGCACTAATAGGTTCAAACGATGAGCCATACACAAGGAATCCTAATGCGTTGATAAAACCGTGGGCATGTAGCCAGAGGTACTCCTTCTTGGTCAGTATCCAATTTAATGTTGATAATTGGGTCCTTTCTTTCTTGTTTTTTTTCCTTTTTGTCTTCAACGCGTTTCTCAACTTCCGACATTCATCAAAATGGTTAAACTGGAACACTATACTTGCTTTTGGGAAGGGCATGAACGGTGCAATGGGCTCTGGTCGCCTTATGATTCCATGTGGTTTTACCATACTTTCCAAGTAAGCCTCCTGGTCCATCGTTCTGTTGATAGCGTGATTTGGGCAGAACTGTATTATATTGACATTAACGGGGGTTTAGGTTTTTTTATTTACATAAAATTAGGCTTTTATGCCTCATGGTTATATATTGGAGTGGTTTCTTATTTTTCGATTGTTTTCACTTATTTCTTTTCATTACGATACATATCTTAAAGTGTAGATTGGAAAGAAAAGAATGGCGAATTCAAAAATTCGGACCCGTCGGTCCGGACCGGACCCAAAAGGCAAAACTCTGCCGAGGGTAAAGTCACCTGTTTTATTTTTATTTATTTGCTTAGCGTCAACAACTAAGCAAATACTAAATAAACTAATATACCAAATATTTATAATTTAATAAAATCGACCAAATATTAAAAAAAGCTGGGTTTTGCATCAATTTGGAGTAACAATTCCACAGGTTGACGAAACATTAATGTAGTGAGTTGTGGTGTGAGGAATTCACTGACGAAGCCCACTGACCTAATCGTGTTATAAACCAAGTATCAATATGTATCAAATAACCAATAAATGATCTTTACGATCAACCAAACCAAATTACCAATAAAACCAAATACCAAGATACGATAACTTTATTTAACCAAACTACAAAACCAATATATCACCAAAATTGAGCCGACCAAACGCACAGCGGATTTACCAGACTGAAGATAAAACCAAAACTCGTTCGAAACCAATTATTCAAATTTCAATGTCCAAAAAGGAACAAGCATGGTTTATTGACGCCGGGTTTGTGGCGGTGGACTGGTTTCTTCCTTCGCCTAAAAACAATAAACATTTTGGAATTAAAATAAAATTCAATGGGATTTATGGACGAACAAAAAAAACGGTTACTTTACAATAAAAATTAAAATATCAGCGACCAGACCATAGACAACCGCAGGGCGTTCGTTGGCCCGGGTTTTTTTTATTAAACGCTGCAATTTTTCTTATTGGTTACAAAAGTGTTTTAAAAATTCGTTTGTAAGTGTTTATTGTCGGGTTTTCTTAGGATGATCAGCTACATGTTTGAAGCCTTGTATCACTGGAAGGAAGAGAGGTCGGCACGAAAAACAGATGGAACAAAATGCGATTTTGAAGGTAGACCTGTTGGGAGTAAGACTACCGCGATTGATTTGTTTGCAAAGTTTGATTCCGGCGATGTCAGCCTCGAGATTCATCCGCTACTTGGAATACCATCGTTTGTCAACAATGAAGCCATCCGCGAAGTTAATGACAAGGAAAGTGCCCGACCTGCCCCGCTCTGATTGACTTCAAAATTTTTATACAGAAAGATCATGTAAATATAAGATCTTCAGCAAAGTACTAAATCGCGCTTTCCAGGAAATCTCGAGAAAATCGAGATTAAAAAAAGACATTTTGAATTTCCCGCCACGTTGGCATTGTGTTTCAAGCTTATAGCTTTGTCATTTTTTGACTTTTAATTTGATATACTAGTAGAATACCTTTAAATGAACCTACATTTTTAAATTTGTAAGCGTATCTTGTCTGGAAAGCCCAAAAAAGTGCTTGAAACACAATGCCAAATTTGCCAAATTGGCGGGAAACCCAAATAATTTAAATTTAAAACTCAAAAGCGCGAGCTAAAATTTTTTATGGGTACTATTGGTGGTATAAAGAATTCATATAAAAATTTTAAGCTGATTCTGAGCGGGGCAGGTAGGGTACTTTCCTTGTGAGTTTAATTCTGGTTCTTGCGATGCCTTAACAAACTGGATTATACAAATAAGCAATTCCGAGAAGTACTTTACGCACCTCTCTCTGCGGTGGACCCGTCTCCGGTGAGAGCCAAGACAAATCCTCCCTCAGGAACGGTTGGCGCATTAGGTCTTGTTGAGTAGAGCTTTATTGGAGCCTTTTCATGCTGAAGTCGGATGAATACGGTTTATCGACGGTGTCTGGTCCTGGGACCCACGATCTGACCAGTAACTGCTGGCGCGCGATTGCCTTTTCCTGGTCTACCCTTTGTCTTAATCCCTGTTTAAATCCTGGTAGACATCTCTACTGCTTGACAATTTGGTTAATGGGTATGAGAATTGTATGTTAATCACACCAGGTAGAAATAATGGCTTGAACGTGCAGAACAGGGTGTATCAACCCCAAAACCTGATCTTCACCCTCTGGAAGAGATGATCAGCGTAATATCGCAAAATCTACAGTATCCGACGTGGTCAGACGGTATGTAGAACTTGGATATGATGGTGACAGACCTAGAAGTGGCCGTCCAGCAACTGTAAACACACGCGCCAACAGACAGTGGATCAAGAAGAGGTTCATGCGTAACCCAAGGACTCCAGTACGTCAAATGGCACGAGAGACCGGACTGAAAGAAACTTCACTTCGCCGTATAGTCAGAAAGAACTTGAAGATGAAGCCGTACAAACTCAAAAAAGTTCAGAAACTTACTGATGAAAACAAAAAAGTGCGGTTTGAAAGAAGCAAAAATCTGATACACTGGGACTGGGCCGCTAACGGGGCAAGACCCCTTTGATTTTTGTTGATGAAGGCGTGAAGATCAACAAAGAAGTGTATCAAAGGGACATTTTGGAAGCTGTGGTACTCCCTTGGGCTCAGAAGCACTTCAAAGATGCCGCATAGATCTTTCAGCAAGACTCTGCGCCGGCCCATAGAGCAAAATCAACGCAAGAGTGGTGTCGGACCCATTTTCCGGACATCATCGCCTCAACTGAATGGCCTCCGTACTCCCTCGACCTCAACCCGATGGATTACAGTATTTGATCTATATTGGAGGCAAGGGTGTGTTGTAGAAGACACCAAACTTTGGAGTCTTTGAGACAAGCATTGATCGGAGAGTGGGACAAACTTACGCCTCAGGACCTGCGGCCCATCGCTGAAAACTTTGTGAAGTGTTTACGCCTCTGCGTAGCGGCAAAGGGGGGCACTTCGAAACCGCTTGACTATGTTATAACTAGTACTATATGTTACTATTGTTAGTTGTTGTTTTAAGTATATTGATTGTTTTAATAAATATATGACTAAAATAATGAGTCCGGGGACTTTTGGCGCACCCCGTAAATTGAAGGTTACTTACGGTTATATTATTCGTAACTTCTGCTGTACCACCAAAGACGACGGCTCCATAAGTTTTAGAAATAGAAAGCGGAGGCCAGGCGAAGTACGCGCTCGTCGGTGGATATGGCCAAAGGTAGATGCTGTTTGTGGCTTGCCCTGGTGTCAAACCGCCAGCCGAAGCCGACGTTCCGGCCACACCCGGGGGAACAATCGAGGCCGGCATGCCGGCCGAAGCCGGCATGCCAGCACTAGTGGCGGGCGCGCCACACGCGGACGATGCGTCGGCCGAAGCCGCCGCACCAACCGCGCCTGGCTTATCAGTCGATAAACCAGCCGAAGCCGGCTTATCGACCGACATGCCACCCGCAGCCACCTTGTCAGCCGAAGCCGACGAGGCAGCCGCAGGTGGCACGCCCGGCACAGTCTGAGCTCTGACCGGAGCCGGCCCGACTGTGCCTGGTTTGCCAGTCGACTGACCCGGCGAAGCGGATCGGCCAACCGGCAAACCAGCCGAGCCCCACAAACCAGCCGGAGCCGGTTTGTGGGGTGAATCCCCTTTTGGTCCATTTGGCCTTCTTCCCGTCATCCTTTTTCTCGTCGGTTTTCTTGTCTTCGGCTTTCTTTTCTGCTGCAAAAGTTTACTCATAAAACTCTCTCTATAAAAAACTTACCCATGAAACTAGGCTCGGATTCCTCTTCTTTAAAATAACGTCTGTTATTCATCGCAAACCACTGTAACTTGACTGATATGGAAAAGAAAATGAGTTTTTTTAGCTTTTTTTTGTGTTAGAAAATTTGCATAAATCTATGAGTTTTTGTTAATTTGCGTGAACGGCTGTTTTTTTTCTTTTTTAGTCTTATATTTTAACTTTTGACGTTTTTTATAATATATTTTAATTTTAGATAGGTCATGAAGGACTTGGAGAAGGGAACAGAAGCCAGTAGAGCTGAAATGGAAGCCGTTCACAAGTTAGGAGAACTTCAGGAAACGAACAGAAGGAACAACAAGGTCGATTTGATAAGCTTTTTGGATTTCTAGTTAGTCTAGCTTTATTATTTGAAATACTACATCAATTTTGGTTGGAATAGTTCAGGAATCTTGGAAAAATGACCGGAACCGAGCGTAAAGTGTTTCAAGTAAGTTTTTTTCTTATTTTTACATTGATTTTTAGGTTTTTTGGAAGGAAAGATGTTATATTAAAATGTAATGGAGTTAAGGATTATGTTATTTATGTAGAGTTACTGATTTTTGACTTTTAAGCCTAGATTTAGTTAAAATCGCTGAGGGAGACTTATTTTCTAACCTAACTTTATTTCAGAAATACTATCCACCGGATTTCGATCCAAACAAGCTTACCAAGGCTAAGGGAAAGAAGGGAAGTTCACAGTTCGTTCAGCGTGTGATGGCCCCATTCAACATGCAGTGTAATAAATGTACCGATTATATTTACAAAGGAAAGAAGTTTAACATGAGAAGAGAAACAGCACAAGGTGAAGACTATCTGGGATTGAAGATCTTTAGGTTTTGCTTCAGGTAAGTGGATCATTCTATGTTTTCTTTTTATTTTAGGTAAGGAAAAGAAGTGTTTTGAAGGATTTGATGGTGTAGTAGACAATAAGTATACGTAACTTAATTCTTTTTGAATATTTTAGCACAAAGGAAAGAAGTTTAACATGAGACGAGAAACAGCACAAGGTGAAGACTATTTGGGATTGAAGATCTTTAGGTTTTACTTCAGGTAAGTTGGTTTCTCTATGTTTTTTTTTGATTTTAGGTAAAGGAAAGAAGTGTTTTGAAGGATATGATGGTGTAGTAGACAATAATTATTCGTAACTTTATTCTTTACGAACATTTTAGGTTTAGTCTTTAAGTTTAGGCTTTATGGTTTAATATATTGTTTTTACTAAGCTTTTAAGGCCAAAAAATACATTTTGAAAGATATGTTTATACTTTAGATGTTCTAGATTTGATAAAAACACTCTTTTTCATTGCTTTTGGTAAACTGAAAAAATATGTTTTTAAAATGCTCTTTTAGACTATTTTTTCAACCTTGTATACTTTCAGATGTCCAAACTGCCTCGCTGAGCTTGTATTCAAAACAGATATTGAGAATGTAGACTACCAGATGGAACATGGAGCCACCCGACTTTTTGAAGCTGCAAAATACTACCAACAAAAGCAAAAAGAAGCTGAAGAGTTAGAGGAAGCAGAGAAGAATGATCCTATGAAAGTATTGGAGAAGAGAACAGAAGCCAGTAGAGCTGAAATGGAAGCCGTTCACAAGTTAGGAGAGCTTCAGGAAATGAACAGAAGGAACAACAAGGTCGACTTGATAAGCTTTTTGGATTCTCAACAGATGGACGTGCAACTAACTCAAGCGCAACGCCACAAGTTACAAGAAGAAGAAGATGAAAAAGAAGTTCAGAGATTGATGGCTAAGAAGAAGGTTGAAGTTAAAGAAGAGACGGAAGAAGTGGCAGAAGAGGAACAAAAGCCATCTAGTTCGAAGATTCAATGGAAAGCACCTGCTAAAAGAAATGCTCCGAATTTACTTGCTGGATTTATAAAGAAGAAAGCAAAGGTTAAAGAAGAAGTGAAGCCTAAATCCGAAGTTCTTTCGTCTTCTATTACATCGGATACTCCTTCGTCGTCAAATGGTCTCTTAGCTCCTTGTACTTCTGCTTCTATTAGCATTGCACAGATTGGATTATCATTACCTACTGAGATGTCAGAAGAACCTGGAAGTTCAATATCAACTTCTATATTGGTTGACACACTTTACTTATCTATGTGTACATACTCATAAACAATCCTTAATATTTTTTTTTGCTTTTGGGGATGGGGCGCGTTATTGTCGCTTTGTACTTTTTGATTTTAGCTTACGTTTACTATTTAATCTCGAATGACTTTCAGGTTTATACCGGCACTCATCATGCCTGAAAGTAGATTATAAATTTATGATTCGGATCATTTGTAGGTATTGACAGAGATAACGTCTTTTTATTATTGCTCTATGATTACTTTGGATTTGTTTTGATTTTACTTTTAAAAGATACTTTTTAGTCTATTTACTGTTGTTTATAGATTTGAAAGAAAGGAGGCACGGAGCCGGCCGGGTTTCCAAATGTGAGCTCGAGAGTCCGGGTCAGGCTTGGACACAGGGCAGGGCATAGGGCATGGTTTGAAATTTTTTTACAGGGCATAGCTTCGAACAGGGCAGGGCATGCCATATGCCCTGTAATGCCCTGCAAATGCCCTGTTCTTTCCAAAAATTTTCTTTTTGATTCGGCGGACACTTTAGTATTTGGCGGAGGGTCGGCGGAGGCTTTAGGCAATTTGGCGAAGAGTTTAGGGTATTAACTCGACCCTACCCTTGACCTGTTTAACCCTATCCCACTTTACCCTTGCATATGTTACCTTACACAACTATACCATACTCGTCCATTATAATAATATAATAATATACCATACGATGTCCTGTGTTACTACCATACCCATCTCACTAAGCATACCATACCTAACATACCATACCTTATCATAACCTATCATATCTACCATACCAAACCCTACAATACCCTACCATACAATACCATACCATACCTTCCACATCATAGTATACCATACTATACAATACCATATCCTATCATACCATAACATACCATACCTTACAATACCATACCATATCAAACTGTACTATACCTTACCTTATTCAATCTTATACAACACTACCGTGTACTATCCATGGGTATGGTAGAACAGGTAAGTAAAATGGTATAATATAGTCAAGTATAGTTTGGCATAGTATGGTATAATATGATACGTTATATTAAGATGTGGTATGATAGATAGGATAGTTTATGGTAGGGTATGGTATATTAGGCAACATGGGTATGGTATAGTAGGTTAGGTTTAAAAAGGTCAAGAGTAGGGTCGGGTAGGCTAAAAAGGCCAGGGGTAAGATGGGATAGCGCTAAAAGGTCAAGGGTAGGCCCGAATAAATAGAATTCCCTAAAGCCTCCGCCGACCCTCCGCCGAATACCCTAAAGTCTCCGCCGACCGTACAATTTAGTACCATACAATGTCAAAAAGAACAAAATTTAGAAAAATTAGTACCATACAGTACCAAAACCTTACTGCTACTTGCTAAATCAATTTGAAGTTACAGAGAACAGGAGAATTTAGGGTTTCAGAAATATTACTTATAATTAATGTTTAAAATTTTTAAAAAATGTTGTTTTTTTTGTTATTAATAATATTTAAATGTTAAATAACTTGTTTTTAAGTTGTGTAATTCATTATTTGTGACTATATTATGTTTAATGAATTTATTAGTACTATTATACTTAATGCCCTGTAATGCCCTGTAAATGCCCTGCAGGGCAAGGGCAGGGCATGAAACCCCAATGCCCTGTACAGGGCAGGGCATGCCCTATGCCCTGCATTACCCTGCAAATGCCCTGTTTGTGCCATGGTAAGTTTTGGCGGACGCTTCCGCCGAGCGGTCAATAATCGGCGGACGCCATAACTTGGTTAGTTTAGCAGCTAGAAACATGTAGTTCAATTCACAAGTTATTATATGTCATACGTCACAAGTAAAAGCATAATTTTAAGATTTTAAAAGTAGTATTGTTATCGACCGGTTGATAATTTTTAGTATATTTTAATTGCAAATTTTATATATATTCTTATCGCTCTGTTGTTCTAAATTGTATAGAAATTGCATTAGATACAATTCTAAGCAAAAAACTTGTTTTTTGTAAAAATTAAACATTTGGCATAAAACCACAATGCCCTGTACAGGGCAGGGCACAGGGCAGGGCATGGAATTTTGCCAATGCCCTGCCCTGTGTCCAAGCCTGATTGCAGGGCACAGTCAGGGCATAGAAATTTGTCAATGCCCTGCCCTGTGTCCAAGCCTGGTCCGGGTCCAAACCAAGGATGAAAGATTGGCCCAGTTTCCTTACAGTTCTAGTTGCGTATTACGTTTATCTGAAAGATTTGTGTTGTAAAGGAGGAATATAAGAAAAACGGTTTATGAAGGTCCAGATAGAATGGTACTTGCTTAAATCATCATTGATGCCTACTACAACATAGGCATGTTTTTTACAAAGTCTAATGGCAGTTATTTTTACCACAACGAACAAAAAAATTGTACTCGTAGTGCCATGTCTAAGACCACAAAGACCGCTTGTGTTCCAAATGGCCGCCGTCTCGACGTCCGCGCCTTCTTCAGCGACTACAAAGAGTAATAAACTTTGTACAGGAATTCTACTCCAATTTTCTTGAAAAACCGTGATCCTTTTACAGTGTTTTACAATTTATATTAACAAAAGATTGAAGCTTGATATACGAATGAGCAAGATGACATAGACCAATTTACACACTGCATTATTTAAGTTCTCTGATGGTGAATATAATACTTAGCAATTACTTTTTGTTAACTTTTAGTTAAATTATCAATTTAAAGACGTACAGTTCGACTAGATAATGGTTTGATGGTGAGAGATTTTGCTTTATGAAACAGTATAACATAAAACATGTAAAGGAAGGTCGAAAAAGTCTTGTCGCTTTTTAACTTTAATATACATATGAATAAACGACAAGACTTTTTTGACCTTTCCAGTAATATTAAATAAGTGATACAGGTAAGATGAATAACGCTAGTAAGGTAGAAGTAGTAATATTATACCAAAATGTATAAATAAAGTTAACATATAAGAGTTTACAGAGTTACATCAGTTTTTACTGTGTACACCGAGCTCTTTTCATCACTGTCATCGACGGAAACGTTGGTTTCGATCGGCGTTGGTGGACTAGATGTTGAGGGCTGGGCTAGCTGAAAGCGATTGATGTTAAGGATTGTACTACCGTACCTTACCCTAACCTAGCCTACCCTGCTATATTATATTCTACCACTTATAGTAGCTTTACTCCAGTGTCTTTGAGGCTTTACCCTAGGTATATCATGGTCATGCTGTTATATTTACATGATCTTTCTATATACAAAAGTTTGAAGTCTATCAGAGCGGGGCAGGTCCGGTACTTTCCTTGTGAGCTCACCTCCCCCCATTAAGTCTAGCCCTACTAAGTGTAATACTTTCCCTGTTGGTACTTCTACAAAAAGCAAGTCAGACCTTACCTTCTTCCCATCCTCATTACCCGTATTGCAGAAACGATTCATATTCCCGTTCATATTCCATGGCAAAAACATTTCTCCACCTGGTGGACACATCATGGAATACAAATTTGAAGTTTGATTCGAAAACATTGGCGAGATCGAGGCAAACTGAAGCAGATTCTTGAGGAATATCGTGGGCTCTGGGCATGGACTGCTGAAGCTGGAATTTTCGTTATAATAACATGTTGTGATAAGGGAAAAGATAGGATTGGGTACAACGTCAGTATAGCGAAGGAACGGAAAGGCAAGGCTAGGCAGAATAGAGAAGGACAGGGCAGGGTAGAATGGGGTCAGAGTCTATAATATCCAACCTTTGACACAGTAGGATAAGGTAAAGCTTAAATAGGTCGGTAGGGGAGGGGGAGAGTAGAATAGGCTTGGACAGGTCTAGGTTAGGGCACGGTAGGGCAAGCTCAGACAGGGTAGGGTAGAGAACGGCAAGGAAAAACACGATAGAGCAAGGTAGAGTAAAGTAGGGTAGATTACGGTAGAGCAGGCGTATATGGTTGTAGGGCAGGGAAAGGTAAGGCAGAATTCGGTAACTACTGTAGAAAAGGGGAAGGCAAGACAAGGCAAGGCAGAATAAAGTTGGTTATGTGAGAGTAGAGTAACACATAAATAAGTCTAGAGTAGAGTAGAAAACGGTAGAATAGATTCAAATAACTGTAAAGCAAGGTACAACAAGAGTAGAGGGGTAGGGTAGGGTATGGTATGGTATAATATGGTATGGTATGGTATGGTAGGGTAGGGTAGGGTAGGGTAGGGTAGGGTAGGGTAGGGTAGGGTAGGGTAGGGTAGGGTAGGGTGGGGGTAGGGTAGGGTAGAGTAGGGTAGGGTAGGGTAGGGTAGGGTAGGGTAGGGTAGGGTAGGGTAGGGTAGGGTAGGGTAGGGTAAGATTGGGTAGGGTAGGGTAGGATTGGGTAAGTTAGGGTGGGTAAGGTAAACTTACATATCACTAAAGTCATTCCCCCTCCCGTTAGGGTCTCTAAATCCTTTAGCAAATGGGTTCTTTTCAATTTTCAGCTTCGTTATCAACTGATTTTGATAAGCCGTGACAGCCATGAACTTGGTCTCATCAAATACGAATGTCCGATATTCTTCATTTCGAATGTCGAAGTCACTACTGCTCGGATCGAACATTCTCGACCTTTTTCCATCTCGTCGTATCACTACATGTACTCGTGGCTGGTACTTGTGCATCGAGTTTAGTACTAACTGAAATTTGGTACTATATTATTTAAAATTAAAATAAATTATTCATGTTGCCCTACCGTACTCTGCAGTACCTGATTCTACACTACCACACCGTTCTCTACCGTACCCAACATTACTCTGCCTTGCCTCCCTACCACCCGTACTCTACCCTACCTTATTGTACTCTACCGTAACATCCTTACTCCACTCTGCTTTACTCAACCCTACCTTGCCCTACCGTACTCTATCGTAAATTCCTTACTCTACGGTATCTTAAAGTGCTCTACCCTGCCGTAATCTTTTAATCTACAGTACCATAACGTGGTTTACCCTACCCTATCCTACTCTACCCTACCCTTCAAACTTACATGTCCAACCCTAGTATCATCAGCATTATTAGTGAGTTTGGCTTTTTCAAAAGTGATGATATTGTTATCCAACCCTCTTCCATCATGCGGCGAGTCCGGATGTAAATAAAGTCTGGCCTGAGGGGATGGTTCAGCTTTACCACACGTCTGCCATGATGACTTGTTGTACATGTACCTGTAGCGATGCCCATCGACCGGTATAACATCAAGGAACACATCATACTGACAGTTAGGCTCACAACCTTCCAGGCGAATTTTGACCGTGGGGAACATACGTCTGTAAAAGTGAGAGTTACTGTGGTAAATATATAGCCATTTTTTGTTTTGTAAAGAAAGTTCTTGCCATTTTATGTTTCGTAAAAAAAGTTCTTTTCATTTTTTGAATTGTAAAGAAAGTTCTTGCCATTTTATGTCTTGTAAAAAAAGTTCTTGCCATTTTATGTTTTGTAAAGAAAGTTCTTGCGGATTTTCTCATAAAGACATAACCTTCCTTTTACTTTCCGACCAATAACAACTTGAACAAAGTTGTTATGCAAAAGAAGTTGACCATTCGACGACAGAATCTCATTTTTTGTCGCTCCCTGAGGGCTTGTTTCACGAATTTGGAAAGCAGATGTCACAAGTTTTTCGAAATTCGAAATTACTCTCATCAAGACTGTAAAATTATTCAAAATGACTCGCAATTTCGGAATTTTACGCGTTTTTTACGTTTTTTGAAAATAAAATGGCAGAAACTTTGTTTACAAAACAAAAAATAGCAAGAACTTTCTTTACAAAACAAAAAATGGCAAGAACTTTCTTTACAAAACATAAAATTGCAAGAACTTTCTTTACAAAACATAAAATAGCAAGAACTTTCTTTACAAAACATAAAATTGCAAGAACTTTCTTTACAGAACATAAAATTGCAAGAACTTTCTTTACAAAACATAAAATAGCAAGAACTTTCTTTACAGAACAATAAGTGGCAAGAACTTTCTTTACAGATCGAAAAATAGCAAGAACTTTCTTTACAAAACATAAAATTGCAAGAACTTTCTTTACAAAACATAAAATAGCAAGAACTTTCTTTACAAAACATAAAATTGCAAGAACTTTCTTTACAGAACATAAAATTGCAAGAACTTTCTTTACAAAACATAAAATAGCAAGAACTTTCTTTACAGAACAATAAGTGGCAAGAACTTTCTTTACAGATCGAAAAATAGCAAGAACTTTCTTTACAAAACATAAAATTGCAAGAACTTTCTTTACAAAACATAAAATAGCAAGAACTTTCTTTACAAAACATAAAATTGCAAGAACTTTCTTTACAGAACATAAAATTGCAAGAACTTTCTTTACAAAACATAAAATAGCAAGAACTTTCTTTACAGAACAATAAGTGGCAAGAACTTTCTTTACAGATCGAAAAATAGCAAGAACTTTCTTTACAAAACATAAAATTGCAAGAACTTTCTTTACAAAACATAAAATTGCAAGAACTTTATTTACAGAACAAAAAGTGGCAAGAACTTTCTTTACAGATCGAAAAATAGCAAGAACTTTCTTTACAAAACAAAAAATGGCAAGAACTTTCTTTACAAAACAAAAAATAGCAAGAACTTTCTTTACAAAACAAAAAGTGGCAAGAACTTTCTTTACAGATCGAAAAATTGCAAGAACTTTATTTACAGAACAAAAAGTGGCAAGAACTTTCTTTACAGATCGAAAAATTGCAAGAACTTTCTTTACAGAACAAAAAGTGGCAAGAACTTTCTTTACAAAACATAAAATTGCAAGAACTTTCTTTACAAAACATAAAATAGCAAGAACTTTCTTTACAAAACATAAAATTGCAAGAACTTTCTTTACAGAACATAAAATTGCAAGAACTTTCTTTACAAAACATAAAATAGCAAGAACTTTCTTTACAAAACATAAAATTGCAAGAACTTTCTTTACAGAACATAAAATTGCAAGAACTTTCTTTACAAAACATAAAATAGCAAGAACTTTCTTTACAGAACAATAAGTGGCAAGAACTTTCTTTACAGATCGAAAAATGACAATAACTTTCTTTACAATACACAAAACTACCCCACCCTACCCTGGTCATCCTAACCCTGCCCTCCTAGCCTTACCTCCCACACTTTGTGATGATCATCTCAGTGCCGAGTTTGTAGAACTGCGCCCACATCTCCTTCCCTTCCAGTCGACAATTCAATCCACTCAAACTGGCCGAATTGCCCTCAGGCACCCAATTAATATTTGGCTGTAAATCCAATGGAGAACTGGTCTCCTCGTTCCTCTTATCATTATCATCTTCAGCCTTTATCAATGCTGCCGTTTGTAGCAAGGTAGTCGAATTTAGAATGTCATCAATTGAGAATTTGCATTTTTTCGATGACGGCGACGAACTGCAGCTTGATATTGTCCTTTTGGCCATTCTAAAAAAATTTTAAAATTAAAAAAATTTTAAAAATTTAAAAATTTTGAAATTTTTTGATTTTTAGGTAATAATTTACGCGATATCAACAATTTTATTCAATATCTAGACGCTTTTTGAGATTTACAAACAATAGAAATGGCAAAAAGGTCAATTTTATCATTAAAAAAGATTGCACCGTGCAAAACTTTAAAGTCCTGCACCGTGCAAAAAGTTTGGTATGCCATAAGCTAGAAATAAAAACAAAATAAACTAAATTTGGCTAAAGTATAAAAAAGAGTGTAGTTTTCAAATTCTAAATCAATATTCAAACATAAAAATTCATAATTTTGAAGGCCTGATTTAGTAACAAAAAGTTATTGCACTGTGCAAAGATTTAAAAGTCTTGCACTGTGCAAAAACTTGGATTTGTCATAAAATTGTGAATTTTAAAAATTTTGACAAAAATTGTGAAAAAATAAGAAAATGTCTTTAACAAATCATAAATAACATTTTTTACTTGAAATAATATTGTTTTAAAGTGGCAATATAAAGCGTAGAAGTTTTTGCACGATGCAAAGATTTAAAAAGCCTTGCACTGTGCAAGAACTTTGGTTTGTCATAAGGTTGTGAATTTAAAAAAATCGACTAAAATGATTAAAAAAATTAAAAATTACAGTTTCAGAATCATATAAAACATATTCAACTCAAAAAATTACTATCACAAAGTAACAATACAACGTTTTAAAAATACTGCACCTTGCACTAAATTCTCCAATTTCAAAAAACAGTAAAACAAAAAATCACGGAACGTTTGGTCGTGCTGAAAATAGGGTGACATTTTAATGTTTGTGGAAAAGTTTTTTGAAGCGCGCCTTTCGACGGGCCGCCAACGGCGCCGCTTCATCCCACGGATTACCGTAGACAAACGACTTCTGACGAGAGAGTGGAGAGAAGTGGGAGGGTGGGTAGAGATGGTTAGAGAAAAGCGGAATAGAAGAAGAGGAGAGGGAAATAGTGCGAAGAAATGAGAGGGTAGGTAGAAAACGTCAGACAAATGCAGGCCAAAGGAAGACAGATGACAAAAAGTGTCATAAAGTGAGAGAGCGCGCAGAGAAAATCATAGAAAAGCGGGGCTAAAAGAAAAGAGAAGTGAAAAAGCACGCAAAATCAAGAGAGTGCGCAGAGAAAGTGAGAGAAATGCGGCCCGAAAGAAGAGAGGCGAGAGAGCGCGCAAAATAAGAGGGCGTTCCGAGAAAGTTAGAGAAAAACCAGCAAGAACAAGAGGGAAGCGAGAGAGCACAAAAAATTAAGAGAACGCGCAGAGAAAGTCAGACAAAAACGGGCCGAAAGAAGAGAGAAGCGAAAGAGAACGCAAAAGCAAGAGAGCACGCAGAGAAAGTCAGAGAAAACCAAAAAAGACCGTGTAAACCAAGAGAACAATCGCAAAACGGCCAGACAAAGCAAAATATCGTATAAAACGATGAGATCCACCCCAGTCTTCGCCAATTCTCACTTTCCAATCCCCCCACCCAACCAGCCGGCTGCCGTTTCGCGAGAGGCGGGCGCGGATTGGCGACGAAAATGGGCGCAAATTTGTCAAACAATGTCACCATGCCCGGCCGAAAGCTGTTCCCGGAGATAAGAACAGTGGATTAGGCAAAAATGGAATCGGAATTGAAAAATGACCCTGCCAGATTTTATTGGCACCGAAAAGCTTCGCGAATAAAGTGAGAAGTTTAAATTCGAATCATATGTTTGTGGGGGTTTAAAGTACATACAGTAGGATTAGGAAATAAAATTTTAAATTCATTTTTAAGTTTCAGGCTTGCCCCATTAGTTAAAGTACAGTAAGCATGAAACTACAAAATTTTTTTTAAATGTAAAAAAACTAGACCTAGTCCTGACCAGTGTCCGCAGGAGCACCGGAGCGGCTTCGGTTCCAAAAGCGGAGCTGGAACCGAAGCTGGCAAAAACAAGCGCTCCAGAGCAATGAGCCGGAGCTTACCTTGAATAAAAGATCCAAGCCGTAGCTGGAGGGAGAAATTTCAAAAATTCAAACACTGGTCTAGGCCTTGGCACTTTAGACTAAACTCAAACCCAGTCTTGGCTTGGATTTTTATTAGCTCTTGCTTCGAAAAGCCTTAGATTTGTCAGAGCCCTAGCACAGAGCCCTAGCCCAGAGCCCTAGCCCAGCGCTCCAGCCCAAAGCCCTAGCCCAGAGCCCTAGCCCAGAGCCCTAGCCCAGAGCCCTAGCCCAGAGCCTTAGCCCAGAGCCCTAGCCCAGAGCCCTAGCCTAGAGCCCTAGCCCAGAGCCCTAGCCCAGAGCCCTAGTCTACAGTCTAGCCCAGAGCCCCGAGCACCGAGCCCAGAGCCTTAGCTCAAAGCCTCAGCCCAGAGCCGTAGTCCTAGCACAGAGCCCTAGTCTACAGTCCTAGCTCAAAGCCCTAGCCCAGAGCCCAGTGCCCATAGTCCTAGCCCAGAGCACAGAGCACAGAGCCCAGAATCCGAGCCCAAAAACCCAGCCCAGAGCCCTAGCCTACCATATGCTTAGTCCTATTTAGACATAGGAAACGGCCCGAGCTGGGCCTGTGTGTTAGATTTAAGTTGTTAAAATAATTCTGTGCCCTCTTTTGTCTATCAAGCTGTCTTTAAACAAAAAATTACAGTTATGGTCGGGCGGGCACGTTTGGTCTGGAGCGGGTTCGAGAAAATCCACAGAGGGGACCACGTTCAACTTTTTTCAAAAACATTTTCTGGAGTGTAACTCTTTTATATTAAACACCAGAACTTTTATAACTCTAATAATACCGAAAAACTTGATGTCAATAATTCGAAAACAGTTAGTCACCCCTTCAAAATTCGAAACCCGCCTGTGGGGCCCGAAATCCGTGTCGCCGCAATATTTTCAGCACAACATTTTGAGGCCGAAGATGAAGCGCGAAAAGTCGTCGGAAAAGCCGCCAACGAGTCCCCGGAGGGGGGCGAGGGGGACGATTGAGGGGACATGAGATGAGAGATAAGATGACAACTTTCTCGAGTGACATACAAAGACAAAACACACGATTAATAGTTTAGTTATTGGGGCCCGGATTTTGAAAGTTGGGTAGGGTAGGGTAGAGTAGGGTAGGGTAATGTAGGGTAAGATAGAGTGGGTGAGATAGGATAGGGTAGGGATCCTAAACGGCTAAGACAACAATAGAGAGAAAACTTAAAGGTAATGTAACGCTATTTTAATGTCTGAACAGGGCTATAGTAAAAACGTAAATCCAAGATATATTAATAGTACGATAAGGATGGGGCTAGAGCAATCCCGAGCAATCCTATAATAAGACTAAGTCCAAATTGTAAAGTTAATCTAGACTAAACCTAGTAAGACTAGGACAAAAGCTGAGACTACGATTTGATGCTAGTGTTAGAGCTAGGGATAGGGACACGGCTAACAAGGAAAGTACCCAACCTGCAACTCTCAGAATTAGCTTAAAATTTTTATACGGATTCTTTGTAGTACCAGTAGCACGTATAAAAAATCTTAGCTTGCGGTTTTAAGTTTTAAAATTAATATATTTAAATTTCCCGCCAACTTGGCAAATTTGGCATTGTGTTGCAAGCACTTTTTTTGACTTTTCAGACAAGATAGACTTACAAATTTAAAATTGCAGGTTCATTTGAAGCTTTTCTATCATTACATTAAAGAAAAATAGTTAAAAGTCAAAAAATAAGAAAGTTATAAGCTTGAAACACTATGCCAATTTGGCGGGAAATTCAAAACGTGAATTTTTGATCTCGATTTTCTCAAGTCTGGCCGCAAACCGCAACTTAGGATTTTGCATAAGATCTTACATTTACATGATCTTGCAATTAAAAAATTTTGAACGAAATCTGAGCGTTGCAGGTCGGGTACCTTCCTTGTAATTGCCATTTCTAACCAATAAAACTATGTTCTGAAAGCTGAATTCACAGGTAGTACAGATCTGTAAATCGTTTTTCTGTGCGGCTCTTAGTTTTTGAGAAAATTGCCTTTAAAATATGGCAAGAATTTTTGGCGAAACAAGAGCGCCGAAAACAAGTGCGCAATTAATTCAAGAAAAGCCATTGGCGGCGTGGCCGAGTGGTGAGTCAGTTTTCTTTCGGATGTCGGTGAGGGAGTTCGATCCCGGCCTTGTGCAACATTTTTGCGGCAGCTTGAAATTATGCAAGTTATGAATTTTGTATGCAATTATGTAAAAAATAATTTTTTTTAGTTTTGTTTTCTATTTTTTGTAATTTTTTCAATAAAGCAACTTTTGCGTCATAGATAAATTAATTTTTCAATAAAAATTATCAAAATGCCCAAGCTTATAAAATACTGTAAAAAATTTTAAGTTAAAAGTAATTTTAAGCTGCTGTAAAACTGTTGCACAAGGCCGGGATCGAACTCCCTCACCGACATCCGAAAGAAAACTGACTCACCACTTGGCCACGCCGCCACTTGCCTTCCTTGAATTAATTGCGCACTTGTTTTCGGCGCTCTTGTTTCGCCAAAATTCTTGCCATATTTTAAAGGCGATTTTCTCAAAAACTAAGAGCCGCACAGAAAAACGGTTTTCAGATCCGTACTACTTGTGAATTCAGCTTTCAGAATATATAGGTCTCATCTCAAAGTCCATCTGCGATTAAAGTACCTTCCCTTGTAAGACTAGAGATAGACGTAATGCTAGGAATAGACTAAGGTTAGACTGAAAGGAACTAAGCTATGCTAAGCTAAGCTAAGTTAAACTATGGGCTAGGCTGAGCTTAGCTAGGTTGGGTTGAGCTAGACTATGCTAGACTGTGCTACGATGGACTAGAAGAAGCTAAGCTGGGCTGGGCTGAATTGAAACTGAGGCTGAAGTTAGGGCTAGGGCTAGGGCTTTGGGCTAGGGCTTTGGGCTAGGGCTTTGGGCTAGGGCTTTGGGCTAGGGCTTTGGGCTAGGGCTTTGGGCTAGGGCTTTGGGCTAGGGCTCTGGGCTAGGGCTCTAGGCTAGGGCTTTGGGCTAGGGCTTTGGGCTAGGGCTTTGGGCTAGGACTCTGGGCTAAGGTTCTGGGCTAGGGCTTGGCTAAAAAAAGATTTATTTTTAGCATCAACCCTTCCTCAGCACTCCAGAATTCATCTGACAGCCGTCTGGCCGTTGGCAGTGCGATGTTGCCACTTTGGCCGATTAACCCGTGTTTGTCTTTCTCGAAGAAGCCGCCGCTCATTACTTAAAACGACTCCATTTGTCGATGCCCACAAAACATTCTTTTCCATTTTCACAAATTGCCAACTGAACGCTGCTAATTATCTGTGTCACTTTCAAATAATTGCTTTCGGTCGAAAAACCAGTCAAATGACATTAAAGTACAATGTCATTTCGGTGGTTCGGTGGCTGGCTTCGTGGAATAGCTAGAAGTTTTGTAAGTGTTGTTGTGTGGCAAGGTTAAAACTAAAGGTGGGGCTAAGACTCAAACTCAAGCTTAACCTCAACCTTCAGGTTCAGGCTTAGGCTCGAGCTAAAAATAAGCCAGGGGCTCGGGCTCTAGCCAGGGCTAGGGCTGAGACTAGGGCTTAAACTGGAACTGGAGCTAGAGCTAGAGTTAGAGCTGAGACTGAGGCTGAAGCTAGGGTAAGGCTCAAGGTCTAGGTCTAAATCTTGGTCTAGGTCTATCTCTAGGTCTAAGTCCAGGTCCAGGTCCAAGAATAATAAAATTTGAGCTTTACGATGGTCAGTCCGACAACATATTAGGATCAAAGCGGCGAGCAATTAGTCTGTTTTGGGTAATATAAGCGCGTTACATCGAGAAGGAAGCAATTTGTGTGACTGATTCGTGAAACTAGTCAATCAAATTTACGCTGCCAGCTTCAATTATTGGACTGGCGGGTTTTTTAGGTACAGTAAAAAGATTTGTTCTAAGCCTAAGATTGTGTGCTTAGCCTGAAAAATAGAATAAAAGATAAAGCTAGAGTAGGGCCAAGATCAGAGCTAGCGATAATAGATATAAGGCTTGGGCTAGAAATTAGACTTAGGCTTAGGCTTAGGCGTAGGCGTAGGCTTAGGCTTAGGCTTAGGCTTAGGCTTAGGCTTTGGCTTAGGCTTAGGCTTAGGCTTAGGCTTAGGCTTAGGCTTAGGCTTAGGCTTAGGCTTAGGCTTAGGCTTAAGCTTAGGCTCAGGCTTAGGCTTAGGCTTGGGCTTGGGCTTTTTAGACTTGGGTTTTGGCCTAGGTTTGACCTTAAGCTTAAACGTAAGCTTATGCTTGGACGTAGGCTTAAGCGGAGGTTTAGCTTTAGGCCTGGACTAATGCTAAGGCTAGGAATGAGACGACCGTAACACAATTACACTAACAATCAATAAACTGATTGTAAACAGCCCCTCTCCATTCTTCGCAATCCACACTCCTTCCCCACCCCTTTTTTCCGATCCCCCCCCCTCCCATCTATCTTAACTAATTTAAAAATCCACCGTATTTTTCGGTTTCACACAGCGCTTCCGACTCCCCAACGCCACGGAATTGATTGGATTCGTAGGGGTTTTTCAGCGTGAATTCAGCCCACCGACCTCATTCAAACCACACATCAAATCTTCGCCTCAATAAAAACGTAGCAAAGGCTTTGTGAAGGGTACGGTAAACTATTGGAAATGGGTTTATTATAGTTTTTTATACATATATTATATGTGATCATACGATGAGTTATTGAGACTAGACATGAAAAACGGGCCGGGCCGGCCTTGAGCAAAATTTAGATCGGGCCATAAATGATCTAAAAAAACAATTTAAAGCCAATTTTCCGTTTAGTTTTTAAGTTTTAAAATTTTTAAAATTTTTTAAATTTTTTAAAACGGGCCGGGCCGGCCCTAGAAATTTTCTGATCGGGCCGGGCCGGGCCTGACCAAAATCAAAAATGGGCCGGGCTTGAAAATTGGGCCCGGCCCGGCCCGTTTCTCATGTCTAATTGAGTCATAAAATTGAAATAGCAAAAACTTTCTTTACAAAACAAAAAATAGCAAAAACTTTCTTTACAAAAACAAAAAATGGCAAGAACTTTCTTCACAGAAAAATATCTTTAAAAAATCACGCCACTGCCCTTGTCTACCCCTATTTGCCCTATTATAGCCGGCTCTACCCTATCTTACTCTGAAAGATAAAAACCTACCCTGCCTTACTCTACCTCATCTAGGGGTGAGAAACGGGCCTAGGCCCGGCCCGGACCGGCCCGGCCCTACAATCGGGCCGGGCCGGCCTTGAGCTAAAATTGAAACGGGCCGGGCTTAGAAATTGGGCCCGGGCCCGAAAAAAAAATTTTTAAATTTTGAAAAATTTTTTATTTTAATCCCCGTTGATGTTTTTTGATTTTATTGGGTTCTATGATCCATAAATGTTCTAAAAAAACAATTTAAAGCCAAATTTCCGTTTAGTTTTTAAGTTTTAAAATTTTTTAAATTTTTTAAAACGGGCCGGGCCGGGCCTAGGAATTTTCTGACCGGGCCGGGCCGGGCTGGCCTGAGAGAAAATTGAAAACGGGCCGGGCCTAAACGTTGGGCCCCGAGCCTGGGCCGGGCCTTAAAAAGTGGGCCCGGCCCGGCCCTTTTTCTCACCCCTAACCTCATCCTACCCTACTCTACTCTAAAAAGTAAAATCCTGCCTTCCTTTACCCTGCCTTACACTAAAAATTAAAATCTACCCTACCTTACCCTATCTTAGATTAAAAAATGAAAAATTTGAAACTAAACTCTAGACCCCAATTGAGAAGCTTTAAACATGGTTCCCCCACTGATCGTCACTTCTCTTCAGAAGCCGCGAAAGTGTTCAGCGCGCCACAGGTCGTAAACTGGATTGCACCCCTTGAGAAAGAATATTGGAAAACAGAAAGCGCCGATTAATGGTCGATTTTCAAGCTGTGAAAGACTGGATTTTCAACTGGAATGGGGTACTGTAGCTTTAGTGTTTCTACTGGAAAAAGGCTGCCCTGCCCTGTTTTGATCTACCTAGCCTTGCCTTGCCTTGCCTTGCCTTGCCTTGCTGTGCTATGCTCTGCCCTGCCCTGCCCTACCTTACCCTTCTCTACCCTACTTTACCCTACCTTACATAGCTAAACTCTCCTGCTCTGCCTTGCCATTTTAAGCCCTGCCCTTCCCTCTCATTCTTTACCATGCCTCTACCTTGCCTTCTTCTATCCTATCCTACCATACTCTTCACAAAAACATATCTGTACTTTACCACGCCATAACTTTTTTAACATCTACCCCACCCTACTCGTATAACCCCGGCTTTATTTTTTTATTTTACTCTGCCTTGCCTTTTTTCACTTGCCTTACTTCTTTTAAATTTAACCTTGCCCTGGTCTAACGCAATTTGAAGCCCTGCCATTGCTGCTCATGCTTTACAATACATCTATATTGCCTTGTTATAACAGCATAGTACCTTTCCTACCCTACCCCTTACAAAAATATATCTGTACTTTACCCTACTCTACCTACTTCTTTGCTTTACCCCCGCCCTGCTTTTTTTTCTCTTTACCCTTCCCGACGTTTTTAAATTTTCCCTGCCCTACTTTATTCTGTTTTTATTTTACACTGCCCCACTTTTTTTATTTTAACCCGCCCTAACTTTTTTTTCACTTTACTCCACCCTACTTTTTTTAATTTACCTTGCCCTATTTTGTTTTTCTTTTTAGTTTACCCTGCCTTACCTTTTCTTGAATTAACCCCGCGCTTATTTTTTCAAATTTACCATGCCCTGGCGCCTTTTACTTTACCCTGCCCTCATTTTTTCACTTTACCCTGCCCTTACCTCTTATTCTAGCCTTCTCCTTGCCCTACCCACTTATCCGTGCCTTGTCCCAGCCCTGTCCTATCTATTTAAATCTACCAGTTGAAAGGAAATTCTGTTTTTGAAAAATAACTTTGAAAATTAATAAAATTCCCCACCCCCACATAAAATTATAATCCCCCCTCCTCTACACATTAAATTATAAATCTTCCCCCTCCCTCCCACCACATAAAATTATAAATTCCCGGTGCCAAAAGCAACAAACGAGCCAAGTTTTGTTGGCCATAAAAAGCCGGCCGGCAACAAAAAGTCGTTACAATAATTTGTCGCAAATAAATTTATTCAAATCATTTTAAAAAAACCGAATTTTTGCCCGCCACAAGTAGGCGGTGCTTCAGTCTTACCTCTGTTAATTGGCGGAGAGGCACGGCAGCCAATGAGCGACGAGAAGAGGAGTGAAAAGGCAGAGGAAGGGAGATGAAAAGGGAGAAATGACATTAAAACAGAATGTTTTAGTGATTATTGGTTTTAAATTGAAAAAAAAATGTATTATTGTAAAACCCTGCCTTACTTGCCTTATTGTGTTTGGTTTCATTTTTGTTTTGTGAAATACGACGGTGTCTTCAAGTAGACCCAGTTGGAGACCAATTTTATGACCAGTCGAAAAGCAGATGGACCGTTTGTGTTGAAATTAGTTTAAAACTTACCCTACCTTTTGATACCCTACCCCGCGTATTACTCTTTAATAGTCTACCCTAGCCTGTTACTCTTTGATACTATACCTCATCCTATTACTCTCTGATACTCCACCCCACTCTATTACATCAACTTTACTCTAGCGCTTTTTGCCATACATAGTCTTTCCGTAGCCATACGGTGGATTTTAAATATCTTCATATTCCTAATCTCGTTCACTCTTGTAATATTAGGGTGAACCAAAAAGAACCGGTCGCTTTAATCGTATAACTTACGACTCAAGTCCGGTCTAGCCCATTCCTCATGTCTAGGTTGGGGTACAGTATAGTAGGGTAGAGTACAGTAGGGTAGAGCAGGGTCGGGTAGAGTAAGGTAGGGTAGAGTAGGGTAGGTTAGGGTAGGGTAGGGTAGGATAGGGTACGGTAGGGGAAGGGGGGGGGGGGGGAGAGAGAGGGATACGCTAAACCTTTAACACCTCAGTACTATTCATACTGTAGCCTAAAGATAACATTCTTTAATCCTATCATTGCCTAAATATAGCTTACCTAGGTCTTACTGTAGTCCTGCCCTAACCGTGTACTAGTCATGATTATGCCCTGCACTTTCCTTTTTCCCTACAATAACATTATCCGACCTATATTCCTACACTATTGTGGACTTGCCATAGCCTTAATCTCCAATTTGCATTGCCTTTTAATGAAAAAAAACCAAAAAGAAGGTAATACCACAACTTCTTCTCATCCTCATTACCCATATTGTAAGACCGAGTTAAAAATCGTATCCTAACGTCGCGTACAATGCCCTATCCTGTCCTGCCCTACCCTCTACTAATCCCACCCCAAATATGGTATTCCGTCTTTACAATACGAAGCTACATTCATTCACTAATGCCTTTTTTGGTTCGCCGCGAGTCATAAAAGGTGCGGAAGTGGCGCATTCTCGATGTAAACCCTCGCCATTCTTTTCCGAGCAATAAAATCGCGCATTGTAAAGCAAAGTCGAAGGCGTTTGGCGCATTTTCCGCCTATTGTAGCCCAATATTTTTACAACGGCAGCCCTAATGCTGATTAAGGTAATTAAGAGGGCAGTTTTGGGTACAAGGTGACACATATACATAAAGACTTTGAAGTTATCCTACCCTGTGATACCCCACCCTATCATACCCTACCCTACCCTGCCGTACTCTACCTACCCTACCTAGACATAAAGAACGAACCAAGCCAGCCTTGACCCAAATTTTGGTCGGGCCGGGTCTCACAACTGAGCCCGGCCCGTTTCTCATGTCTATCCCTACACTACCCTGCTTTACCTTGCCCTACTTTTTTCTTCGTCTTGCCCTACTTTTTTTAAATTTTACCCTGCCCTACCTTTTTTAAAAAACGTCATTTTTTAAAATTTTCATGTTTTTGGCAAAAATTTGCATATCGAAAATTTAAAAAATGCACTGTGCAAAGAAAAATAAAATTTTGAAAAAAATATTTTAGGTAACAAAACAGACTAAAGTTCATAAAAAAAATTTAAAATCTTACTTTCTTGCTCAAAATCTTATTTCCTCACTCAAAAAACTTTTTTAATGATTTATTAATGACCTAACAATAACAATGTCAATGCCTAAAACCCGCTCCACTTGTACCTCCACCACAAGATCGAAGCGGCAAACGGACTGTGCTTCTGAAGTTCGTGAGTGAACAAACTATAGTTGGCTCGTGTCACACACTTCAAAGCATGATCAACTTTTAGGCCAGCTGCCAGGAAGGCCGGTTTTTGGGCGTCCTTAATATCGACCGCCAGCTTTCTCGCACTTTTTTGATTTTGATCCGCCAGTTGATATAGGTCTTTAACCAATGCCTTTAGGGCTTCTGGATTCCTGTTTGTGTAGACTTTGTCGCTGGTGAGGCCATGTATTTGCATTAGGTCTTTTGGTAGCATCACTACGCCTTCTTTTAGTAACGGAACGGTGGCTCTGAAACCAATTTTTTCGATTTTTAAACAAATTTTTTGAAAATTTTAAACTTTTTACCCATTCCAAGCAAAATGAACAACTTTTTAAACCCCCAAAATGTTTAAAATTTCCTTACATTCACTTAAAAATTCAAAAAATCATCAAAATTTAACAAAAAACAGCAAAAAATTCCTTAGCCCGATGCGGGGCTCGAACCCGCGACAGCCAGATTAAGAGTCTGGTGCTCTACCGACTGAGCTAACCGGGCACACACCACGTTTCCTTTGTTTTCTTTTTGGCCTTTCGAAATCGGAGAAAGAGTAGAGCGAAAGGCGTTTTTTGGCTGTTCTTTACTGATTTTAACGTGTTTCATCGTTCCTTTTTAGTTTTTTCTTTGAAAATTTTTAATAATATGAAAGCGAAGACTCTGTTCTATGTTTATCTTATAAAATTATTTCAAAAAACGTCCAAGAACTTTCGAAAACGGACTGAAACAGCCAAATTTTGGTTGAAATTCATGTTTTCTGCCATATAAATCAACGTAACTTTAAAATTTTAACAAAATTCAAAGCAAAAACCTATCCCACATCAAGTTCAAACATTATTTCACCCCAAAACTATAAAAACAGCCCACAATATTAACCCACCTCAATAAAGTTGTGATCCCAAGCGCCGTCCCCATGAAGTTAGCGGCCTGCTCCACAGCTTCATTATGTGAATTATCGAGTTCTGTAGCCAATAATTGAATTATGGATGAATGTAAAAGTTTCGAATTCTCTTCGAGAGTAGCCACATCTTTGAATGGTCGATCTCCGAGAGTTTGTTGTCTTGCTGTGACCAAGTTTTCGGCCAGCTTTAGTGAAGTTGGCGTGATTTCCACCGCTTTTTGAAGGGCTTTGATTGTTGGCTGACTAAAATGTTTAAAATTAGTTTATTTTAGGTAGTTTTTAAGTGTTTTCTAGCCAAAAAAACCTTTTTCACTGTGAAAAACAAATTTTTCGAGTAAAAACCCCTATTTCGAATGCTATCTCACCGTGGTATAGGCCCCTTCTTCTCCCCAGCCAATGTCTTCAAAGCGTCCTTCCAAAAACTAAGCTGATTGATACCATCGAGTCCAGAATTCTGTCGAATTTTGCCTCGAATCAATGAAATTTCAACATTCAAAGCCAATATTGACATGAATGAAGCTTGGTGTTTTGATGGTAATAAGGCGGCGACCAGCCAATTCTCGTAATCATGACGGTATAGTTGTTGACGACAGTGTATTAGTGGGCTTAAATTTGAAATTTTATACTCGGAATTTTAATTCTTTAGCTTCAACTATCTAATTTTAATATTTAGTCTTAAAACGCCCATTTTAAACCATTTGTTATACTGTAACAGTTACAGTATAACTTAATCCTACCCCAAACTCTTCATTACCACAAACTTTCAAGTCAAATTTCATTACTTTATTACCTTAAAACATCAAAATTACCTTAAAAACATCAAAATTACTTTAAAAACACAAAAAATAACTTATGATAGGCTTATTGGACTACTGTAACTGCTACAGTAAACGGAGGCTGAAATAAGTGAAGATATTCTTACTCCAACCTCTTTGTGGATTGAGCGGCCGAGTGGGCTTGGCGCAAGGCCAGCCTTTGAGTTAATCGAACTTTGGTTGCAAACATTTGGCACGGTGCTCGAAGATGTAGAAGTTGACGCGGTTTCCCACTTGATTCCAGGCTCCTTTCTTCGGCTACAAATTAAATTTTGCATTATTTATATTTTAAAAATGTTAAGGAATCTTTTCTGGTCTTTCTCTTTCTTGCTTATACCAAATTTAACCAAAAATGAGAGTTTTTCGTTCAAAAAAGGAATTTGGTATCATGGTTAATATGAAACTTCAAGATGTCACAAATCTTACAGAAAGATCAGTGTGTTTTAACCTTTGTGACAAAAATGGTCATTCTCAACCTATTTTTCATTATCACAACTTTCTACAGTGCATAAACCTTTCATCGTATAAGATTGTCGAAGCATAACCTTTGCCCAGCATTATCTCTGCCTAAAACAACAAACAAATAAAATCCTTACCGACTGGTCGTTTCTGATGAACTGGAATTCACCAGCGATATGAGCGCAAGCAAAAACAGCCACTCCAAGCGACACCAAGGTTTGAATGATAATATCCAGAGGTAGGCCGATGAATTCCTTTTGTACCAGCCTAAGGAATGAACGGTGTTGAGCTGCGGAGTAGGCACAATGAGCTAGAGATAACAGACTCAACACACACAATGTCTTCCACACAGTGGACATAGAGCCCTGAAATTGGGGTTGAATTAAGTTGTAGTAGGTTAAAAATAGCGGTAAAGTGAGATAGGTTTACAATCTATGGATTTTAAGTAAAAATGATAAAAGATATGTATTTTCCAAAGTCTGAGAGTCAATATTACATAAATTTATCTACCAAAAATGGCAATAAAAGCCGGTTTATTCAACTTCATATTACTTAAACTTAAAAACCATGCCAAAACTAGTAAAATATTGCTCAATATCACAGTAAATCAACCACAACAAGGTATATCATCCGTCAAAACAGATTTGGATTCAAAAATCAATTCATGACAATGTAAAAATCTTTATTCAATAACTAAGATCAATGTAAAAGCAAGTTACACATCAATATCACAAAACAAATGATAAAATTGTAAGAATTTGAACTTCAACAGCAAAATTTGTTCTATATTATAATTGAGAACAATATATTTTCTTCAACTTTGTGTTTAACAGACAACTTGAGACCAGAAACTCAACAAGATAGCAGTGTAAACAGTAATATACTGTATTTGGCTGATAGAACTTTAAAGATAAATTTTAGTCATGAAAGATGAAACTTTAGGCTTAGAAAACCCTGAAAATCAAGGTTTAATTACTCTGTAAGTGTTAGATCACTGAAAGCGTTAAAAAACTTGAAGTGTGATAAAAAACGTCGAAAAAGTTCAGTATAATATAGTTAATCTCTTCCAAAGACCAATTAAGATCTTCTAAACCTGAAAAGCTCATAAATGCCAAAAGCCAAAGCCCTTTTCTTCAATTTACCATAATAGAATTCATTTTACTATAGTAGAATTCAAGTTACACATCAATCACACTTTTTCCAGCTTAATCGGTGGTGAACGAAAATTTGCCAACCCAAGATTCCTTTGGTTGGTATGTCGGCCAAATCGTTCCTCCAGCTTTTCGTTGAATCCGGCCATAGTCTTCTTTATCGATTTGCGGAAAGTCATCACGATTACCTTCTCAATAAGGCCGGAGAATCGGCCGTAGTTCACATTACAGGCTACTGCACGCTGAAGCTCGGTTTTGTGCTGATCCTAAAGAAATATAGATGTAAATTTGAGTTAATTATAAGTAATAAAAGCTTCTAAGGCAAAATTTCTATTTATAAGCAGTAAAAAGTATACCTACATCTAATTAACATTAGTCTATGACTGCAAAAACATCAAAATAGCTTTTAATAAACCTAATATAAGGTATAAGCTAATTTTAAATCAGAGACTTACAAATGCGGCTATCAATACATATTCTCAAATAGGTAAGACCTTTCCTCAACTTACCATTGTAAAATCATACATTTAAAACTAGTAGGTATTTGTAAAAAGATCAAACTCATCAACACCTTTCGGCCAATCCCTAAGATAAGGTCAAAGTATAAATTAAAGCCAATATCAAAGCAAACCAGCTAAAAAACATCATAAATACCTTTGCAAGACTCTAACTCAAGTTACAAACACACAAGCCATCCCTCAGACCCTAAAATCAAGACAAAATAACGAAAAAACTTACATGAGGTCGATAATAACATTTCTCGTCCAATATTAAAATATCCCTAGCTGCCACATTTCTGGTATAGGTCGTTAACATTCTTGTTTTTAAATCAAAGACACTCTCTTCAATGGTTGGAATCGTCTTCACCGAAGCCAATTTGCTCATCCATTTAGGGACGGCATTCAGGAAGCTGTTACCTAAATGCATTTCGCTTATTACAAGGTGATTAAAGTTAAATTTTAGCGGAAAACTTGGCCAAAAGCTTAGAAATAGTCGGAAAAAGCTTTTCTAAAAAGTATTTCGAATAAAAGTAAGAAATATTAACGATATACGTTGTTTTAGTCAAACCTAAACATCAAAAAACCAAAATAAACCCTTACCCTTTTTGACGATCAATTTCCTCGTAATAATCTGGTCTTTCGTGATCTCTCTATCCAACACATCTTCGCTAATAATATGTTTGGCATACGAGTTTGGATACCGCTCATAAAATACGCCGGAAACCTCGTTAAATGTATAGTTAAATAAATATTGTGGGGCATCCCAGAAACGCATGTTTTCCGATCAATTTTCGAGATCTTTGATTCGAAACGAATCAGGTAAACAGTTATTTAGTAATATTTTTAAAAAAAGAAGTGGAATGTTTTGAAAAATGAGGGAGGAGAAGGTAATTTTCCGACGAGAAAACGAAACGGAGAGCAAAAATTATTCGCGAATGGCCAACGCGTCCGGAAAATGTGTCGTTTCGTCCATAAAATTGATCGTTGCGCATATATCTCATAGTTAAATTAAATGTTATAGAATAAATAATTTTTTGCAGGCTTCTCAAACATAGAAAAATCCAATAAATGTAAGTTTTTACAGTTTATGTTGTTTTGGAGATCCGTCGATATGACTCATTTTATAGAATTTACAAATTTTTTTTGTTTTCAGAGGATCCAGCTGGTTGATAATAACTTTTTAGTTAAATATTATCGATTCTAATTTGTTTACAATACTATTACTAACACTAATTTTTTAAATTTAGAGTAATGCTTCAAATTTTTCAATTTTAGGTACCTTCATATCAAATTTTAGGTTTTAGCGCGCGAATCTACTGCTACACTATAGCAGTATTTTAATAAGCCAAAGAAATAATGTTCAAAATTTAGAAAAAGCGATAAAAACGTACGACAACTTGAATTCAACCACAAAGATCAACAAGAATCTCAAAAGTCAAAGAAAATAGAACGAAATCGAGCCTAAAATCAATGAAAATTCAAAAGCTCAAAGTCAAGAGGAACCAAAAGAAATCAAAGTCAAAATTAAGAAAAATCAAAAAATTAAATCGTCTCAAATTGAAAACAATAATCATCAAGAATCCAAGCAAAACAAGTTTAAAATCAATGAATTCACAAAATCAATCTCAAAATTCAAAATAACAAGCTCAAACCCAAAACAAAACAAAGTCAAATCAAAATCCAATCAAATTACACCTCAACCGTTTATTCTACACTCCACATATACAAATGTTTAAGGGTTGTACTCGATGGGCAAGTTCTTTCTGCGGACCATACCATCGCCTTGGAACCACTCGCGGCGGAACTGCTTGGCGGCACCGTCGGGGGTGTTGGTCCACTCAATGGTGATACGGTCGTTGTTGGTGTCCTCCTGTCCGTACTGGAAGGCATCGCACGAGACGGCAACCAAGACGGCCTCCTTGGGGTCCAAGACACCACATGGGGGGTCGACACCGAGACGCTTCATGTTGGTGGTCTTGAAGGCCCATCCGATACGACGACCACCGGCGTTGATAACCTGAAAATTGAATTTGAAAATTTAAAAATGAAAAAAATGACAAATTTAGGCCTATTCTTAAGCCTAAGGTCAAAAAACAAAAAGTTAGCCTAAACCTAAAAAAGCTAATAAGCCCAAGTTCACAAGCCTAAGCTCACAAGCCTAAGCTCACAAGCCTAAGCTCACAAGCCTAAGCTCACAAGCCTAAGCTCACAAGCCTAAGCTCACAAGCCTAAGCTCACAAGCCTAAGCTCACAAGCCTAAGCTCATAAGCAAAGAATCATCCCCAAACCCCAAAAAATCATCCCCAAACATACCTTGATGTGGTAGGTGTGCTTGTCATCGTATGGGGCGTTGAACACGACCTTGGTACCGGGCTGGGTGGTGATGTCTCCTGGGGGAACAGATTGAGCCATTTCGACGAGAAGAAGAACACGGAACCGAACAAGCGGAATCGAGTGGCCAAATCAACAAAAGCCATGGCTTTTATACCTCCGGTAGTCGGTCGAAAATTTGCATATTCGAAAAAAGTTCGAAATGTGAAAGTTTTTTCGAAAATTTGAATATTTTTGCTTTTTTAGCCGGAAAATCGGTTTTTTTGAAAAATTGGTCGAGTTGGAGCCAGTCCAAGTGGGGCGACTTTTAGGTCTATACTGACCTCTTTTTTCCTTTCCTCGGTCGAAAAATATCGTTTTGAAAATTAATTTTTGACCCTGCCCTATTCTATCATATTTTATCCTACCCTACCTTGAGCAAACATGTCCTACCCAAGTCATAACGAAGTTTCATCTTACCCTAGTCTTCTTTCTCCTGTAAGGAAAAGACACTTTTATCTTGATGTAGGCTATTAGCTCTCCCACACCTTATATACCCTTTAGCAACCTTTTTATACCCTCCAACCCCAAATATTACCCAATTTTAGTCAAAAATCTATTTATTCTTCCCAAAAAACACCTTTGATCCGACATTTCAAGCGTATTTTTGATTCGAACGAAAGGAGAAAAAAACAGAAAAATGAAAAAATACAAGTTCAACAACAAGCATTAGTCACAAATCTTTTTTAAATCGACCAGGGAAGCCAATAGACAACGCTGGTCAAGATTTATTTTGAAAAATTGAGTAGAAACAGAACAAAATGTCAAAAGTAATCAAATCAACAAGAAGAATTACAATTTGTTGAAACATAGAAGCCAAAAACATCAGGTATGACACACAGAAGCTACAAAACATCAGGTATTGTAGGTAAAACTATCTTGAGTTAGGTAGAAGTAACAACAAGTACATTATACTGAAGATATCAATACATCAAGTGTAAAACATTGATGTTTTTGGGCCTCCTCTACAACAACAATTACAACATGCTCTCAATGAGCGTGTCACGTAACTCCTTTGATATAGCTGATGGGTTCTGATCTCCCAACTTGAAGATAGATTCGATAACTGACAACTCTGCTGATGTTGTGTTCAACCCACAAATAGCCATCCAATCATTGGCACAAACTCCAGCCCCAACAAGCTCTGACCCTCTGTTCACGGTACCAGCTACAACTGGTACTTGTAGAAGCGAAGCCAACTCTCTCTGGGTTTGAGGCGGGGTCTTAGCTGACACCAGAGCTCCATGTGATGTTACGCATGAATACGATCCAACCAATGCATGCTCTCCCAAGTTCATCCTAAAGACTTCGACCTTCAACACTTCCTTCAAGGCTTCTTCCAACTCCTTTCCAATGTCAGCGTGAACGATGGCAACGTGGTCGTTGCAAGAAATCACGTTTCCTAAGGCTGAGAGTCGTTCATTTACCCGTCTGATGGCTACTGAGTCTGGTAAGGAATTCCTGAGGTGCTGAAGCTCGTTGTCTGTGGTTGAGTCAGGTACAAGCAGGCCGTGGCGATTACCAGCACAGATTCGGCCAACAATCGAGGTTCCGGCGATGGTACAGTGTATGACAGGGATAACATCGGCCAATTCGGCTTCGACAATACTAAAGAATCAAATTATTGTATTCCAGAAGCATTTTATTACCTAATTAACTAACAAAATCACAAATCTTGGTAATTTCCATCAGGAATCTATAAAAAAACCCATAAAAATCAGCATTTTATGCCAACTACAACTAAAATTTAAAATTTTAAAATATAAAAAAAGTAAAACAACATATTTCAATTTGGTATGCATCGTAAAAGCATCCCCTTGCTAAACCACAAGATATTCTTGACACCCAGACCGTTTTCAACACAAAAAATTAAAGTCGAAGCTTCCTAGTTGTATCTACTACAATATCGTTACAAAACTCCATTATCTAAATCGATAAACAAGAAAATAAACTCGACATACCTGTAAAAGTGTGACGTTCCGCCAATACCAACTAAACAGTACGCATTTGTGAGCTTACAGAAGACAGCGACGTCGCTGGAGCTTTCGTATTGACATCTCAACGCCATTTTCGCACTTTTAGCTGAAATTACATATTATTAGTCAATAAGCAAACAAGTATGCATGCAAAAGGTAACCCAAAGGTTATTTTCAAATCTCGGAAAGTTACAAAAATCTAGCAAGCTTTTTATACGAAAAATTAAACAAGTTATACGAAAAATTAATTAACATAGTTAATACATTAGAAAGCAAGATAACAGAGGTTGTATTCGTCACGCACCGCATTAAAAATACTACTAACAAGTAAGAAGACAGACAGATAAACAGCTATTTCGCAATTCCCTATTGACAACCAAAAAATATTAGTAATAGTAACAGTCAAAACATACCTAAATCAATGTGAAAATAAGATAAACGCCAATTTTATGGCTAAAAAAAAAATTTTACTAATAAGAGTTGTATAAAAGACCCAAAATAAGGTACATTTTAGGTAAGATGCAAAAGTGAGCTGACAATCTTAAACATTGAAAAACAAACCAATTATTCAAGGTATACCTAAAACAATATAGTTTTTGTTAAAAATTGCTATATATAAAACAAATTTATCATGTCGATTCGATACTATAACATGTTTTAGTCATAAACAAGTAAAAAAATAAAAAGATTGAAGAAAAAAGAAATTATCCGAAATCGTGTCTTCGTGTTAAATCGCAACGCAAATTCTTTGGCGTTCCGCTTCAAGTGGCGATACGGTACAATTTCATAGGAGTTTTTCTTTTTCGCCGCTAGCTTTTCCTTCTTTTGAAATAATATAAGGTTTTTGTGAATTTTGATCGATTTTTGCGTTGTTTCTAGTTATTTTAGCTTTATTATTTGAATACTACATCAACTTTGGTTGGAATAGTTCAGGAATCTTGGAAAAATGACCGGAACCGAGCGTAAAGTGTTTCAAGTAAGTTTTTTTCTTATTTTTACATTGATTTTTAGGTTTTTAGGAAGGAAAGATGTTATATTAGAATGTAATGGAGTTAAGGATTATGTTATTTACGTAGAGTTACTGCTTTTGGACTTTTTAAGCCTAGATTTAGTTAAAATCGCTGAGGGAGACTTATTTTCTAACCTAACTTTATTTCAGAAATACTATCCACCGGATTTCGATCCAAACAAGCTTACCAAGGCTAAGGGAAAGAAGGGAAGTTCACAGTTTGTTCAGCGTGTGATGGCCCCGTTCAACATGCAGTGTAACAAATGTGCTGAGTACATTTACAAAGGAAAGAAGTTTAACATGAGACGAGAAACAGCACAAGGTGAAGACTATTTGGGATTGAAGATCTTTAGGTTTTACTTCAGGTAAGTTGGTTTCTCTATGTTTTTTTTTGATTTTAGGTAAAGGAAAGAAGTGTTTTGAAGGATATGATGGTGTAGTAGACAATAATTATTCGTAACTTTATTCTTTACGAACATTTTAGGTTTAGTCTTTAAGTTTAGGCTTTATGGTTTAATATATTGTTTTTACTAAGCTTTTAAGGCCAAAAAATACATTTTGAAAGATATGTTTATACTTTAGATGTTCTAGATTTGATAAAAACACTCTTTTTCATTGCTTTTGGTAAACTGAAAAAATATGTTTTTAAAATGCTCTTTTAGACTATTTTTTCAACCTTGTATACTTTCAGATGTCCAAACTGCCTCGCTGAGCTTGTATTCAAAACAGATATTGAGAATGTAGACTACCAGATGGAACATGGAGCCACCCGACTTTTTGAAGCTGCAAAATACTACCAACAAAAGCAAAAAGAAGCTGAAGAGTTAGAGGAAGCAGAGAAGAATGATCCTATGAAAGTATTGGAGAAGAGAACAGAAGCCAGTAGAGCTGAAATGGAAGCCGTTCACAAGTTAGGAGAGCTTCAGGAAATGAACAGAAGGAACAACAAGGTCGACTTGATAAGCTTTTTGGATTCTCAACAGATGGACGTGCAACTAACTCAAGCGCAACGCCACAAGTTACAAGAAGAAGAAGATGAAAAAGAAGTTCAGAGATTGATGGCTAAGAAGAAGGTTGAAGTTAAAGAAGAGACGGAAGAAGTGGCAGAAGAGGAACAAAAGCCATCTAGTTCGAAGATTCAATGGAAAGCACCTGCTAAAAGAAATGCTCCGAATTTACTTGCTGGATTTATAAAGAAGAAAGCAAAGGTTAAAGAAGAAGTGAAGCCTAAATCCGAAGTTCTTTCGTCTTCTATTACATCGGATACTCCTTCGTCGTCAAATGGTCTCTTAGCTCCTCGTACTTCTGCATCTACTAGCATTGCACAGATTGGATCATCATTACCTATTGAGATGCCAGAAGAACCTGGATGTTCAACATCAACTTCTATATTGGTCGACAAAGCTGGTGGAACGACTGGCAAACCTGTCTCTAATAGAGCTGCTGTTTTAGGAGCTTTGGTTGGAAATTATGGTTCATCTTCAGAAGATGAAGAATGATCTCATTACACTTTACTCTTATCTATGTGTACATACTCATAAACAATCCTTAATATTTTTTTTGCTTTTGGGGAAGGGACGCGTTATTGTCGCTCTGTACTTTTTGATTTTAGCTTACGTTTACTATTTAATCTCGAATGACTTTCAGGTTTATACCGACACTCATCATGTCTGAAACCACAAAAACCGCTCGTGCTCCAAATGGTCGTCGCCTCTACGTCCGCGCCGTCTTCAGTGGCTACAAGCGAGGACAAAGAAACCAACAAGTCAACACTGCCCTGCTGAAGTTGGAGAATGTTCACGACACCAGGGAAGCTCAATTCTACGTTGGAAAGCGCGCCGTCTACGTGTACAAAGCCCAGAAGAAGGTCGCCAAGGGAGGTCACGAGAAGACTCGCGTGAGAGCCATCTGGGGCCGCGTCACCCGAGCTCACGGTAACACAGGATCAGTCCGCGCCAAGTTCCGCCACAACCTCCCCCCATCGGCCATGGGCAAGAGAGTGCGAGTGATGCTTTACCCAAGCAACATCTAAATTTGGATCTGTTGAGTTTTTTGTTATGAATAAATCCATATTGTTTTATTGTGTAGTAAATGTTTGATCTTTGTAATTTGCATGGAAGATTCTTACGATATCGGAAGGTTTTCGGTGTTTTAAGGTTTGACATGAGGACCTTGCATCTAGGTAAGGGCTTTTGAATTCTGCTTCATCTTTTTATTTTGATAATGTTGAAAGAAGAATAGTTATTATACTTCATTAGCCAGAATTAACGTTGGTGTAGATTAAGTTTGGTTTTGCAAACACGGTATTATCGTTTCGGTTGTTTTTTCTGATAACGAAGAGATTAGCGGCCCAAAAACAAGATTTGACGTTACTCGTTAGTGTCTACTCAAATCGTTATTAATAGTTATATTCTTTTGTTTTCGTGGGGTTGGGTAAAGTTATGTTGTTCCCAGGGCAACGGGCTAAAATTCGAATGCAGAAAGCGGGGAGTAAATAGGTACGAATGTGCTGCCTATCCTTCACAACTTGTGCGCATGGCACTGTACCCGGGTGGTGGAGCGCATCTCGCGTATTCCACGCCGAATCTGAACGAAGCCGAGCCGGCGGATCATATTGAGGATGGTCGGAGTTTGACCGACGACGATTTCTACGATGCCACGGATTATTGGGCACAGTAAGTTGGGGTTTTTGGTTTAACGGGAAGGGATACTGTATTTTTTGACATGCAATTTATTTTTGGTTTAAAAAAGTGGCTTAAATTTTAAAAATAAAGGAAATATGTTAGTTTAAAAGGGTTGTATCTTCAAAAACAAATTGTCTTTTAGTAAAAATGAAATCAGCCTGGAACAATGCATTGCCGAGGCCAAAGCGGCTATGGATTTGTTCCTGAACAATGATTTTGAACAAGCTCAACAGAAAATGAAGCCATTGGCCGATAAAACAATGTATCATGCATTGGGCTACAGCACTATATTGTTCTTGCAGGCTATGATGACTTGTGACCGGGTAAGGATCTAAAGCTTGATTAGACTACTAAAGTTTTTTTTTTATTTTTAAATTCTAAAGCGATTTTAAAATTTTTTGAAATTTGAATTTTTTAAAATTTTTAAAATCTCAAAATTTTAAATTTTTAAAAAATTAAATTTTTAAATTTTATGAGAATATTATTATAGGCAGACATGGAAAAAGCGTTGGAAGCATCTCAAAAGGCTGTCAATGTGATCCATCGTTTCCGAGCACAGTACAGCATCTCCGATTCTATTTTTCGGTTGAGTGGACATTACAAAAAGTTGTCAGATGAGGAGATTCACGCAGAACTGTGCTACGCTGAGGCACTGCTTTTCAGGTAGGGTTGGGATTGAGAAGGATATGGCTAACGAAGGGGTAGGGTAGTGTAGGGAAAACTAAGACAAGATAGGGTCAAGAAGGGCAGTTTAGAATATAGTAAGGCAGATTAGTTAAACGTATTGTAAGCTGGGGTAAAATAGCACTACAGTAGGTCATAAGTATGTTATGGTAGGGCAGTTAAAGGATAGTGTATGACAACAAAAATATGTTAAAGTAAGGCCATGACAGACTATCGGTTAAAGCGAGGGTTCTGTTCTATGCACTAGGTTCAGGATGAGCTGCTATAGGTTACAGTTGGGTTATAGTAACAATAGGGTTTGTGCTGTTTGGCTTAATAGGAGTTGAGGTTACGGTAGGAAATGTGCTTGTACTATAGGGGTACAGTAACTGATAGGTAGGGCAGGGTATGGTAGGGAGGGTACGGTAAGGTAAGATAAGGTAGGGTATAATAGGGTAGGGCAGGGCAGGGTAAGGTAGGGTATGGTAGGGCAAGGTAGGGTAGGCTAGTACTATGACACTATAATAATTGTATTATACTGTAAAATGTATCTTTTACAGAGCAGCCTTAACCTTCTTCTACGACGAAAGCCTAGCCAGTTTCATCAAGGGAGCTTTGAAGATACGATCTTGCTTCATGTCTTACCGTGAATGCTACCGTATTCTCAACTCTCACACCTGGAAAACTCACAATTCGAAGATTAGAGATGAGTTTGAAGCTGGTGTTCTGTTGGGATTGGGCTCATTCAACATTGGCTTGTCCATTTTACCTGGTAAAATATTGAAATTGCTTCAAGTGATCGGATTCAATGGGAAACGGAGCTACGGAATGAAATGCTTGAACAAGGTCGCTGAGATGAAGCATACATTGAGGTGGGTATAAGTTGGCGTAGAATGGCAGGAATAGGGGTAGGGGCATAATGAAAGTAAAGGTAGGTGTAGGGGTAGGGGTAGCTGTAGGTTTAAATGTAGAGGCAAAAGTAGAGGTAGGGGTACGGGTAGTTATGACACTAATTTATTAATAAGTTCTGTAATTTTAGATCAACAATGGCCTCCTTATCTCTGTTGGTTTGGGAACTGTTTGTGACATTCTTTATTGGTGAAGGCCTACCAAATCGAACTCTGTGCGCTGCTTTGTTTAAGGACCTGAATGTTCAGTACCCTAATGTAAGTATCTTGTTATAGTGATTAGGGCTTAAGAAGCAGGATAGGGTAGGTTAAAATAAGGTAGGATAGGCTAAGATAGGGTAAGATAAGGCATAGGTGGCAAATGTAGATTACAGTGGAATTTAGGCATGGTTGGATAAAAAAATGCCGAGTAAAGAAGGATACTGTAATTTAGAGTAGGGTTGAGTTAAAGCAGTTCAAGGACATGGTAGGATAATAAAAAGTGACGTAGGACGTGGTACGGGTGGGCATGGTAGAGCTAGGGATGGCATGGTAGGGTAGGGTATGGTATGGTATGGTATGGTAGGGCTAGGTATGGCAATGTAGGTTAGATTAAGATATTTAAAATTTTTTAAAGCTGGTGGTTATTGAGGGAGGCTTACTGTAAATTACGTATATATATGTAGTTGTGTCAATTGTTAGTTGTACGAAACATAATGACATCTTATAGGTTTCCGTGTTTAAAATAGTCAGAAATTACAATGTTGTAAGGTATATATTTTTGTTACCCACGTTAAAGCATTGTATTTATTAATACCTTAGAAACCTCAAAAGATACTGTAAATGACACTATGTAAAAATAAAAATTTTCGTGTTTTACTACATTTAAAATTTCAAAATTACAGGGTGCAATCATACTGTTCCTACGAGCCCGCTTTCATTTGACTTCCGGTGATGTGGACAATGCCATTTATTTTTACAATCAATCAGTGTACTGTCAGAGTTACTACAAACAGTTCCATCATATTTGCTATTGGGAGCTACAGTATGTTTAAAGCCTTAGCTCAAAGCCCTAGCCCAGAGCTCTAGTCTACGTTTTAGCTCAAGTTCCAGCCTTAGTTCTAGCCCAGTGTGCTAACTACACATGGGGAACGGGCCGGGTTTGAGTGTTAGCCCCGGCCCGATCTAAGTTTTGCTCCGGCTCGGCTCGATTTTTTTACCTGGAAACGGGCCGGGCTTTCTTGGCCTAGCCTGGAAATTTTGGAACAGCCCGGTCTGGCCCGATCGAAGGCCCAGACCGGCCGTTCCCCATGTCTAGCGTTAACCTAATTCTTAGCCTTAGGTTATGCTCATGCTCGTGCCTGTAGTTAAGCGCTTAACTTTCGCAATACCTAATCTTATACCTCTACTTTCAGATTTGCCTATGCCATGTTGGGATGTTGGGATTGGGCGGCGAACTATGCCAAACGCTTGAAAAATGAATCGAGATGGTCAAGGTGTGTCTATGCTTATCTCATTGCCATCTACATCTACCCATACGACCAAAGTATCGAGAACTATGTGACCTGGCGTTTGTTATGTCAGAAAGTGCCCAAGGTCCGACTTCGAATTGCCGGCAAATCAATACCGGTCGAGAAGTTTTGCGAACGCAAAGCCAAACGCTTCCTGGCTGAGAATCGAATGTACTTGGCCAACTTTGAGTTCATGTACTTTTGGAATATATTCAGCATATTCGAAGCTCGACGAAGCCATGTGTCTGATGTCATGTATAAGATCGAACAGTTCAAAAGGGAGAATCCTACTGGTAAGTAACGGTGGGGAGGGTACTATAAAAAGGAAAGTACAATGTGATTATAAGTAGAGGTAGGGGTGGGTCTGGAGCAAGGGTTTTAACATTGGCTAGGGCTGAAGCAGATGCTATGGATTCATCAGACGCCGGGGGGGGGGAGGGGGGAAGGGAGAAACGGGACATGTAGACTCGGATTGGTTCAGCCCGGCTTTACGATCTAGTCGGGCCGGTCTCGAGCTAAGGTTGAAACGGACTGGGCTGGAAAAGCGGACCCGGGTCTAAAAAAATTTTGGGCGGACCATCCTAGAATTTTTTTGACAAGGCCAGGCCGGCCTGAAAACAAAAATGAAAACGGATCTGGCCTAAACGTTGGGACTTGGGCCTGGGCTAGGCTTTAGAAGGGGGCCCGGCCTGTTTCTCACCTGTAGATAGGGGTAGGGTATGGGCATCATGGCCATGTGCATCATGGACATGGGCATCATGGGCATGGGCATGATCATGAACATAGGCGAAGTCTGGGGCAAGGGCTGAATCAGGGGATAGGGCAATGTTTGGCAGAAGCAAGGGTAAGGGTAGGGGATGCAGAGACGTTTTTATGACATTTTAATTTTAGAAGATGTAAACGATTTGGCACTGTACGACTTTTTACGTGGCGTATGCTTGAAAACTATGCGACAGTACGAATCGGCTGAACGATGTCTTTACAAGGTCATACAAAGGTAAGTCATACCCTACCCTACCCTACCCTACCCTACCCTACCCTACCCTACCCTACCCTACCCTACCCTACCCTACCCTACCCTACCCTACCCTACCCTACCCTACCCTACCCTACCCTACCCTACCCTACCTTACTCTACCCTACTCTACCCTACACTACCCTACCCTACCCTACTCTGCCCTACCCTACCCTTTGAAAAATGCAATTTTCAGTGAATCCCGCCTGACGGACAACTTTTACCTAGTTCCAAATGCCACTTTTGAGCTTTCTCAAATCCGTTTCGAGCAAAAGAACTACAGCGAGGCAGAGTCATTGTTGAACAAAGTAAAACAATATAAAGGATATTCGTTGGAGAACAAACTTTTGTTCAGAGTTCATGCGGCCGTTGAGCGATTGGCCGCGTTGAAGAGCACATAATCAACAGATATTAATATAGCTTTTATATTTTTAAATTTAATAAATTATTTATAGTAATTGTTGATTTAAAATGGTATGTAATACATTTTTTGCACAGTTCAATAATTACTATTAATTACAATTATTGCAGAGTATTTTAATATAACATGTTCATAATATAAATTGTTTTTATTTTTGGTTTGGGACCCTGAGGCTTTTAAATTTGGATTTTCCGTGAAATTTCAACCTACAATTGCCTATTTCAATGAATCCTGGAGAAAAATGCTGATATCTTGGCCGATACTTGGCCAAAGCGGACCATCTCTTCAAGTACTGATGTAAAATGGCAATAGAAATACTATAAGTAAGTTTAAGTTTCTACTTTTGTCTTTTGAAAGTACTCATACTGGCAGACTCTTGTATAAAGCATTTCTTGGGCGTTTTAAAATTTGTTTGTTGTAGCTTCTGGTATAGACGAGTTGTAATTTTTTTAAGGGTTTAATGTTGTAGTGTGGGTCATGTTGGTCGGACAAGTAATGACCAAGGCGTTCTGTTGCTTATTTTTATGAAAAGTGCTACGGATGAAGGGAAGCTGGTAGGTACTTCTTTGAATTTTTATACAGTATAACTCTTGTATAACGGATAGTTCACAGATTTGAAATTTGTTCGTTAAAAATGACTCCACTCTGCAGTGATAGCTATGCATTTGAAAGTTGTTGTTATACGGGAGTTTTGTTATAGAGGAGTTCGTTATACAGAGGTTCCACTGTATACAGCTTTTCTATATACATTGGAACTCTTTTGTAACGAACTCCTTTATAACGAATCTACTTTTAATAAAAATTCTGTACAATAAACAACTTTTAAGTTCCTAGCTAACACTATGGAGTGCATTCAAACCTCCTCTACAACATAACCCTTTCATAACAAACAAATTTTAAATCTTCGGGCGATTCTTTATGCGGTACTTCCACTGTCGTTTCGTTCTTTTACTGGGTGCGCCAAAAGTTCCTGACTAACTTACCGTTTGTCTATGTTATTACTAGTAACAGGGCCGGGCGCAAGGGGGGGGACGGGGGGGGGGTACCCCTCCAGAAAAAAATTTTTGAAAAAAGTTGAACGTGGTCCCCCCTGTGGATTTTCGGAAAAAAAATTTTGCAAAAAATCGGCACAGATAGCTGCTACCTGTGCCGATTTTTTTTAACCCCTGCCCACAGACCAAAAGTCCTCGCCCGGCCCTGACTAGTACTATATGTTACTATTGTTAGTTGTTGTTTTAAGTATATTCATTGTTTTAATAAATATATGACTAAAACAATGTGTCCGGGGACTTTTGGCGCACCCTGTACACAGAACTTTCGTAGACTACCTTTTTCAACACATTCCTACCACCCAACGTTCTTTTACAATCTAACCAAATTACTTTTACTTGACGTGCTTACCTCAATAATCCGTTAAAGAGCAGTGTTGTTTGGATTGCGTGAATAATTAAGTGACTTTCATCCGGCCAGTGTTCTTTTCCCGTTGCTCTGACAACAGTCATTACAATTACAATTCCCGTATTTTTTTACTGCCAAGTAATTTTTGAAAGGGATTGTTCGAAATTCGGAGATTGGGAAAAGACTGGGTGGTATGGTAAAGTAGAGGTGACATTTTGGTAGATGGGTAGGGTGATGTTGACATAGGGAGTTTTGATGGGTTGAGATTGAAATACTACAACTGTTTAGTATGAATTGGGCTTGTCGTGCTGAAATATGATTTTTGGGTTGGGTAGGGTGAAATAGGGTAGGGTACAAGAGGGTAAAATAGGGTAGAGTAGGGGAAATAGGATAGGGTGTAATAGGGTAGGGTAGAGGAAGGTAGGGTCTTACCAAACATCAATCAAGCCTAGGCTAGAAGAAAACAAAAGTAATTGCTATGTAGCATTTAGAATTGAATTAGATCTTGTATGGTCAGGGCTAGGGTAAATCTACTTACAGGGTAAATAAAACGTTGGGTTAGGACATATGGATCGAATAGAGTAGAATAATGTAGGTTGGGGTGGGGAATAATAAAGTAGAGTAGGGTAGAATAGAAAAAGGTAGAATAAGTTAGGGTAGCTCAATGTAAAGTAGTTTAAGTAGGAAGATTAGGACCAGGACCGGAAACCAAGAGTATAGGACTAAGGGTAAGGTTAGGACCAGGACTAGGGGTAGGACCAAAGGTAGGAATAGGACTAAAGTTGAAGCTAGGGCTAGTATGGTAGGGTAGGGTAGGGTAGGGCAGGGTAGGGTAGGGCAGGGTAGGGTATAGTAGGGTAGGGTAGGGTAGGGTAGGGTAGGGTAGGGTAGGGTAGGGTAGGGTAGGGTAGGGTAGGGTAAGGTAATGTTTTTTTTCAATTTTCTTTTAATATTCATTATATTAGCATCTATTGCAATAGCTATTGTATGTTGTTGAACTAAAGCCTTACAGTTTTTTCGAAAGACTGTTAGCTGTCATATAGAGCTTCACTAAAGTAGAATTTGATGTTTTATTGAAATTTTAAATTGTACCAAAAGCTATATTGTTATACTAATGTCACATTAAAGTATTGCAAGTCTAATAGGAAGTATGTCAATGTTAGGTTAGTCATGCCTTATACATAATACGTACAAAGCTTTAATTATAAATTTGTGTTGATATTATGCATGCAAAGCTGTCTGTTGAGCTATTTTAAGTGTTCACAAAGTACGTACATGCCTTTTTATAATTAATTTGATCACTCACTGTATTGTTATACGTAAAATTTTGATGTTTTACCTTAGTTTAAAGATTAAAGTTAATTTTTTTTTGTTTCTTATAGTTTTAGCTTAATTTGTATATAGTGTTTTTTATACTATATAGTACTCCCGTTACAACGAAAGTCAAATTAAAGTCGATTTTTAAATTTTGAAGTGTTATGCCTACTAAATGTTTAAGCCTCAAGCTATGAAATGTTTCAAATGAGTTTTAACATTTGGTTTTCAGATTAAAAAACCATGTATTCACTGGGCTCTTCATTGAGTATCAATGAACACTATTCGGGTCGATACAGAGCACCATTGAGCAGACAAAGCACGGTGGGCGATGATACAATCAACTTTGACATGTTTCGCACACAGGCATTGGAGAAGGTTAGTTTTTGAAAATTTAAAAAATTAAAAAAAAATTTTTTTTTGTTTGCTATACTGTTTTTGTTCAATTTATGAAGTGAAATTTTTGTTCAATATTTTTAAATTTACTATAATATTTTCTTTAATAACTAGTAAGCATGGACAAAAATTTATGTAGGGATGTAAAGGTATGTTAAACTTGTTTTCTTAAACTTTGATTTATATTTATATACGTATATTAAAAGCCATAACTAAGCATAGGCATAGGCTCGGTCATGGACATGATCATAAAGATGGGCATGGATTATTGATAGGGCCATAGCTCTAGGTTAAGGCACAGGGTTTAAAGCTCAGGTTTCAAAGCTCGGGGTTCTGGGCTAGGGCTCTAGGCTATGCATCTTGGCTAAGGCTCTGGCTAGGGCTCTGGGCTAGGGCTCTGGGCTAGGGCTCTGGGCTAGGACTCTGGGCTAGGGCTCTGCGCAAGGGCCCTGGGCTTGGGTTTGGGCTAGGGCTCTGGGCTAGGACTCTGGGCTAGAGGTAAGAACTAGGAATATTAACGCATATATGTACATGTATAGGTAAAGGTATATATAGAAAAACGTATTAAATGATGTAGAAGCATGAGGGTGTTATGTGTAACAGCCATTAAAGTCTTTGTTTTACTCTATTACGTACTATGATAATGACGTTCATTACCTTTTGGTTGGTGGCGTAATATTTATTTACCATATATGGTCGGATTGTTTTTGACATATACCAAGTTTTACTGTAAATTCAAAAATTTTAAATTCAAAAATTCTCGGACTAATTAAAAATTAAATGCCTAAGGGTTTCACGAACTAGTAAAACTTTACAAGAATGCTTTTTAAACGAATTATAAGCCAATTTCGACTGATTAACCTGGTCTTTTCCCTCGACTGTCGGATTAGACCCCCTAAAGGCAGTAAAATAAAAATATCAAAAAGCCAAATTATTTTCCAAATCTAGCCAAAAAGTGTTTGACTTCATGTTGGAATGGGTTTTGGGGTGTGGATTTTGGCATTCCTGGGTAAAATGTGTTAGGACGTTTATTTAATTCTGCGCCCCCTCCTAAAACAGATTTTTATCATAATAAGTATTTGGTTGTTCAGATAATTCTGTGTCTCTTATAAAGCAAATTTTTAGAGTTAAGGGCACAGAATTATGTGAACAAACTAGTAATTTCTTTTGGTTTTTGAAAGTTTCGTATTTTTAAAATTTTGACAGTTTGATTTTTTAAAAGTGCATTTTGCCAAAATTAAATGAAGTTAAAATAAAAAATGTTAAGCATAAAGAAAGTACGTATATTTAGCTATCATTTTGCAAAATTTCAGAAAGTTCCATTAACCTTACGTTTTATAATGACACGTTTTTGACCCTTACAATGGCTAGTCCCAGAAATTCAAAAAAAATTTTTAAAGTGCACTTTGCCAAAACTAAATAAAGCTAAAATAAAAATTGTTTAACTCCGTAAAGATACGTATATTTAACAATCATTTGGTGAGATTTTACAATTTTTTATAAACCTTATATTTTAGAATGAACTTTTTACTCCTCCATTGGCTAAAAAAGAAACTTAAAAACCTTTTTCAAAGTGCATTTTGCGAAATTTAGACAAATCTAAAGTAAAAAATTTTGAAAATAATAAAAGGGCATCTATTCAGCTATCATTTTGCAAAAGTTTACAATTTTTCATCAACCCTATATTATGTTTTGGCACTTTTTTCACACCCCATATTATGGCTGCAAATATTAGAAAAATGGCTCAAATTTTTACATTTTTGAATTTTAAAATTTATTTTTACAAAAATTAGACAATGTTGCGGTAATTCGTTATTACGTAGTAAACGTACATATATTCAGCTATCATTTTTTCAATTTTTAAAAATTTTCATTAATTCGTCTTTTTGAAATTGCATTTTTTGTTACATCATGTCTTTTAAACGACGCAAAACAGCCAAAACAGACTTTAATTCGCCCATTTTGATACCTAAATTCAAAGTTATTATAAGAGTTTAATAAAAAAGTTTTAACCAGCCCATACTCCGTAATTGCCAAAAAAAAAGTTTTCAAAAATACGTTGATTAGAAGGTGTATTCAGAGTGTAATCCGCGTTCTATTTACACAAATCTCGTGGGATTATAGAAGTATCATAGACCTTAACCACGCTTACAGATGGTTTTTTGTGGAAAAATGTTGTGTTTCGGAGGGGAAAAGTTTAATTTTGATAATTTTAAGGGCATTTCCCTTTTTAACAGGGATTTTAAGTTTTGCGTAGTGACGTTTTATACGATGAAATGTGTCTGAATTCTTAAGTCACATCTTATCGTATAACATGTCTCTTTGCCAAGAAAACTGAACACTGACTATAATTAGGAAAACTAGTTGTTTTTCTCTATTAAACTTGTTTTTACAAAAAAAGTGGTAACATGTTATACGATGAAACGTGTCCTCAGTCTTCAGACACGTTTCATCGTATAAAATGTCTCAAAAAATTTTTTTTTAAAATTATGTTGCTTTTATTTTTAAAAGTAGTAACTCTCGTCATTTTTTAGACTATATTGAAATTCATTGATAAAGAGACAAGTTATACGATGAAATCTGTCTGAGACTTGGGACAGATTTCATCGTATAACATGTCTTTTTGATAAAAAAAAGTTAAAATTAACTATATCTAATAAAAACCGTTGTTTTTTTCTATAAAATGTTTTTTATAAAGTTATGGTGACAAGTTATACGATGAAATGTGCCTTTACTCCAGACACGTTTCATCGTATAACTTGTCACTGTATATAAACCTATATTATTTAGCTTGTCGTTTGTTTGTCTGATTTGTATTTTACATTCGAAATAAATATTTTCAAGCTGAATTTTAGTTAATACCGCCATAAATTTAGGTATCTTGTCTATACGAGTAAAATATTTGGACTTCATCATGGATATTACACTGTAGCCAAGCACTAGGTTTCCATAACTGATATACAAAAGGTTGTACTAAGCTATAAAGACCTTTAAAATCACATTTTCAAAATTTAAATTTTAAAAATTTTTTGAAATTTCGAAAAGTACGAAAAATGGACTTGTCGGTAAGCTCGATTTTGTCGCATATGCCAGACAAAATACGACGTCGTATACGACAAAAGTCGGATGAGGAGTTCAAAAGTGAGGAGCTGATTCTAAAAGAGCGTGTTCAGATGTTCGATGCCCGGTTTCGGAATTTACGCGAACGAAAAGCAGCCAAGCCTACATTGAAAGGCAAAATCTACAATTTTTTGGAGCGGCCGACCGGTTGGAAGTGCTTTATCTACCATTTTAGGTAAGAGATTTTAATTTTTTAATGGAATTTAGGTATATATTTATTACAGGTTTGAAAGGGAGGCTAGGACTAGGGCTAAGGCTAAGGCTGAGGCTGAGGCTGAGGCTGAGGCTGAGGCTGAGGCTAAGACTAAGGCTGAGGCTGGGGCTGGGGCTGGGGCTGAGGCTAAGGCTGAGGCTGAAGCTGAGGCTAAGGCTAAGGCTAAGGTTAAGGCTGGGGCCGGGCTGCTTTAAAGCAAATTTAAAAGTACCCTAGCCGGGGACATGTAGACCCAAGGGCCGGGGCCCAAACTACGGACTGTAAGCTGGGCCCAAAAAAGATTTGAATTATCTTGATCTTAGGCCGGGCTGGCCCAAAACAAAATTGAACAGGGCCGGGCACATGTATAGGTTCAAAGGCCAGATCCCAAACCTGTTTTGCTCGTGGGCTGGGTTGAAAAAAGGCTAGCCATAAATTTTTAAAATTTGAAAAAGGTCACTATTATATAAGCTCAAATAGACTAGAAAACGATTTTCTGAATCAATGTGGGAATTCAAAGAGAATTACTTTTCAGTGTGTTCACATTGGTATTGTTATGCCTCATCCTCAGTGTGTTATCAACAGTCGAATCGTATACAAAACGTGCTGCTGAGGTGCTATTTTTCATGGTGAGTTCTTTTCTTTTAATTTGAATATTTGTAAGATTAGAGAAGGCTGGTAATGGTAAGCTGGATTAGTACACGTGGACGTTTAGGTATGACATTAGATAGGAAGTGATCAAGGAAGGTCGCATAGTAAGAGTAGAGACTGATTGTGAGGTTGAGGTAAGTGTAGACAATAGGGCAGAGGCCAGGACTAAAGCTAGGGCCGGAATTAGGGCGCGGATTAAATTTAAGGTTAGGGTTCTGGACTAGGACTTTGGGTTAGGGCTCTGGGTTAGGGCTGTAGACTAGGGCTTTAGGCAAGAGCTCTGGGCTAGGACTCTGGACTAGGGCTAAGACTAGGGCAAAAGCCAGGGTTTTAGGCTGGGCTAGGGCTCTGGACTAGGGCTCTCGGCTAGGGTTCTGGGCTAGGGCTTTGAGATAAGGTTTTGGACTAGGCTTCTGGGCTCTGAGCTGGGTCTTTTGGTTAAGGTTGAGGGTAAGACTAGTAAAGAGAACATTAATTTTTGTTATTTCAGGAAATTTTTCTTGTTGTATTCTTTGGCCTAGAATACTGTATTCGACTGTGGTCAGCGGGTTGTCGTTCAAAATACCTCGGCTTCTTTGGTCGGCTAAAATTTGCCAAAAAACCTATTTCTATAATTGGTAAGCGTTTTATATCTTTTTAAAAAAATGAACTCTACTTAACGTATTTTACAATAAGCAAATAATGCATTTTTAAATTTTGTGAAAGAGTATTATGATTTCAATTTTTTAGACTTATGTGTGGTAATAGCAAGCATAGTAGTGATAGGCGTTGGAAGCGAAGGAAAAGTGTTTGCCACAAGTGCTATACGGTAAGTTTTTAGTCTATTGTAATTTTTTAACAAGTTGTTTTTGTTTTAAAAGGCTAGGATTAAGTATCAGGCTCAGGTTCAAACTTAGATTCAGGTTAATGTTCAAGCCCAGGCTTAGGCTTGGTTTTAGGTTTATGCTAAAGCTAAGGCTAAGGCTCAGGCTTGTGCTCAGACTCAAGCTATAGCTAAGGCTAAGACTCCGGCTTAGGCTCAGGCTCAGACTTAGGTTTAGGCTTAGGCTTAAGCTTAGGCTTAGGCTTACGCTGAGGCTTAGGATTAGGATTAGGCCTAGGCTTAGGTTCAGACTCAGGCTCAAGCTCAGGTTTAAGATAAAGATCAAATCTAAACTTTAACTTAAGCTTCAGCTCAAGTTCAACTTCAAGCTTAAGCTCAGGTTCAGGCTCAGGCTTAAAGGACCAGTTCGCCCATTCAAATATCATTGGCATTCTGTCGCAAAAATTCGACGTTCATTTTTTTCGCAAAAAACCTGAGCAGGTCGGTCCCAAATTGAAAAATTCATTTCGACACCGACCCACTCACGTTTTTTGAGAAAAATGATTTTGATTGAAATTGCCTGATTTTCGACGCTTTTTGCGACAGAATGCCAATGATATTTCAATGGGCGAACTGGTCCTTTAAGCTCAGACTTAGGCTTAGTCTCGTAATGAGGCTGAAGCTAAAGCTAAGAATATTCAATTTTTTGTTCTAGTTGAGGCCATAACCAGTTTAAAAACTTTAATGTATTTGCGGAATCGATCTTTTTCGGATTTTTGACTTTTTTAATCAGTCATAACTTTTTTTAAAAAGTAGGTAACAACTTGAAATTTGTGAATTACATACACCATTTAATGCTTTACGTAACCCATTTTACCATTTTAGCAAACACTTTGTTAATTTTTAAAGCTAACCATTTTAGTGGCGTCCGCTTTCTTCAAATCCTACGTATGTTACATGTGGATCGTCAAGGTGGTACATGGCGTCTACTAGGCTCAGTCGTCTTTATACATCGTCAAGAGCTTATAACAACATTATACATAGGTTTCTTGGGGCTTATATTCTCATCGTACTTTGTTTACTTGGCGGAGAAGGATACTGTAGGGCCGGATGGGAAGGTTCATTTCACTAGCTACGCAGACGCTTTGTGGTGGGGCGTGGTAGGTTTCTGGGGGATGTGTATGGGGTTTCAATGTCTGTTTGTTTGCTGATTTACAAGAAAGCGTTTTTTAAGGTTACTGTACAATAAAATACGATACAGTAAGCTAACTTTTTTACTTTGAAATGCCGTTTTTTATTAGAGGTGCAAAGTTTAAAAACTAAAACGTAAAATTCTGATTTAAAATGCCATTATTTGTGTTAAAGTTCGAAATGACATTTTTTGCATTTTTTATTTAAAAATGACGTTTTTAACCAAAAAGTTTAGATAACAATGACCACCATTGGGTATGGTGATGTTGTACCACAGACATGGATTGGCAGGATTGTCGCTTCTTGTTTTGCCATTTTTGCCATTTCTTTCTTTGCTTTACCTGCGGTGAGTTTAAAGTCTAAAATAGTATGACTAGAGGTTCCCAGAGGCAAGAGAGGTAACATATAAGTGTAAGTCGATGCTAATATAGTAAACAGAGAATGGGCAGGGCTAAGGCAAGATAAAAATGAACGGAGAGCTAGTCAAAGGTTGAATAGGGCAAGAAAAGTCACAGAAGGCTAGGCTATGGTAAAAAGGTTGATAAACTAATTATGAATTATAGAAAAGTTTACAATACCTTAAACTTACAGTAAGGAAAGAACTAGAAGGGTACTAGGGGAAGAGTTGGGTAGGGTTAGGTAGAACTTGTAGGGTCCGGCTATAGTACGATAATATCAAGCGGGACAAAGAAAAGCAGGATAGTTTCCGAAAGGGTAGTGTAAAGAAGAAAAAGAGGACGACAGGATAAGAACAGGGTACGGTAGGACAAGACAGGACAGAGTAAGGTAGAGTATAGTAAGATAGGGTGGGGTAAGGTCGGAATGCAGAAAATAAAGTTGGGTAGGGCACGATACGGTAAGACAGAGTAGGGTAGGGTAGGGTAGGGTAGGGTAGGATAGGGTAGGGTAAGGTAGGGTAGGGTAGGGTAGGGTAGGGTAGGGTAGGGTAGGGTAGGGTAGGGTAGGGTAGGGTAGGGTAGGGTAGGGTAGGGTAGGGTAAGGTAGGGTAGGGTAGGGTAGGGTATCACAAACTATTTTTTATTTTTTTCTTATTTTCAGGGTATTCTAGGCTCAGGCTTTGCCTTAAAGGTGCAACAAAAGCAGCGTCAGAAGCATTTCAATCGCCAAATCCCAGCCGCTGCCACTCTAATCCAATGTATGTGGCGATGCTACGCCGCTGATAAACACAGTAAGTCCGTAGCCACATGGAGAATTCATGTGGATCCAAACGCAAATCGAAAGAAAGAGGAAAAGGAAGCTACTCCTCCTCAACCGACTGGTAATATGAAGGGACAGGTGTTTCAGCGGGGTACTAAGAAGACCAACTCTGTGGCTGCTATGTGGAAGTCTAAGGCCGCTTTTCAAAAGTAAGTTGAGACTTCGAAAAAATTTAAATTTGGGTGGGGGGGGGGGAAGGGTTTTAGAATTCAAGTTTTAGGTAAAAATTTAGGTAGGGCAGGGTAAAATCTCAAAAAAAAGACAAGGGAAGGGATGAAGTTGAGGGAGTTAGTTTTGTGACAAAAAATTGGCAGGAGGAAGGCGAGGGTGGGGCAGGGTAAAGCGAAAGGATGGGTAAGGTAAAGTGAAAAACAAGGTGGGTGTTATCAAACGGAAAAAAATTGGAGGGGGAGTAGGGTTGGACATTTACCGGTAAATTGATTTTTCGGTAAAAATTTTACCGGTTTTTACCGGTAAATTTACCGGGCTATTATTTGGTATTTAAAAACTTTAAAATGTCATTAAAACGTTTAATAAGCGTTTTAAAACAACAAAGACAATAAAATAGTAAGTATTTCACTCTTTTACTTTAAAAAACAACTTATAAGTCCAATAGCATTGTCGACTTCTTTTTCCCTACCGGTATATGTTATGTTGACGTAGCTAGTCATAGATGATTGGATGATCATTGTCGACTAGACTCTGCTTGGTTCGATGGAATCTTTTGTTTTCCGCATTTTTGCTCATATAATTGCACGACCTGTTCTTGATCATTTGAAGATATTTTAGTGCAATTGTTTCGCTAAATAATCACAGACCTATACATAAAGTATCAAAAATCAACAAGAAAGTTTAAAAATTGAATTTTTCGTCCTTGTGAGTTGTTGGCAGAAGATGTTGGTACAGTCTTGTAAGGTTACTGACGTATTTTGCACCACAATAATTGCAAAAGTAGTCATTATTTGTTCTTTTGTAACGGTCTGTGATATTTTTCAACATATTTCGTCAAAATATTGCTAATTTTCCAAAAGAAAAACAAATTTTGAAACAAAAATAATTTTCGTGCTAGGACACAAAACACTTTTTTACCGGTAAAAAACCGAAATTTTCGGTAAATTACCGGTAAAATTACCGGTAAATTTACCGGTAAATGTCCAACTCTAAGGGGAGGGGTCAAATAGGATGAAAAAAGGGGCAGGTGTTAAAAATAAGAAAAATTTCTAAGGGTAGGGTGTTGTATAAAAAGGGAGAGGAGAGGGCAAAAAATAAAAAAAATAAAGGGAGGGGTAGGGTAGAGCGAAAAAGGGGTAGATGGTAAAAAATAAAAAAGTTTTGAATGGGGTACGGTAGGGTTGGGTAGGGTAGAGTGAAAAAGAGAAGTGGGTTTTAAAAAAATTTGGAGAAAGGGTAGGGCAAAAAAGAAGGGATGGGCTCTAAAAAATTTTAAAAAATTAGGTAAAGATGGAGGGGGGGGGGAGGACGAGGAGATGGAAAATTGGAAGGAGGAGAATGGGAAAGGTGGGTTAACAAAAATATATTTAATAAAAGTTTGTTTTTGAAAATAGGTGGAGGTGCCAAAAAATGAAAAAAAAATTTTCTAGGGGTCGACTACGCTCAGCTGGCTCAGCAGAAGAACCAAAGCTTAAAGAAAGTGATGGAGAATGCGAGAATTCTGATTCTCCGCCGAATCGGCGTAAGTTTATTTAAAATTTTATCAAAAAAGTTATTATATTAGCCTGTGTAAAGAAAGTTTTTGCTATTTTTGTGTTCTAACCAAATTTTTAGTCGTTTTATAGTACGTAAAGAAAGTTCTTGTCATTTTTTGTTTTGTAAAAAAAGTTTTTTCTATTTAATTTTATATTGTAGTACATGGCTGTAACCCTCGCAAGAAGTCATCGTTATTCGATTCGAAGAGCGAAGATGCAGATAACAATGATGATGAAGGTTCTCCACTGGTCAAGGTGGCTCACATTTGTGAACTGACCGACGTTCACAAGAATGCGATCAGAGCAATTCGAAAAATTAAATATTTTGTGGCCAGAAGGAAGTTCGGCCGCGCTAGAAAGCCATACGACGTTAGAGATGTGATAGAACAATATAGTCAAGGGCATGCCGAGCTGTTTGTCAGGATCAAGGGACTGCAACGAAGGTAAGTAACCCCTACCCTACCCTACCCTACCCTACTCTACCCTACCCTACTAGCTCTCCTGGTCCTGGTCCTGATCTTGGTCTTGGTCCTGGTCTTGGTCCTGGTCCTAGTCTTGGTCTTGGTTTTGGTCCTGGTTCTTGGCCCTGGTTTGGTTCTGGTCTTGGTCCTGTTACTGGTCCTGGTCTTGGTCTTGGTCCTGGTCCAGGTCCTGGTTCTTGGCCCTGGTCCTGGTCTTGGTCGTGGTCATGCTCCCGGTTCTGGTCCTAGTCTTGGTCCTGGTTCTTGGCCCTAATCTGACCCTAGTATGGCATTGGTCTGGCCTTGGCTGGTCCTAGTATGGCCCTGGCCTGGCCCTAGTTTGACTCTGGCTCAGCTATGGTTAAGTGCCTTGGAATGAAAATACGTATTTATATCTAGCCAATCCAACTTCAAAAACAATTTTTTGCCATTTCAGGCTAGACCAAACGCTCGGGAAGCCAGGTCAAAACCTGACCGGTCGCAAGTCTCACGCCTATTCAATCATCGGTCGCTTATCTAAACTAGAAGCTCAGATGAATAATATGGACAGAAAGATGGATAACATGACTCGAATCATGCATGGCATCTACCGTAGTCTGAACCATGACCGTATCTCATTACGGTCATCAACTCCAGAGCCTTATCCTAACCCGAATCGATCTGATTCGTTATCATTGAGTGTTAGCGAACAGTTAACACCCAACTTTCATAGTAGCTCACAACCTAGGTTTAGAGAGTTCTCGGGGGAGTGAGTGAGGGTAGATTACTGTAGGGCTTGGTTTTTACAGAGTAAAATGGAATAAAGGTACAGTAAGACCCAATTGTTAGATCAAGACTTTTCTTGACAATTCGATTTGAGTTTATTAACATTATGTTCCGACATAAAGAACCCGCCATTTTTTACAGGAAAAGTATGGCGGGGTCTTTATGTCGGCACCTAATATATTACTATAGTCTGCCAAAACAACGTTTGTTTACGGATTTTTATTGTCTTTTTGTAGTTATTAGTGTAGATATTTACACGGCATTTTGTTTTTAAATTGTAGTCCTTTTGTCAACAGTGATACGGCATAGGCAATACTTGGGGCTTTAAATATAAGGAAGGAGCACCCTTCCTTATCCCCTCTTCCTGTCATTTTTTCTGTTAGCTCTAGTGGCACCGTTCAGCGCCAATACTGTCAATGTGATAACTCTACGCATTTTTTAATATGTACAGGGTGCGCCAAAAGTTCTGTTACAAAACTTTACCGGTTGTTTTCTCTATGTTGCGGTTAAATTATTTAACATTTTTAATTTTATCTTATTCTCCATGTTTTTTTATTGTATAATCATGTATGTAATATGTTGTTTTACATTTTAATACCAAATAAAGTTGTAACGGGTTTTTACTTGTGTCCTATTTAAAAAAACAAATAAAAATGGTAAAAACTAAAAAACATTTTTAGTTATAGCTTTAGCCATAGCCCTCAACTCAAAGCCACCATTATTAGAATTACATTAATCTATACTTTGTCTCCTTTCTCTGTCTTTTACCCCATCTTTTATCATACCCTATAATTGAAAGAGACATGTATTATAAAAATGAAAGCCCCGAAGGCTAGAGTTCGAACCAAAGCTCAGCTCTGTAGGCCGGGCCGAAAAATTAAGTCTAGCCCGACTTTTTTATAGAGAATACCGTAACTATAGATTGAGACTTAACCTCTACTCTTATCTTCTATAATATATTAGGTTTTTTTCAGGGCAATAGTTTGGTTTTTAATATATGCGAGAACTTTCTTTACGAAACAAAAAATGGCAAAAACTTTCTTTACAAAACAAAAAATGGCAAAAACTTTCTTTACAAGACATAAAATGGCAATAACTTTTTTTACAAGACATAAAATGGCAAAAACTTTCTTTACAAAACAAAAAATGGCAAGAACTTTCTTTACGAAACAAAAAATAGCAAAAACTTTCTTTACAAAACAAAAAAATGGCAAGAACTTTCTTTACAAAACATAAAATGGCAATAACTTTTTTTACAAGACATAAAATGGCAAAAACTTTCTTTACAAAACAAAAAATAGCAAAAACTTTCTTTACAAAACAAAAAATGGAAAAAACTTTCTTTACAAGACATAAAATGGCAATAACTTTTTTTACAAGACATAAAATGGCAAAAACTTTGTTTAGAAATCAAAAGATGGCAATAACTTTCTTTCCAAGAAGTGAAAAGGCAAGCACATTCTTTACAAGAGGTGAAAAAACTGTTTACATATCAAAAAACAATTTTTGCCACATCTAAACTAAAATTTCACAAAATTTGAAGATAACATTTTATTACTACACATGATTTACAATTTCACAAAATTTCCTGCGGTCATGCGTTGCTTGATCAGAAACTAAAAAACAGTTGCATGATAAGTGATTGACCATTTTAACTGATAACCTCGACTTCCGTCCGCTGAAAGTGATCGTTTGCACGTGGTTGTTTACAGCCGGTTGCCAATTTGAAGAAATCGCTCTGACAAAACAAATGATAAGCAATGTATATATAAACATGTGATTTTGAATGGCAGCTCTCATTATGCTTTGTTGATGTGTTTGTAGCCGGGTGGGGACTATTTATAGTGGAGGAGGAGGTCCATTTGCAAGGGAAAGGGGGAGGGATGGGGAGGAGTGGAAATTTGGTCACAAGAACGAGGGTAGGGAGGGAGAGGTCGGAATAAAAATTATGTAGCTAGGGAGAGGAGAAATGAGACTATTACGATGTTCAAATAATTCTGTGCCCCTTAATCCTAATCCTTAGTTAAGCTTAAGCCAAAGTCTAAGGTTAAGCAAAGCAGATTTTCGGGGTTGGCTGGCTCAGAATTATCTGAACAACCAATTATTTTAAAAAGAAGAGGTGGAGAGGGGGTAACACGCTCTTTGAATGGGGGTAGAGAGGGGTAGAACTTTTGTAGCGAGGAGTAAGGTACGGTGGAACGTTTGTAACAGGAGCGGGGATAGAAACTGTGCATCAAGGGGGCGGAGCTAATAATTTTTTAAGCAAAAAACGAATTTGTGTCATCTGAAGATGATATGTAAACAAAATGTGTGTTTATGACATTTTCAGATGCAATTCAGAAGATCATAGGCCTAAAAATTTACATTTTCAAAACTTTTTGAAATTCAAAAGTAATTAAAGAACGTTCTTGCCATATAACGGCCTTGTAAAAAAAGTTTTAGTTATATAAAGCTTTGTAAACAAAGTTATTGTCATTTTGTGTTTTGTAAAGGAAGTTCTTGCCATTTTATGTTGTGTAAAGAAAGTTTTTGTCATATAAAGCATTGTAAACAAAGTTTTTGCCATTTTTTGTTTTGTAAACAAAGTTCTTGCCATTTTGTGTTTTGTATAAAAAATTCTTGCCTTTTCGAATTTTCATCGTATAACATGGGTCTCGCAGTCTGCAAACGCCATTTTGAATAATAAAATTCTATTTTTTGTTCTGTAAACAAAGTTTTTGTTATTTTATTGTTATGACGCCTTGAAAAAATTAAAAATATTAAAATTTTTTAATTTTTCAAAATTTTCAGAATTTTTATTTTTTAACTCCAAAAAACTCATTGAAAATGCCTTGTGGATGCGGTAAGTGTGACTAACACGGCCTTAGATAACTAACCCATACTAGGAAAACCGTCAGTTCTTCAGTCAGTGACGGCCGTTCAGGATAAAAACCCATATTTGCTTTTAGACCGCCCCAACTGCAAATGCCCTCTAGGCAAGGACTGCTGCAAGGACGGCAAGTGCGATTGTTGCAAGGATAAGAGCGAGTGTTGTCCTGGTAGGTTTTACTGACTTAATATGTTATTGTAAAGTAAAGTTGGATAAGATAGGGTAGGGTAGTGCAGGGAGAATTAGGATATGAAAGGGTGGGTTAGAACATGTTTGAATAGAGCATGCTAAGCTAGAGTAAAGCAAGAGAAGTAAGATCGGATACGGTAGAAACAGTTAGAGCAGGACAAAGCTGGGCAAGGCATTGTGAGGGTTTGTAAGACAGGGCAGGTATGGCAAGGCAGGGTATAGCAAGCCAGAGTATGGCAAGGCAGGACAGAGTAAGGTAGGGTAGAATAGGGTAGGGTAGGGTAGGGTATTAAAATAATGTCATTTCGTTTCAGCTGACTGTTCCAAAGCCGAGGACAAATGCAAATGCACTGGAAAGGAAGAATCTTGTCATAAGTAGGCATCAATCGCTTTCCACAAACAATTGTACAGAAATAAGCACGATTATTACTAAATACTATGCATTTACTTCACTTATAAAATAAATATATTTTTGAAATTTAATTTTGGAAAATTACATTAAAAATGGCATTTTTTGTTTTGTAAAGAAAGTTTTTGCCATTTTTTGATTTGTAAAGAAAGTTATTGTCATTTTTTGTATTGTAAAGAAAGTACTTACCATTTTTTATTTTGTAAACAAAGTTCTTACCATTTTATGTTTTGTAAAGAAAGTTTTTGCCATTTTTTGTTTTGTAAAGAAAGTTCTTGCCAATTTTTTCTTACCTTTAACAATATACTTTTTATAGTACTAAATAGCACCATTGAGACTTATTTCATGTCTTAATAGTATTGTTTTAGCACGATACTATGTAATATGTGAATAACAATGACACGCATTAAGTACGTCAAATGGTGGATTAACATTACCTTTGGCTAATGTTTTACTTTGCCAAATTATAACATTTTGTGTAATTTAAAAAGTTCTAGAAACATTTTAATGGCTTCCTGGTTTCAAGACCTTAATCTTAACCCTTTTTCAATAGGAAATTGTTTTATTAGCTTAAGGAGATCAGCTTTTTTTATAAACTTGATTGATAATATAAGTAGTAATTAAGGTTTAAAAAGCACAATACAACTTAATAAGAAGCCCACTCTTAGCGGCTAAAATTTATGTTGTGCTTGGCCTCTTTACCGGCGTAGTTGCAAGTCAGGTATTAGGACTTTGTAAAGAAAGTTTTTGCCATTTTTTATTTTGTAAAGAAACTTCTTGCCATTTTCTGATTTGTAAAGAAAGTTCTTGCCATTTCTTGTTTTGTAAAGAAAGTTCTTGCTATTTTTTATTTTGTAAAGAAAGTTCTTGCCATTTGTTATTTTGTAAAAAAAGTTTTTGCTATTTTATGTCTTGTAAAGAAAGTTCTTGGCTTTTTTTATATTGTAAAGAAAATTCTTGCTCTTTTTTTTAAAGAAAGTTCTTGCCATTTTTTATTTTGTAAAGAAAGTTATTATCTAACTATGTTTTGTAAAGAAGAATACTGCAGTTTTCTTATCATAAGGCATGGTATAATCTTTTTAATACTTTGTCGTATAACATTCACCCGCAGTTTGCAGCAGCTAATTTTTTACTGAAATCTTGAGCTGTTGGGTTTTGTGAAAAAAGTTTTTGCCATTTTTTGTTTTGTAAAGAAAGTTCTTGCCATTTTTTTGTAAAGAAAGTTCTTGCCGTTTCTTTCGAAATTTACAAAAATGCCATTTCCAATCATAGACAACATAAAAATGTCTCAAAAAGCACGTAAATAGTGTCAATTTGAATAAATTATATTATAATAGCCTAAAGCGGCCGAACATAGTCATTTTACATATTTTTCGCATTTCAAATTCGTTTTAATCCTTCTCGGTGGCAGCTGAAAAAACCCCTGCGGCAATCTGTGGCCAAGGTGCGGTGTGTGGGGGTGTTCCGTGGCGGCATGGGTGCTTGACATTCGTGTGTAATCCTTTGTATTGCCCTCTAATTGCTTCCCAACACACACTCTCTTGCCCCTACCTTTTTAATTTTGATTACTCCAAGGTTTACAAAGGTTTGGCATCAATAAGTATGAAGAATTGTAGTTGGGTGGGTAGAGTAGGGTAGGGTAGGGTAAGGTAGGGTAGGGTAGGGTAGGGTAGGGTAGGGTAGGGTAGGGTAGGGTAGGGTAGGGTAGGGTAGGGTAGGGTAGGGTAGGATAGGGCGGTGACAAGCCATTCAAAACCTATTAAAGGCTAGCTTATGCCTTGAGCCTTATCTATTGCTTTATACGAAATGAAAACTAATTATAAAATTTTTTACTAATAAGAGTACAAAGCTAGTAAAAATAAGTTTTTTGCTTTGTATGGGGACCACCTTCCCTGAAAAAAACTTTCGAAAAAAGTTGAACCTGGTTTCCCCTGTGGCTCACTAAGGACAAGGCTAAGACAAAGCTAAGTTTACGGCTAGGACTAGAGCTTTAAGCTAGGGCTCTGGGTTAGGGCTCTGGGCTAGGGCTCTGGGTTAGAGCTCTGGGCTAGGATTCTGGGCTAGGGCTCTAGCTAGAAGTTGAAACAGAGATAGGGCTTTGTCTAATCTACCGTTTTATATAAAATGAGAGATTAGACGTGGGCCATAAGTCAAAAAGTCATATTGTCGTAGGTAATTGTAAGGCTTTTTAACTTATCGGATTACGTACGTATTATAAAATTGTGAAAACCTTGAAAATAATTTTTATAGGCTTTACATGACACAATCACATTATATAGGACTTATGAGTTCATTTTGTCGTATTTCATGACATTTTTCCTGTCATTTCCCAATTCTTCCTCTATCGTTCTCTATCCTTCTTTACTAAAAGTTTTGTCGTTTTTTGCCGTTTAAACACGTGAAAATTTACGGCATAACTTTTTACTACTTCAGTCATTGCCATTTTTTATTTTACTGTTAAAGTAATTGTCATTTCATATTATACTGTTATAATAATTGCCATTTTTAAATGAAATTCATTGAAATCTGCTAGTTTTTAACCTTTTTCAGATTGTTCAAAGTACAGCCCCTAATATACAACACTAATTAGCATATAATACAACCAAGAATGTACTTGTACTAACTCTAACCACCTTACTTTTGACCGTTTTTTACCAAGCTACGAGTATACTACCTATAACAATATGACCTCATTGCCTTCGACATCGTTCATCTACGCCGCCAAAGCCGCAACCACCGCAATTCCAGCAACTTTTCGCACTATAAACAACACTTTTGGTAGTGCATATAAAAGTAGTGGTATTAGAAATGGCACTTTTGAGTCACAGACAGATTACGGTAGAAACAGTGGTGATTACGGTAGGAGTAGTGGTATGTCTGGTGAATATGGTACTAGTGGTACTGGAGAAAAAACGTCAAGATCGTTGTGTGAATGTTTGTCTAGGCTTGAAGAATCTTGTTTAAGGTAAGATTTTGGTTAGTATCTTATTTAAAATGGCAGATTATAGACTTTGTCAATTGAACCTGTTTCATCGTATAAAATGTCACTTTTCAAAAATTTATAATTTCAGGTCACGAGAGCCAATTCCGGTTAGTATGTTGAATTACAACTCTGATGTCGGTCGGATAATGTACTCCTTAGCAATAATTCTCATGTTCTCATTTATCATATTGTTGTTGATGGTGCGGTCGATAAAACGATCAAATTCTACTATTGAGGTATGTTTTTTTGTATTGTTTTTGTTTTTGATAGTTCCTGATATAATTTATGGCATTTTATACTTTTCCAATATTTTTTGTGGCATTTCGTCATTTTCCAATTAGTTTTGTGACATTTCGTACTTTCTAATACCTTTTGTGACATTTCGTACTTTTCTAATAACTTTTGTGCTATTTCTTCATTTTCCAATAAATGTTGTGACATTTCGTTAAATTTAAAAAAAAATCTGTTATAGGTAGAAGCCCTATTAGATGCGATGAGATTTCGTGAAGAGCTAGACTTACAACAACGTCAGAAACGACGGCTTCAGAAAGCCAAAAGCAAAGTGACAGCTTGGTTGACCAAAACTAATGGCAAGCTTTGGACTAGCTCACCTCAGATTATATTGCCTAATAATGGCACGGCCAATAGTAATAATACCAATGGAAAAATACCTACTGTAGTTAGAAAACCGGCTCTGAAAAATACGAGGAATGACTCTATGCAGTAGGTTTTTCATTTTAAAATTTGCATGTTTAAAAATTTTTTTTGTTTTAGCTTTAGCCTAAGCTCAGAGCTCTAGGCCAGAGCCTTTGCCTTTGCCTTAGCCTTAGCCTTAGTCTTAGCCTTACCCTTAGCCTTAGCCTTAGCCTTAGCCTTAGCCTTAGCTTTAGCCTTAGTCTTAGCATTAGCCTTAGCCTTAGCCTTAGCCTTAGCATTAGCCTTAGCCTTAGCCTTAGTCTTAGCCTTACCCTTACCCTTACCCTTAGCCTTAGCCTTAGCCTTAGCTTTAGCCTTAGTCTTAGCCTTAGCCTTAGCCTTAGCCTTAGCTTTAGCCTTAGTCTTAGCATTAGCCTTAGCCTTAGCCTTAGCCTTAGCATTAGCCTTAGCCTTAGCCTTAGTCTTAGCCTTACCCTTACCTTTAGCCTTAGCCTTAGCCTTAGCCTTAGCTTTAGCCTTAGTCTTAGCATTAGCCTTAGCCTTAGCTTAGCTCTAATTTGAACTTAACTTTATTCCTAACCCTAGCGTTAGCCTAAACCTTGAACTTTAAAAGCTAACGAGTTCGTTTCAAAAGTTAAATTTCAAATCTCATCTTTCAGGTCATCCGGCTCCTTCTTGCCAGAAATTGTCATCTCCAACAGCGAAGACATGTATCACAGACGCCAGAACAGTTGTACGCCATCCTTATCACTACTATATGACTTTGACACTCGCTCAAGGAAGAACTCAGCCTACACTGAACTCTCGGAAACTATTGATCTAAGTCAGATCAGTGATCTGAGTTTCTCTCACGAGCTAGACCCGAATAGTCATCCTAGTCCACAGCCATTGGGAAGCCAGTACAGCTTGAATGTGGTTGGTCAGAGCTCAATATGAAGAAATTTTGTTTACAAAACTTTTATTGTTTTTGAAAATAAAAATTAAATTTATAATAACTATGGGGTTTTATTTTTACTTTTTTTGATGTTGTAGTAGGTAGTTTTTTAATTTTAAAAAGGTACAAAAAATCTTGTCGTTTTTAACCCTAAAAATCTATGTAAAATGACGACAAGACTTTTTCAAAGCTTTAATCTTAGGCCAAAACTGTTTATTAAACAAGGCAAAAGTATAACATAAGTAGGAGTAAGATAGAGCAAAGGTAGAGCAAGAGTAAGACAAAGATAAAGCAAGTGTAGGGCAAGAGTAACCACAGGGAAAGGGCATAGGTAAGACATGAATAAGGTAAGAATAGAGCAAAGGAAGAGCAAAAGTAAGACATAATAGGTGCCGACATAAAGAAACCGCCATTTTTTGCAGGAAATTACTCGAAAAGTATGGCGGGTTCTTTATGTCGGCACCTAATAGGTAAAGGAAATACACGGTTTAAGTAAGGTAATATTAGTTCGATGATAATATATATAATATTGTAGTAGATACTAATCTAAGAAACAAGCGCTATAAAAAACAAAATAAAATAAAAACACCAATTTAAACCCAATTGACTTGATATTCACATCTGGGTCGACCCAAAGTCAATTTGAATATAATGTAGTCGTTAATTTTTAACCACAAACACACGCATTTTGCTGTCGGATTACCATGGTAATTGGCGAATATTATTGCATTTTTTATTGGCGACAAGTTTATTAAATTAAAATTTTATATTCCTATCCTTTTACGTTTTTAAATCCTAAGATCTGTTTCGAAAAATTATAGTATAAATGTTTTTTACCCTACCCTACCCTACCCTACCCTACCTTACCCCCACCCCACCCCATCCCATCCCACCCCACCCCACCCCACCCCACCCCACCCCACCTCTTGTCATACTGTATCTTGTTTTACTGTATTTTGTCTTACTGTATCTTGTCTTACTGTAACTTGTCTTACTGTAATTTGTCTTACTGTATCTTGGCTTACTGTATCTTGCTTTACTCTACTTTACCGTGTCTTGCTTTAACAACATCACGTAACGTAAAATCACTAAACACCCTTTTATTTTTTTTTACTTTGCATTCTACAAATAACAATCGTGTGCGGTGATGTACAAAAATAACCGTGGTTTAAAGTAAACACAAGATTAGGTAGCGGCACGGAATTTGGCCGCCTACAACATACGGTTATAGCTAAATTCAACACGAAACAACATTCTGTTCTACTGTACAATAATTTAGTCACTTTTATGCATTATACACTGTTTATGTTATGTTACACATTGTTATACTAGTCTTACTTTACATTACTTTTTATGCTTAGGTGATAAGGGTAAGAAAACGGAAACGGTAAAATAAAGTTATAGTAAACTAAAGCCAAAAGCAAGACAAATATGATATGAAACATGGGTAGAGCAAGAGTAGAGCTAGGACAGAGCGCTAAGTTAGAGTTAGGGTAAAGCAATAAGAGCTCAAGAACAGAAAAAAAAATTGATCAAGAGTCAAATCCTTGCACTGAAGGGGATAGAAGGACATGAGTAAGGCATAGGTAAGTCATAAGTAGAACAAGAGTAGTGTTAGGGTAGAACATGGTGAGCACTTGGGTAAGATATGGATACGGCTAGCGCTAAGCATAGATAGAGCAAAAACCCGGCGCACGTATGGATTTGGCAAGGGTAGAGTACGGGTACAGCCCAGATAAGGCATGGGTAGAGCAAGTGTAAGACAAGAGTAGAACATGGGTAGGGCTAGGGTATGGCCTTGGTCCAAATATGCACAAGAGTTATACATGGGTAGACCAATGGTATGGTATTGTTAAGGCTACGGTAAGGCATAAGTAAGCAAATGTAAGACATTTGTAAGCAAGGCGTGTGTAAGGTAAGAGTACGTTATAAGTAAAAGAAAGTTGAAGTTAACTTATGACAAGAGTAAAAAAGAAATACATTGAATGAGGAATATTATACGACAGAGTAGACATTATATTATGCTTTAAATGATTACTATGACAATAAAAATTTGAAAAATGTCATCATAATAGTCATGTAATCTCTTCTTTTTACTAACTTTTGCTTTAATTGCTGGATGTGTAATATTGTAAATCTGTTTATGTGTACACACGTGTTCGTATCTTGAGTTACATTTTTTTATTTTGGTGTACGTATATGTATTTGTATATTTAGATGTATGTGTATATGTATATGTATATATATACGTATATGTATATGTATACGTATATGTATATGTATATGTATATGTACTTGTATATGTATATGTACATACATACCACCATGTACAACATAAAACACTATTACTTTACGTGTAGCCAAACCCCAATGTTTTCCCACCACCTACCACAATATTAATGTCATTTAAAATAACCTACGTGATGTAATTTTGTGTTGTAAAGTCCTCACCATCCGGTGACGTTCGGGATTTATAATTCCGCGCTTGAGGGAGTTTTTAATCTTTTTGCCATATCGAGGCAAAAGGTAAATGATATGGACCCGGTGGTATTATGGACAAGGTCTTTCAAGGTCTTTAGCGTAGTTTGTGATACGTTAGACGTAGAAAAGGCTGTAGTTAGTCTTGTTTTTCAAAACGCCGAAGGTAAAGACTCTTTTTCAAATTTTGAGCTTTAGCTCAGAACCCTAGCCCAGATCCTTAATCAAAAGCCCTAGTCCAGAGCCCTAGTCCAGAGCCTTAGCCCAAATCCTAGCTTTAGCCATAGCTCTTAATCATCATTTTTTTTGCTCCACTCTTTCCTGACTCTTGCTTTGCCCTACTCTTACTATACGTTATATAAGGTTTGCTCTACTTAGTGGTCTGCTCAGACCGGTCAGGAGCGTTTTTCACCAGTATGGATCAGCAATTTTCGGGTCCAGATTAATGTTCATATTTTTGGGCCCGGTCCGATCTGATCCGCAAAAATTTTTTGTTGGATTCGTCTGGTCCGGTCCGGCAAAACATTGGCTCTACTTTTTTCTTACCGGTTGCCTTGCACTCATCCTGTTTCTCGAGCTACCAAGTCGTGATGAAGTGCTCCTTGTGTTACCCACTCTATCTTTTGTTTTATCCTTGCTCTGTCTTGCCTTACCTACTTTGGTTGTATGCAGGCTTTATATTATACTTTGCTTAAAAACTATAAAATTACTGTAATTAAAAATTTATTGTTTAAAAATTTTTACTTATGCCTTTATCACAATGCAAAGCTTAGTATAATATTTTTTTTTTTGATTTTACTTGCTTTCACCTTTCAATATATGACTTGTTACCCAAAAAACATTTTATAAAATGACAAATTCCTCTTCACAGCATTAACTCTTTTTCTAAATCCGTCTAATACATTTTTTCACCTTAAGAGGGTTTTTTCTCCTAACATACGTGCGTAATTACAACGCATGTAAAGTACATAACATTGGCCTTTACATTCATCACTTACCCTTTTTTAGTTTTGTCAGTACGACTTTTGTTTTTGTATCTTTATTTATAGTTAGAAGTGGTTATACTGAATTACTTTTGACAAATCGTATCCTACCCTATCATGTCTGAATTTTTGAAATTTTTAGAAAATGAAAGTTGGGTGGAAGATTTGTAATGTAATTTGCACTAAAAATCTTCCACTGAACTTCCATTTTTAAAAAGTTTTAAAATGGCCTATAAACGTCGTTTTAACAGTTTTTAAAGGTAAAAGTTGAGTGGAAGATTTTCAGTGCAAATTACACTAAAAATCTTCCACCAACTTCTATTCTTAAAAAGTGTTTAAAAAGTGTTTTTAGGCCATCTCAAGACCTTTTAAAAATAGTAGTTTGGTGGAAGATTTTCAGTGCAAATTACATTACAAATCTTCCACTCAACTTCCATTTGTCTATACCTTTTGTTTTTTGCTTTGTAAAAAAATGTCTAGCCATTTTATGTTTTGTAAAGAAAGTTCTTGCTATTTTACGTTTTGTAAAGGAAGTTCTTGCCATTTTACGTTTTGTAAAGAAAGTTCTTGCCATTTTTTGTTTTGTAAAGAAAATTCTTGCCATTTCTTGTTCTGTAAAGAAAGTTCTTGCCTTTTTTTGTATTGTAAAGGAAGTTCTCGTTATTTTATGTTTTGTAAAGAAAGTTCTTGCCATTTCTATTATTAAACTAGTCTTTTCAGCCACCTGTCACTATAAGCAATAACCACTAAGTGCCATTTTAAACCCCACATCACTCCAAAAATGGCCTAAAATGCCTTCGCTATGGCACAAAAGTTCCAAACCTTTTGTAATTGTACCCAAAAAGAGCTACAGTACCAGTTGGAATCCGAATGTGGTCACGTCTTAAGGCAGATTCTGAGTCGTATCGAAACGATAAATGTCGTCACTACGACAACATTGGACCCACTGGTCGAGGCAGAACGACAGAAGAATGCGGATCTGTTCAGTATCGCCATTCTGAGTTTGTTCGCCAGCATTATATTGTTGTTGATGATACGGGCTATTAAGCCGAGCGAAAGCTTGGATGATCAGGTAAGGGTTTGATTTTCTTTTATTTTTAACATTTTAGGGGTAGATATGAATTGAACATGGCTAAAGAAGAGGAGAATGAGGGAGGGGGAAGGAAAGAAAGAAAGGGGGGGGGGAAGGAAGGTGAAGGAGGGGGGGGGGAGGGGGAGGGGGGGGGGAGGAAGGTGAAGGAGGGGGAGGGGGAGGGGGAGGGGTGATTTCGATATGGATAGTAGAAGGTACGCTTACTTAGCTAAATATGAATACGTAGGCTAAGGCAAGAGTGGTTTAGTCAGGTAAGATTACCTAGAGTGAGGTCATCTAGTTAGACTTGGCTAGCACAGGGAAGATATATACATATAAGTGCCGGCATAAAAAACCCGCCATATTTTGCCTGTAATTTCCTGTAAAAAATAGCGGGTTCTTTATGTCGGCACTTAATAGATATGTCTAGATAAGGCGATTCAGTTAAACATGACTAGAAGAAGGAGCAGTTGTTTAGTTAGACGTGGCTAATACAGAACATGGTGATTTAGCTAGATATGGCTGTGTAAGCTAAGGAAGGTAACGGTGGTATAGTTAGATATGGCTAGAACAGAATGCGGTAGTTTAGTTAGATATGAATAGGACTAGCTAAAGCGGTTCATTTGGGTATAGTTAGGGCAAAGAGAATTGTGGCTAGGACAGAATAGAGCTCTGAACTAAGGCTCTGGGCTAAAGTTCTGGGCTAGGGCTCTGGGCTAAAGTTCTGAGGTAGGACTCCGGGCTAGAGCTCTGGGCTAGGGCTCTGGGTTAGGGCTAGGGCTAGAGCTCTGGGCTAGGGTTCTGGGCTAGGCCTCTGGGCTAGGGCTCTGGGCTAGGAATCTGGACTAGGGCTCTGGACTAAGGCTCTGGGCTAGGGTTTTGGGTTAGGGTTTTTGTATGTCATTATGAAAAGGCTTTTTTATTTCATTATCAAACAAAATTTTAGGTAACAAACATGTTGACGTCAATGCGAGCAAAATGTGATTTCGAAGACGAGATTCGGCATAAGATGAAGTTAAAAATGGCGAAGGATCGAGCTCAAAAATGGTTGAACAATGCCAAAGCCAAAAGCATAAGTCGGGTTCGGAATCTGTCGTTTCGAGGACGGAATAGGGCTGGTAGTGCTGATGGTGAGTTAATATATAGCAGTTATGCCTAGGTGTCGTAGTTTGATACACTTTTTATAGCTATCAACAGCTTATTTGTTACCTAAAATATTAACTTTAGTTTAAAATTTGTTACCTAAACTTCTTTTATGTTGAAACTTGTTACCTAAACTTCATTTCAGTGCCCCGTTCTCTTGGTTTGGACAGTTTGTCAGTGAAAAGCCAGCAGTTTTTTCCCAACTATGATGACATTAACTATCGTCAACGGGCTGCAAGTTATCAGTTTCTGCCTCAGATCGTGGTGGAATCTGCCAAAGATACTAAAGATGTCACGGTGGGCTACAGAGATGATAGTAATGGCACGATGAGCTACAGAGATAACAGTAATAGCACGGTGGGCTACAGAGACAACAGTAATAGCACGGTGGGCTACAGAGATAATAGTCATAGTACGATGAGCTACAGAAATAACAGTATTGGCACGGTCGGCTACAGAGATGATAACAATGCCATCATAAGCTACATAGATTCACCAAATGACGCCTTAGGCTACAAAGGCTCAGATGATGGCACGATGAGCTTCAGAGATTCTTCTACTGGCACGATAAGCTACAGACACTCTCAGGAGAGCATGCTGGGATTCAGAGGGTCAAGAGCAAGCACGATGAGCTCTAAAGGCCTTCAAGATGGTACGGTGAGCTACAAGTACGACCAAGATGGCACAATGAGCTACAAAACCTCCCAGAACAGTCTCAACAGCTACAAATCAAGAAGCTCACAGAAGTCAAACGATACAAAGATCGATATTCCAGAATCCTTCTACACACCCAGAAGCTTTAGCCACCAGAACTCTTCAGAATACAATGAAGGTGCTACGACGTACGTTAACAGTAGAGACAATTCCATGGAGAATCCGGAAGGCTACGCTGAGAGCTTCGATTCGTACGATCGGAATCTGAAAAGAACTGCCAAAAACCTTCAGAATCCTCGAATTTTGGTTGAAGATTCTGATGCGTACGGTGGGAGTAGTAGAAGAAATTCTGAAGCCCACGATGGGTACAGTCAAAGAGATTCTGAAGGCCATGACAAGCACGGCGAAAGATATTCTGAAGCCCACAGTATAGACAATACAAGACCTTCTAAAGTTTATGACGAACACGGTAGTACTCCTTCTGCAAGCAACAGTAAAAACTTCAAACCTCATTCAGAAGGGAACAGAAAACATCGTAGGAGATCGTCCAGAAGCCTAATGAATTATCATGAAGATTCAGATGACGTGGAACAAAGTCTACTTGAAGATTCTGAAAAGCACGGTAGAGGTGGCCAGAATTCAGAACGACACGGTAGAAGTAATCAAGATTCTGAAAGGCACGGTGAAGGTAGTCAGGATTCAGAAAAGCACGGCAGAGGTAATCAGAATTCTGAAAGACACGGTAGAGGTAGTCAGGATTCCGAAAAGAGCAGTAGAGATGGTCAAGGTTCTGAAAGCCACGGTAGGGGCAATCTGGATTCAGAAAGGCACGGTAGAGGTAGTCAAGGTTCAGAACATAATGAAGCTCATGCTTCGGGCTATTATGAGATTCAGGAGAATTCAGAAGGCCTACAACATTATGAACAAGATTCAGAAAGCCTGCAACAGTCATTTCTACAAGACTCAGAAGGTCTACAGCAATCATTCCGCCATGATTCAGAAGATCTAGAACAAAGTTTTCGACAAGCTTCAGAAGGTCTACAACCATCTTTTCGACAAGATTCGGAAAGCCTACAACTAAGCCTTCTAGACGATTCAGAAGCCAATGAATCAGGGGACAACTCAAGAAGAACCGACCTTCCCAGTTCATCAACTCAAAGTCTAATTGATGATTCAAGTCTAAGCGAAGAATCTTCAGAATCCGTAGCGCTTGACCCGTTTTTAGAATACTCGAACAAGTTTTAAGCATGTATAATATTGTTTTTTTGCTGTATAAACCTATTATATTATAGTAAGCATGATAAACGATCTTTTTATAAACCTATTCTAGTAATACTAATAATAACCATGACAAAACCTATGATAATATAAAATCAATCGAAAAATTGATAAAACGGTAAAAGTTTAATAGAACAACATGAAAATACAAAAGGCCAACAACAAGGTGAATAAAGTTTGTGGTTACGGAACAATTGTTACCAGTACGATTCAAAGGGATACGACGCACAGAATAGAGAAAAGTTCGGGCTTTGTCTGTCAGAACTAGCTATAATATTATTCAAATTACTTTAGATTAGGTTAAAAGGGCTAAATTTAGCCATGATAAACCAGACTTTAACCCTTTTTACCATTAATCAATGTTTTACGTCCAAAAAGTAACCAATAATCATAAAAAATCGAAAAGACCTTATCCGAAATACAACAAAAACCATAAAAAATAGAATCAAACTCATCTCAAGTACAACAAAAATCATAAAATAGAAAATCCTCCAAAAATTTAACAATGACATTTCGAAACTCAGCAATTCTGACAACAGTCCACACCAAAATTCAAAGCTTTTCCTTCAATTAGGTACGAAAACGACCGACTCTCCTCGAATAGATATAAAGAAGGCTGATATCTCGCGATATAAAGGTATCTTAGCCATCCAAGCCGACTCAGTTCTCGCTAGGTGGCGCCGGAGTGGCGGCGTTCTTGCCTAAGACAGTAGTCCAACCTTCCTCGTTGGGTACAGCCGGCTGTGGGGGCGTCGCTTCCTTCTTAATATCGGTGGCGGCGCTCTTGAAGAAGGACGTGTTGGTTTTGCCGAGTTTGGGTCCGCCTGACGTCACCGACTTCAGCGACGTGTTCTTTTGGCTGGACTGCGTGCCGGACGAGGCCAGAAAGGCGGCCCGCTTCTTGTCCTGCGGCTTCTCCATCGAGGCGCGACCGCCGTAGCCTTGACGTTGGCCTTGGTTTCGTTGTTTTTCCTTCTCCTTCATGGCATCGTACTGAAAATTTAAAAACTTTATATATAAAATATGTTTTGTTACCTAAAGTACAAAAAAATTTCTAAATCCATCAAAATTTCATCAAAATCAAGAAAAAATTGTTACCTAAAAATTCAAAAAACTTCATTTTTTGACCTGGAACTCCTCAAATCTATCTGTGCCGTGAGTTTCCATGTCTCAAATCCACCCCACCCCCTTAAACTTATAAAACACCCAAAAGCCCTACCTGTAATCTCTCGTTCTTGTTCTTCTCCTCTTCCAGCTTGATGTCTTTGCGGAGTTGAGCAATCGTCTTCGGACCCGTATCCTCCTTCTTGTAGCCCTCGCGTTTAAAGTCCTCAAAGTTCATGATCATGAACTTGATCTTGCTCGAGACGGTCGTCTTGATGGTGGGCAGCCATTCAATGTACTTGACCACGTTGTCCGTATTGGCGGCGGTGTCGTTGAACAGGGTGCCGGCCACAAACTCCAACAGCTCGATTCCGTACTGGACAAAGATTTCGTCTTTTTTGGCCTGAAAAAATCATTAAATATCAAAATTTAGATAACAAACTTCGTAAATATACGCCACAAAGACTTCATTATTCATTCATATTCATCAACTTAAAAAAAATTAAATTTTCCTTACCTGATAACTCTCATAAAGTACTCCAATACACGAGTCGATAACAAGTGCCTTCAGGATGTTGGCCACATATAAATGGGAAATAAACCTGAAAACAAAAGTTTTCGTTATCTGTAAAGAAAGTTCTTTTCATTTTTCGTTTTGTAAAGAAAGTTCTTGCCATTTTTTGTTTTGTAAAAAAAGTTCTTGCCATTTTTTGGCTTTTAAACAAAGTTTATCCATTTCAGGCCTTGTAAAAAAAGTTCTTGCCCTCCTTTCTATCTAAAAACTTCATTTCCCAAATTTCCAACCCAAATCCCTCGATATTATCCATGCTTACTTGATGTTTCCAAGCAGAACTCTCTTCTCTTTGGCTTCCAACAGTTCCAGGACTTCCTTCAGGTCCTCGCGCTTCTTTTGAGTCGCATCTTCTGGCAATTCGTCCAGCTCCTTCTTGGCATCCGCGATTTGCTTCACAATGTCACTGTTGCCTTGGAAGGTGGACTGTGCCTTCATGAGTAGGACTCGGAAGAAGGGAGAGGTCGACTTGCATTTCTCACTGATTTGAGCCTTACAGATGTTGGTGTAGAGCGAGCAGAACTTTGGTTCTTCGACGGCCTTGTCGAAGATCAAATCGACCGCGATTTGTAGAAGGCGTGGGTCCAGGTCCACGTGAAGAGCCAGGAACTCGCGGCACAGATCGTCGTAGGTTGAGGGGGTGATCTTGTTGAATATCGACCGGATTTCTTTTCGCGCATTCTCGTACTTGGCTTCTTCGTCGTCCGCCACGGTCGTTTCACGGCGTTTTGGCTTCCATGCCACTTCGGCCTTCCTCAACGTGTCCAACGGCTGTGGTGGGGGGTTGCGGTTTCTGTCGAGGCTGGCGCGGCCCGTGACTCCGCCCTTTTTGCGGGCGTTTCGGTTGTTCTCCGAGTGGCGGCCGGAGTAGGGTGGTCGTTTAGAGGCGCCCGAGTTCCATTGTGGGTTAAAGTTGAAGACGTTGGCGTTGCCACCGCCTCCGCTGAACTTGGATCTGTTGGGGTAGATGATTGGCATGCCTTCAGACTGGAAGAGGTCCAGGTCCTTCAGCTCCGCCTCCGACAATGGGCATGGGGTCTTTTTGTAAAGCTAAAAATCGTTTTTATAAATATGAAAATTATGAAAACTTTTGTCGTTTTTTGTCGTGTAAAGACACGTAAGTGAACGACAAACCTTTTTTATAGTAAAAACTTCTAAAAAAAGTGGCATTAAACCACAAAAACACCTCAAAAATAGCCTCGGAGTACCCAAAAATCCTAACAATATAAAAAAACTAATAAAAGCCAACTTACATTCACCACCTCTCTCACGTAGTAGATCAACTCGCTGCTGTAGGACTTGTTTTCAATGTTCTCCGCCTCAACCTTGAACAGTTCGTCGCCTTGAGCCTGCAACTTGAGCAACTTTTCGTTCTTCTCTGCTTCCTTGTCCGGAGATTCGGCACGAGATTCTGATTTCTCTTCCGTTCCATTGGATTCTGGCTCCGTTCCGTTTAGAGCCTGAAATATGAAATTTAAAAGTTTTTAGTCGTTTTGCGGCTAATCATAGTACAAATAGTTTAAAATGGCTTTTATAACATACAAATCAACAAAAATTTTGAAAAAAATGTCATTATTTTTGCATCAAAATAATTTTTTTTTCAAATTTGTAAATTTTTCGTCTAAAAATAGTCCACGCCATTCCTTTTGCATTAGAAAAACTTCGCGCCAATATTTCCGTATGAAGAACAATTCGCGCCATTCTTTTTGCATCAAAAACAACATTTTTTTCAATTTTTTAAATTTTTTCCCTTTCCAGCCATAAAACAACATTTTCCTTACCGTTTCCGAGGTGTCCCTTCTTCCAGGCGGCCTGTAGACGTCCTTCTTCTCTTCCTCAAACTCATCCTTGTTCTCCTCCTCCAAAGCTTTTGGCTCGGCTTCAGGCGTGGGTTCCTTTTCGGCTTCTGGAGTTGGTTCTTTGGGTGGAGTTGGCTCTTTAGGTACTGGTTCCTCCTTCTTCTCTTCTTTGACGAATGGCTTTGTGGCTGGGCTTGGTTGAGGAGACGGCCTTTTCTGTTGTTGAGCTGCCGCGATTTTGGTTTGATCTCCATTCAGGGCACGATTCATGACGCCTTGACTGAACTTGATTGCCATTTCGTTCTTCTTCTCCTGCTGCTGTTCGGCGGTTAGCGGTGGTGGAACTGAGGTGGATGGGGGAGCTGGGGAAGCTGCTGAAAATGAGGTTTTAATAGATAAGTCTTTTTTATTTAAATTAGCACTGAAATTCTCAATTGATACCTAAAAATTAACAAAACCTAGTCTAAAACAACCTCTTTTACCAAAATTTGTCTCTAAAAGTACCTTCAAATGCCTAAAAGTGAATAAAAATACGCCTAGACTAGCCTTTTATCACTCTTTTTGCCTAGAACTCTTTCTTCATTACCTAAAATCACAAAAACCAATAAAACTCCTTACATTTTTCCTCATTCTTGACAAAGTCCTTGTTGATAACATCCTTAGTTTCTGGGTTGATAATCTCCAAAATCTTTTTCTTCTTCACCTCTCTTGGCACCTGAGGCGCCGGCTGGGCAGGTACGTGATTGTGAAGGGGCACTTGCGGTGGGTAAATATTGCCGTAGTGCTGTTGATAGCCGTACATTCGGTTGTCGTAGTAGGGGTATTGGGCGGTGGAATAGTAGTTCTGGTTGCCTTGATAGTTTTGTTGTAGCTCGATGTAGGTACCGTTGGGGGTGTCGTGCTGAGCGACCATGGTTTCTTGGCCGACATACAGAGCCGGATTGTGTTGTCTGAAAAGGCAATGTTATTTTAGGGTGAAATGGCAAAAAAGGTCGATTTTTGTATTAAAAATTGTCTGCTTAGAATTTTTTCCCTCATCTATACTTATTTCATTCATTGCTCTCAACAAAAACCCTTCAAAACCACAGTCCTACTACAATATACAACCTAACACATTACACTACCCTAAAACCCTCCAAATCCACATTACTTTTTCTCCTTGTCAGTCGGCGAACTCATCACACACTTCAACAAAAATCACTTCGAATCTCGACCAATCACCAAAAATTTTGGGTAACGAAATGACATTAAACTGATAAGCGGTTTCGTAATGCCACTGACTGCAAAAAAAGAACAGCAAACGAAGAACGTTGAGACGGGGTTTCGTTTTTTCGCAAAAACAAAGAGAAGCACTGCCCAAAACAATATTTTGCTAGCCCAAAACAAGGTGAGACTGCAGCGAAAAACAACATAAATCAATCGTGGTGATGCAAAAGTTTGGGGTTGGGGCGTTCGAAAGTTGCTTTGGAACGTTCGGATTGTTTTGGAACGTTTGGAATGGTATAAAACGTTCTAAAATTGTTGCTAAACATACGAAATAGCTTTAGAAAGTCATAAAATTGACTTCAAACGTTAAAAATTGCTCTAAAACGCCAAAAAAATCGCTGGGACGACCTCAGAATATCCAAGAAAAACTTTACAACGTTATCTACAGGAAAAAGTCCCTTTTTTGACCAAAAAAGCACATGTTTTAATACAAAGCCAATTATTACTCCACCGAAAACATAGTTATCTTCTAGTAATTAAGGTTCGTATTTGTTTTGTAAAAATAACTGTTATCAGCTTGAGCAATCTCACGTGTTAACCAACGTGTTCTAATAATCAACTACATAATACGCGTTGAACTTTAGTGCAAATTGTAAAATTAAAGGTAATAAACACTTCTACAAGCTGACAATAACTTGTTTTTGCTTTAAAATTAGTGTTTTCTGACTTTAAACATTAAAAATCATAAGTTTTAAAAACAGAGACATAAGAATTAGAAGCAAAAACAATATGTAAAGATAGATTTTTACATTTTCATACCTTTGTCTCTCAAAAAATAAACTGTGAGACCAAGTTTTTAAACTAAAATTAGAAAAAAAGTAGCTTTTTAGCTAAATCATCAGAACATCTGCCTTTTTTTTAATGTCTACATCAACATTCTAACTTAAGATGTCTTGCAAGGCCTTCTACGCTCTACCTAGAACCTTCTTCAACGAGGTGTACCAGTTGTATTAGCTTTTAAATCTATTTTTCAAACTTTCACAGCATCTTAACCCTCTATACCTATATCTTTCTTCATTTCTCGCCATTTTCAATACGATTACAACTTTAATCTAACTATATTAACCCTATAAGCCAACTGCATTAACACAGTCTCTATTTGAAACCCATTTCCCCTCGCTTCAAATCTAAAAACCAATCAAAAACAATAAAAAACTTACGGCCAAACGCCTTGTTGCATTACATTCTGCTGGTTGTGGACCTGTGGTCGTTGGTTCAAATGGGCCGGTGGGGCCTGATAAGAATTGCTCATGAGTTAGAAAACCACAAACTCAGGAGAAACGCGGTTGGATATAACAAAACCGAACTGCCGGGTCGATTCTGTTAAAAAAATGGGGGTTTTAGTTGGTTTTTTTGGTGTTGAACCAAAAAAAGTTTGTTTGAGGGAAGAAAGATTCGCTTTCCCTGAAATTGTATAGGTTTAGTGGGTGTAAAAAAGTCTTGAAAAAGTTAATGCATAGCACGACAAATCACGAGTAAAACAATATAAAACACGAAAAAAGGAAATTAAACGTATATTACACACAAAAAAAAAACTAAACGTAAACCCATATTATACATAAAAAACAGCATTCAGTCTATAGTGTACCCGCAAAACCGTCTCAAACTAATATTATCTGCATAAAGTCCATCGTTTTTCATAAAGAACGCGAACAAACTTAACCGCAATAAAGTGAAGATTAACATATTAACCATGACGAACAGAGATTAACTTTTACACAGAATTAAACATAAAAAGTTTAGAAAGTACTAGAACAAGGTTCAGAACATCGAACTGTCTTTTTCTAACATAACTTAATAACTTAGTAAGTTTTTTAAATATAGTACGATGTTCTGAAGCAAAAATAGTTTTTTTAAATCTTATACACCATATCAACCCTAACATAAACAATATCTAAACCAAAGCCAAAATTCGCGCGATTATTAATCGATTAACCCTGCAATCATCGACAAATGCGATGGATTTCACGTGCCTCCCGGATATTACCCATCATTTCGTATCCTTTCTCCCCAAAATTCCAGAGATTTTTTGTATAGCTAGACCGTCGAGAGGCGGTGAGTAATTCGAGAGAGAAAGAAATTGAGGATTCATATAAAAAAATTGTAAAGAAACTGAAGAAAGAGAGAATACTTGAAGGAACATAAAGTATTCGAAGACAATTTAAGTGGAAGCATAAAGTTAACAATATTAATCAAAAAAAGTTATAACAACTAAAAAATCTAAAAAAACCCATCAATACAAACTTGAGGATCAGAGACCAATATAACAATAAAAGAAATAAAGAAAAAGACCAAAACAATTGAAGAAAAGATCAATATGGACAGATATGGTCTAATACAACGTAAATTTATAAAAATTGTCCAAATAAATTGGCATTCAAATTCGTACTATAAAAAAGGCTTCCAAGGCTAAAATGAATACCTAAAATTCACAAACAAGAAAAATAAAAGCTCACCAATACTTTATTCACACAGAACAAGTTGTTGTACACGTCCAAGCAGAAATTCAAAACTGAAAATTAAATAACAAAACAAAAACATTACCTTTACACTCTAAAAGTACATGTATAAAGAACAAAACAGTAAACACAACAAAAAATCAAACATTATTAACCAAATTTTAAAATTTCGACCCAAAAACCCTTCGTTTCCAAACCCTCTACTTTAATATCGTATACCTCAAAAACAAAGAATAAAGTATCAAACCCAAAAACGTGTTTCCATTGGAAAGACTTTCAACATGTTATCCCAGACATCCCAAAGGTTAATTTCAAAAGATTTTAGCTTGGAAAAATAGTAAAATTCCAGGCCTTTCTACCAAAAAATTGCTTCGCGTCTTGCCACTCGGTTAGGGTAAAAATGAATTCAGGAACGAGAAGAGACATATTTTCGCTGCCCCTCGCCTCCCTCGCTTCAAGTAATATCTCGTCTTCGCGTCTATACGAGCTTTGTTTGGAGAGAAAGACGCACAAAATAGTTCTCTGCTTCTCTGACTGAGTTAGAGAAAGAGAAAAGGCGAACAATCGGCCACTGGTCGTTCTTTCGCGTTCAGACAGACGGTTTTTTCATAATAAGGGCGGCGGGATCCGGTCCCGCATCGTCTCCGGTCAGTTCGGATTAGAATTCAATAACTTGAACAAGTTTGCGGACAATACAACAAGTTGAACATGAACGTTTAGATGGAAAAGTTTGACAAAGTTTTTCTAAGTGTAAAATAATGTAAATACTATTGAAATATAAATCAAAAGATACTGTAGGGTCTCCTTTAACTAATACAAAACAGAGTTTAAAGCAAATCACCAAAAAAATGCAAAAAAAAATTTTTCCAGATATATTTCCTCTACAATAATATAGACACTTTCACAATAAATAAAAACACAAATGCCAACCAAATGTACATCTAAATAAACTGCAAGTTCTCCTTAAACTATTCCATAACAAGTCTTTTCCACGCCGATCAAAAAGGAGAATCCAGCATCACTTTGCCTACCGATACTCATAACATATACAACAATATAAAATTTTCAAATAACCGTAGACAAACCTTTACCACACTAAAACCCTCATTACTAACGCATTCTCCTAGCCTCATTAAACCTCCCCGAACCCAATAAACCTGCATCTTCAAACCCCATCCGACCAAGCCAATCAAAATTATATTATCCATCCCTAACAGCTTTACATTATCCATCGTCAACTTTATCCCGCACTAAAATAATTAAGCCATGGTAAATAACATGACACAAAAACAAGCCCCACGAACACCCAAATACGGTAAACACGTTGTTTTAGGACGACAAGAAAGCGGCCAGCTCAGACAGTCGGCTGCAGCGCACACGGAATTTAGAGAACGTGCGAAAACTTGAAGCCAGACAGTCGGATTCAGTGGATGGTCAGTTCAAAACGCGCTACGACGCACCCGATGTCCCCACTTTGAACGCACTTCAATTTACTTTGCGAAAAAACGCAAAAAACGAAACGATTTTGCGGAACGCCAGAGATTTGGGTGAGTGTTTGGTCTCGTGGCGGGACCAACGTAAAGGGCTTGCGTAAATGTTATTTTCAAAAAATCAGTTGAAACTTTGAAAACCTAGTCAAAGATATGGTATTCTTTTCATATTACACCTCCATTCTTCTAAAATCAACCATCAAATCCTTAAATTTTTGTTTTTATATTAACTTCTCTATGTTACTCACGTTTCCACGTCCAAAAAGCCCTAAAATTAACCGTTCAACCTCAATAATAACAACATCGAAACGATAACATACCAATACGACCACACCCTCAATTCTACGTAATCAAAACAGCCGAAAAACGGAATGTAAATGGTTTTATTAACGTCATGCATAATATAATTTATATGTATAGAACTATGTTTACATGTAATACCGGTTCTTGGGTGACTCGTCGCGTGTGGAACGTAAGTCTTTGTATTTCACAGTGATATCGGTTAAATGTCGGTTTAGGTTTTCAATTAGCTGGTTTAGACTGGCCGTTTCGTTGATTTTCTCCTCGTGTTCTTCCATTAATGCCGTGTACTATAACATAAGGCAATATTAATGTGAGGTTGCAAAGAATTTATTGAAAAATGGATCAAAAAGATGCAGAAAAGTGTTCTACAGATGTAAGTTCATATTTTTTACCTTTTATGTGATAAATTTAGGTAAAAAGACTGAAATTTCAAAAAACCTCATATGTGATCAACCATGATGTATATAACAACATAATTTAGGCCAAACTTGACGGATTTATTTAAAGTTTAGTTTCGATTCGCAAGAATACATCATGGAGGATATTGGTCTTGAATTTCGTCGAAACAAAGTAAGTTTCCGCCCAGTTATAACGGTCTTAGCTGATATTAACCTTACCTTTTCCTTGAGGTTGCTGTAGGAGTTACTGCGCTGTGTTGACTGAAGTTCTGTCACCTTTTTCAATCCTTGTGTTTCATTTTCCATCTCGTTTATTCTGAAAAAAATAAGATTGACATTATTACCATTTTTATTGATAATCGCAAAGATATTATTTTAGGCCCGCATAAGTGACGTAGATTCTAGCATCTTCATCGAAATGGGTAAGAAATAATCATGAAGGCTTCGTACTTTAATCTTAATACCTTTATGTGTCTTTTCCATTACGTTTCTGTAAACTTTATACCTATTCTATCAACTTCTAGACCAAAAAACTGCTTACCGTTTCAAAAGCTTAACGTTCTCATTGCACATTCTTTCCTGTAACTCTGTGGCAGTTCTAATTTGCTCCGCGTAACTTTGTTCACTCTCTTCGAATCGTTGTCTAACATCATCGAGTAGGTGTTTCATATCATACAACTGTTGTTCAGTTTCGTGAAGTTGAGCTGTTGTTCTGGAATGCTCTTCTAACAGGAGTTCGTGCCTAAAAATGGGGGAAAATCAGTTGTTTTTAAATTTTTGCGTAATTTTTGGGATGCTAAGATAGATTTAGGTGTTGTAAATACTTTCTGGTAGGTTTTTGTAATATTTGAGTGGTATTTCACATTGCTTTTGGCCTTTTTTTAGGACCTACAAGTTGTTTTTGGCTAAAAATTAAAGAGAATATGTTTTTTTTAGTTTTAAAACCTATTTTTGAGCTTTCAAAAGTTCTCGAACTTTTTTTTAGAATCAGAAATGTTCCTCAGTTTATTCTCAACAAGATATGATCCTTGACTTTTCAAATTTCAACTATTTTTCGACAGTTTCAATTAATCTTGTCAAGCAAACTCACTGTCTCTGGAACTCTCTCATTTCTCTGCACACTCTCTCGTATTCGGTATGAATTGATTGAATTTTGGTGTTGCTGGTGTTCCTCAATTCTTCCAACTCATTTGTCAAGCTCTTGACTTTGTTTGTCACGTTCTCCTGCTTTGAGGCCATTTCACGGAATAATTTCAACTCATCCTCCAGAGTTTCGACTTGATGCCTCCATTTCTGGATTTCACCTCGACAGTGCTCGTGGTCTTCTTGTCTAAAATGGTTTTATTATACTATTTACTGAGTACTACATAACATTTTGTAGTATTTTTAAATTAAAAGTCTTTAAAATTCAAGTTTTGCACGGTGCAATAAAATTTCTGCACCGTGCAAGACTTTCGACCAAATTTTGTTCGAAACTTCAAAATTTTTAGCCTTACCCATTCAATTCCTGGTTCACCGTATCTAGTCGCTTCCTCAGAGTATCAATAATAGCATCTTTACCCACCAAAATGGCCGAAAGTTCGCTAAACTGCTTCTCCAGTTCAGTCTTGGGGCTATCGAAGCCGGCTGTCAGGTCATCGTTGCTCACTCTATAGTCGGCTATTTTCCTTCGAAATGCCTTCAGGCGTTCTCTTGGACTAGCTGAACCGGGTGATGGTGGTGAGGATGGGGCTAGGTAGGACATATCTGAAAAAGTTGATGTTAACTTAGGTTTTTGGCGGGTTAGGTAGGTTAATATAGCTTTTTTTAGATGTTTTGATTTTATTTTTGGGATTTTATGGATATCATAGGTGGTAAAAGATAATAGAGGAGCCTTGAAGACCAGTTTAGGCAGAATTTCGTACCTCCATAGCCTTGTTCTATCAACTTTTGGACCATATTTACAGCACGTTCGAACTGCTTCGACGCGTTTTCGTAGCTGTCGAAGGGGAAACTGTTTTTTCCGCCTAAATAAAGATTGTACTACTATTTCTTCTTCTTTCTGTACCATTAGTACCACAACACCTCTAGCTATCACATGAGAAATCGACTTACTCAACTGAACAGTATACTCATCAGCCTCTTGCCAGCCGTCTTCTGGAGCATGAAATGAAATTCCATCGAATCGCAAAGCTCGCTTCACACCTTTCAAAGTCTTGTAGGATATACCAACAGCTCCAGGAAAGGCGGATTGCAACGATGTTAGGGGTAAGAGCTGGTTGGCGCTCAGTTCAAGATCACATGGCTCCACTTCTACTCGAATATACATCTCGCATACTAATTATTGGCTAGAAAAGTGACTAGATTTTGGGTTTTAGGTTGTTGAGGGTTCTTGGACAATCTGAAAGTATTGAAGTGATTATAAGGGATGTAATATGGTCACGATGACAATTTTTTGTCACGATGATAATCAAAAAATTGCAAAAAGTCAAAGATGGACAAGTTAATTCTGAAAAACGTGTAAAAACAAACAAAGTATAGATAATATGGGCAATATGATAATGAAAAAGATTTAAAAATATGGTCGAAAATCGGTAATATGAGTAAGATTATAATATAAAAAAGTAAGTTTGAATTATTTTTACAAGTATATCAATGTGAAAAAAGAAAAAAGAGTAAAACTCAGGTTTTCAACGACTAAAATTACGTGGATTTTTTTTTCTGAAATTTTGAAAAAAAATAAAAATTTTTTTTTAATTTTTAAAATGAGAAAAATCAATATTCAAATTTCGAAAAATGAAAATTTTTAATTTTTTTTGATAAAAATGAAAGATATTGAAAGTTTGTGTTTACTTTTGTTTTATTAGCTGTTCTATTATATAATAGAGTAGGGATAAGAAACGGACCGGGCCCGGTCAAGACGCTTCTAGATTCGGCTTGCCCGTCCCGTTTTAAAAAATTTTAAAACTTAAAAAATAAGAAAATTTAGCTTTACATTGGTTTTTTAGATGATTTATTGATTGTGGTACCTAAAAAATCAAGGTTAAAATTAAAAAAAAATTTTTTTACGGGCCTGGGCCTACTTTTGAAGTGCTCACTTGCTGGCCAAGCCAAAATTTTAGACCCGGTCAACTTTAGCTCAAGGCCGGTCTGGACCTAGGCTTTCTTTTTCTTGCCTCTATTCCAAAACCTACTCCTACCCTTACCTCTACTTTACTATACCCTTACTCTGTTCTACTACATCTTACGCTACCTTACCCTATCCTAACATACCCTACCCTAACATGCTTTTTCTCTATTCTGCTCTACCTTACTTTACTGTATCCTACCTTACCCTACTTTGCCCTACCTTGCCCTACTTTAACATACGCTTACTCTATTCTACCCTAATTTACTTTACCTACCCCACTCTGTGGTTTTTTTCATTAATTTAACCGTTTTTAAATCAAAATTGCCACACACTACAGAGTAATATAAGTCTAATAATAGACAGTAACTTCTACAAAAGAAGCTACAAAATGCAAAACTTTTTTATACAACAGTAAAAACCCAAGTCAGCTAGTAAAAAGTGATTTACTAAAAAGTAAAACAATAAAAACACAATTATTTGATGTATATTGTAACATTACACTGATGTTTACCGTATTGTAACGAATAAAAATGACAAGTTTAACGAAATTTTGGGTCCGAAAACAAGCGAAATGAAGATAAAACAAAGGTAAAAACAAGGTTAATGAATGCGATAAGTAATTTATTTTGATTGATTCGACCATATCTTTCATACTCAACTGTATACAGTAAACATATTTTTGTGGTTTTTGGAAAATAGTTAGTGTACTGTAGTCTTTGGTTAGATTAGTAGTAGGGTAGGATAGGGTAGGGTAGGGTAGGGTAGGGTAGGGTAGGGTAGGGTAGGGTAGGGTAGGATAGGGTAGGATAGGGTAGGGTAGGGTAGGGTAGAGTAGGGTAGGGTAGGGTGGGTTAACGTAGAGTAAGGTAGGCAAGAGTAGGGTGGGGTATCTTTTATAACGGTAGTTATAAAAGTTATAGCTAAAGTTGCGTAAAGCTGGCAGTAATTTGTTGGGTCGTTTTACATCGAGGCAACTATTACATTATTACATAAGAAAACGTTACGTAACACGCTTCTTTTCAATTTACTTTAGGCTATATAATGTTACAATCATTTTATATAATATTATTGAAAATACGCAAGAAAATCGGAACTTACTATAAATTATGATAACCTATCTTTAGGCATCAGATTCAGGAAAAATACAAGTACAAGCAAGGCTACAAATTAGGCTAGAGCTTAGGTTAGGACTTAGGCTGGGGCTTTGGACTAGAGCTCTGCGCTAGGGCTTAGGTTAGGGCCTAGGCTAGGGCTCTGTGCCAGGGCTTTGGGATAGTGATTTGGGCTACGGTTCTGAGCCAGAGTTCTGGGCTAGGGATCTGGGCTAGAGTTTTGGGATAGGGCTCTAGGTTAGGGCTCTGGGCTAGGGCTCTGGGCTAGGGCTTAGACTAGGGCTTAGGCGAGGGCTTAGGTTAGGGCTTAGATTAGGGCTTATATTTAAGTCTTTAAAATTTAAAATTAAAAATCTCTTTCTTATGAGGACTTGGTTTAATTAAAAAAACATGCTTTAAAATGTCAAGAAACTTGAGCGCGCGAAAGATTTGTGAAAAGAAACATAAAAGAAGTAAGGGAGAGGGGTGGGGAGGGGGAGAGGATCGATTCGTGTAACTAGGAAACGTGGAGAAACAAATTATTCAATAAAATATCGTTATGTCATTTATTCAAATAATTTTAAACCCACCTTACCCTACAATTCCCTACCCTGCCTAATTTCACCCTGCTCTACCCCGATCTCTTTATCTTGTCCTACCTTACTTTTTAATATCTTACCCTATTCTGTATTAAACCTACTCTTCCGTAAAACACCCTGCTTCAACCCTACCGTGAGCTAGGGCTTTAGATTAACCCTACCTTCGCCCTATAGTCCTAGCAATCCTTACCATACCCTATAAAAAACCAACGTAACTCTCTCCCTGACACTATTTCCCATGCCTATAAATAAACGAAATTGTAGCTAACATCTGAGACAACATTTATATCTTGATGAATGTTGTTGTGTGGTTTAAACTCTCTGAAAAACGCGTCCGCCACCTGGAGGTTCGAAAAAAGAAAAACATTTGAAAAAAGACGGTTCTCAGCCAATTTTTTGCAAAAAATCTACTGTTTCTCTAGCTCTCTCCTTGATTTATGCAGTGTTTTGCGGTAGCGCTTGCGTTGGAATGAAGTAACACGTATTGAAAAAGTTAGGAAGGGGTACAGGGTTGTGGTGAAGACTAATTTATTGCTAGGTTGACGTTATATTAAGGTAGGGCTAAAGATAAGGGTATGGAAAGAGTTAGGCAATCTAAAGTTGTACAATAAGGTAGACTAATCTATAGAAGGGTAGAGTAAGATTGGACCATGTCTAGTGCAAAGACTGGAGCTCAGGCTTGCGTACAGGGGTAAAACCAGGTCTCAAGGTTAGATTTAGAGCTACGACTCGGTTAAAACTTAGGCTAAAGCTTTGACAAGAGCTAGAGTTTGAGCTTCAAGTAAACATGAGGCTAGGGCTAATTCTAGAACTAACAACTTGTAAGGCTAAGGGTAGAACTAGGGCTATGGTTTTGTCATCGAAATAGAAACCTAAAACCCTCAATTACAAAACTTTTATCTCTTTGCAACGACAGCCTGTGTTTGGCGACCTATGAATAGAAAAAACAGTCGCAGCTTGTAAAGATAAGGAAATTATAAACCAAAAACCTAGAAAATTGAACAAAACAGTTTTATTTTCACGTAGATTTCAAGCACTAAAACAGAAAGGTAATATATAAACATGGTTTGAAAAAGTAATTTTAGTTCATAAATCAACAAGTAATTGCCGTAATCTATTAAACTAATTTTAATGAGCTCGCAGTGCGCAAAAGATCATTAAAAGCGATTTAAAATAAAAACTTATTAATTAAAAAAAATTTTTTTTATGTTAGAAAAAAGTTAGGGTAAAAATGGTAAAGTAAGCGTAAGACATTTGGCTGGGATAAGGCTTCTGAAATAGGGCTTAGTAGCTCTATCAATTTTATACATTCTCATAGAACAAAAAAGCGTGTGGGGCAAAAGCAGGGCAAAAAAAGCAATAAGGCTAGGATAAGTAGGGTAGAGTAACAAACTGAAAAATTTTAAAACTTAAAAAGAATTCTTATAAAGAACACTAAAACAAGAAAAAATTAAATTTTTAATAGCCTATTATCTTTAAAAAATTGGTCAGAACATCAGAACAATATTTTTTAATTTTTTTGCCTAAATATTGTCAACAAAACTATAAAATTGTAAAGATTTTTAAATAAAAAACAAGTCGAAGCAAGGCTAAATTGGACATGGTTAAAGAGCTGATTTTTAAGAAAAATAAAAAACGGGGCCTGGTCTAAAGTTCAGGCCCGGCCCTATTCCCCATGCCTAGGATAAATAAGATTAAAATAGGCTTTTTTATAAGTCTTATTGGGCGAAAAAGAGTGATAACGTTCTTTTTTTGTGACAGAGAGAATAAAAGACGAAGCCGAAGCTTCAGAAAAGCTCAAAAATAGAATTTTTTTGAAAAAAACATGCTTGCAGGCGTTTTTTCGTTGTAAGATGTCAAGAACTTTCTTTACAAAACAAAAAATTGCAATAACTTTCTTTACAAAACTTTAAATGGCAAGAACTTTCTTTACAAAACTTAAAATGGCAAGAACTTTCTTTACAAAACTTACAATAGCAAGAACTTTGTTTACAAAGCAAGAAATAGCATGAACTTTCTTTACAAAACAAAAAATAGCAAGAACTTTCTTTACAAAACATACAATAGCAAGAACTTTGTTTACAAAGCAAGAAATAGCATGAACTTTCTTTACAAAACAAAAAATAGCAAGAACTTTCTTTACAAAACAAAAAATAGCAAAAACTTTCAGTGTAAAATACGCGCAAATCAATTTTGCTTTGCTATTATTATTTTACTAATTAAAAACACCAAATTTATTGTACTAAAACCAATAATATTATGTTATCATAGCTTGTCAAAACATGTAGTATAAGATTAATTTAAAGCCTTTGCCAAATCATAGTTTCCAAGATAGTTCTCTCCAAGTTTCAGCTTCTCAACGTGCTTTACTTGATCATTATCGGCATTACAGTAATGGGTAATAGTCAGGTATGGGTTCAAACCATAGATACCGTTAGAAATGACAAGATCTATGGTTTGGTTCTTGTTATCCAGGTCGAATTCTCTGAAAAATGTTTTTTTAAAAAAGAAAAAAGAGATAAGCTCCACGTTGATCTAGCTTGAGCTCTAGCTTGAGTCCTAATTTGAGCTCTAGCTTGAGCTTAGCTTGACCTAACTTGAGCCCTAGCTTGAGTTCTAAGCTTGAGTCTTAGCTTGAGCCTAGCTTGACCTAGCTTGAGCCCTAGCTTGAGTTCTAGTTTGAGCCCTAGCTTGAGCTTAGCTTGACCTAGCTTGAGCCCTAGCTTGTGTCTTAGCTTGAGCCTTAACTTGAGCTTTAGCTTGAGCCTAGCGTAACAACTTGAGCTCTAGCATGACATAGCTTAAGCCTTATCTTGAGCCCTAGCTTAAACCCTTGCTCAAAGCCTTAGCTCATACTCTAGCCCAAAGTCTTAGCATTAGCTTGACCTGCTCTACGGTAAGAACCAAAGACGAACTCATTTACCATATAAGACTTGGCCTAAGCTTAAGACCGGCCCGGTCCGATTGTAGGACTGGGCTTACACGTAGGGTGTTTTGTGACCTGTCCTAGAACAAGGCATAGGGCATTTATTTTTAATCGGTAATAGAGCAGGGCAGGGCACGCAACTCGAATGTCCTGGGCATATCAGAGCACAGGGCAGGACATAGAAAATTGTCAATGACCCGCCCTGTTGCCAACTCTGATAACACGTTTTGTTTCTAATATCTAACTAGCCCCAGCCTTACCTTTAGGCTTGCTTTGTCTTTTTCTATTGGTTATTCTATCTTAACTCTACCTCAAAGTTTAGGTCACTACTTTATGCCTTTCTTAGAGTAGGCTATGGTTAATACAGTAACTTACTACAAAAAATTTTTTTTAATTTCAAACTCACTCCACAACATTGTCAAAGATGCGACCTTTGTCCCAGAAACTCAAGTGCGTACTACTTGGGATCCATTGTTTGTGGCCCCAAACGGAACAATAGAAATGTCCAGTGATATGGGCCTGATCCCATGCCAATGACACAGCTAATAGGCATGAAATTAAAATTGACAGTCTTGTTAGGTTGACCATCTGAAATTAGAGTCTTGTAGTGTTAAATACGTATGTGACCCTATTAAATGACACGGTTTTTTACATATTAAAAAATGACAAGAAATTTGTAAACACGAATTGGCAAGAGCATTGTTTACAGAACAAAAAATAACAAGAACTTTCTTTGCAAAACAAAAATGGCAAGAACTTGCTTTACAAAATAAAGTTGCAATAACTTTCTTTACAATTTAAAACAACAACATTTTTTGAAAGATATTGTTAAAGACAATAGTTGTGACTAAGGAAACGGCTTATTCATGCTTAAATAACGCAAAACGTTAACTGTTGATATTATCAACAGGAAACTTTTCTTGATAAGCGATGGCTAATCGACACTAACAACGTCAATTCGCCCACGATTTTTATTAAAATTTCAAAAAAAAGTTTGATCTAATTTTGAAATAGGCTAAAAAAATTGATTTTTTTTAATTCCGGAAGCTAGAACCTACTATAATATTATCAAAAAAAAGTAAAATGAGAAAAAAAGTTTTGTCCTCAATTTGCACGAATTTACTTGCTAAAAAACGGCATAACTTTTTCAGCCACTTTCTATTATAGTAAAGCTTTAACCTATGTTTTTCTTGGCTATTGTAGCAGGTAGGCCTGTAAAAAGCTCGCAGTAGACCTGTAAATGGCACGAACCTTGTTTTAGCCCATGCAGTTAAGCCCCCGCCTCCAAGCCCACGTGTGGCAGTTCTATCTGGCCAGGTCTTATAAGGCATCCTTTGTTACAAAACCTAAGCTAGTCTCCTAGGGGCTTTTAATTTGATCCCGGCCCCTATAAAATTTGCTTGGGCTTTGCCCGGGTCTAAAGTAAGCCCGGAGGCCTTGTTTTCAGCTCCGGCTTGTGCTTACTGAGCCAAATTAGACATAGGGAACAGGCCTAGCCGGACCCAATTTTCAGGCCCGCCTCGACCTAACTTTTGATCGGATTCTGCCTCGGCCGGTCCGAATTTTTTTATGTGGAAGTGGTCCGGTAATTTACGGACTTTTTGGGCCGCGTCCGACCAAAATTTTGTTCAGACAAGACCTAGCCCATGTCCCATGTCTAGGCTTTATTTCTGTTCTAATAATAAACACTACTATTCTCAAAATTGGGCCTGACCCGGTCGGTTCCCCTTGTCTACCTAGTAAACCCTCTGTTATTTCTAATACATTATAGATACTACTACTTTCTAAAACAGTGTCAAAAAACAAAACGAAATGTAACTTTTGTTTTATCAATATCGAAAAATTTTTGTTTATACCGATCGATTGATCAAAGCCATCGCTTTTCATAGATAAATAATAAAATGTATGACTATTGTTTAAAAATTGAAAAGCTCTTTTTAAAATTAAAAAAACTAATTTTAGAATTTTTTTTAAAAACAAGTTACGGTAACTTTCAATAAGGCTAGGTTTAAGCTAGAGCTCTGAGCAAGGGCTCTGGGCTAGGGTTAAGGCCAGAACACTAAGGGGTAAGACGTCAGGGTTAGGGCTAGGGCTATGGGCTAAGGCTTGGGTCTCGGGATCTGGGCTTGGGATCTGGGCTAAGGCTTTGAGCTAGGGATCTGGGCTAGGGTTCTGGGTTGGGGCTCTGCACTAGGGCTCTGAGCTAGGGATTTGGGCTAAAGCTCTGAGTTAGGGCTCTGGGCTAGAACTCTGGGCTAGGATTCTGGGCTAGGGCTCTGGACTAGGGCTAGATCTGAAATTTTTGGGCTTGATTTAAGGGTGGGACCCTGAGCTAAGGCAAGGCTAAGGGTTATGCTAGCTTAGAGTAGTGTTATTTAAACATTATATACTACTGAACATAAACCAAGCAAAAATATACGTGTCAGTCCAAATTTATTGCCTACAGTACAGCTACAACACATAGAAAGTACAGTAAACAATCAGTAGAGTCAGAACAGAGAGCGACCAGTCGTTGGTTGATGCCACTGGGGTGTCGGGATCAGTAGTCGATTGGTTGGTTGTGGTGGTTATAATGGTAGTCGAAAGCGTCGTAGGGGCAGCGGTGAATGGAAACTGAACGTTGTTGCATTTCGTCCCATTGCATGGACACATATCCCCAATCATAAGTAAGTTGTCATCAAATTTATAGTTGTCAACGTGAAGGCATTCTATTCCCGGCTGAAATGCAAAAAATATAATTTCATAGCGTGAGGGGGGGGGGGGGGGGGAAAGATATGCAATAAGAATAACAAATTTTTACAGACAAAATAAATACAACTCTTTAATATTAATAAAACCTACCGGAAGCGTGAAATTACAGCTGCGAGCTACTGCGCGGTGCCCTAAAAAATAAATATTATTTTTAAATTGTACTTAACTACCGTACTTTACCGTACCCTACCGTACTCTACCATACCCCACCGTACTCTACTGTACTCTACCCTACCCTACCTTACCCTACCGTACCCTACCGTACCCTACTGTACCCTACCGTACCCTACCCTACCCTACCCTACCAGATCATTTACTTTTCCCTCAACATTCATATTCCCAACCATGGCCCACCAATACCCTAAGATTCACAATAGCCTCACTACCACTCCGACTCAAAAATTCAAAGCCTTACCTTCACCATCTATATATATCCAGCCATATACTGAAAGACAACTGTTTCCTTGACATTTATCGGTTGTGGGAGTTTTCATCGACCACAAAGCAACTTCTATTCTGGCCCAGTCCTTCGTAGTCTCTACATTCGTAACATTGGTTGTTGTTCTGTGAACTTGCAACCGAAACTAAAAAATTGTGTTTTTGGTTATGTATTGGTCAAAAAGTTTATAGAATTAAAATATCTATTTTTTCAATTTTTGCTAAGCTACATGGCCCCATAGTGCTACATGACCCCATTTTTCACTCAAAAATTTTAAAAAAGTTTTTCTATTTACTTTTGGACTAAAAACGAAAATTTTAGGTCCGGCTAGATACCTTTAGATTCAAGTTTGAAATCATAAAAGTAAAGCCAACTTACCGAAACACAACAGTACCAGAAGCACCATACCCGCCATTTGACAGCTCCAACCTTCCATCGACCAAAACTTGCACAATCGACCAACCGACAAATCAATTTTCGACACTAATGACCAAACAAAAGTCGAAACAGTGTCATTTCAACATTGACTGCACTTTCAAAAGGACTTTTTACTGCTTGACATGATAACACAAGGTTTATCTTAACCTTTTAGGCTTTGTCATCTTGGACTAAACACACAACTTTAGGCTAGATGTAGGAATATCCGGTGTCATTTCAACATTGACTGCACTTTCAAAGGATCAAAAAGGTCCTAGCCAGTGTTTTGGCCGGACCGGACGTACCCAGCCGGTCCTAGCAAAGCATTGGCGTTTTGTCGCAAAAAACGCCAACAATCAGGTAATGTAAATAGGACTAGGGCTAGGACTCTGAGCCAGGACTGTGGGTTAAAGTTAGGCATGAGAAACGGGCCGAGCCGGCTTTGACTTAAATATAAGCCCGGAACGGCCTGAAAAGTCCGGCCAGTACGTTAGGTCTAGCTAGTGCCTTCGGACTAGGGCTCTAGCCAGGGCCCTGGGCTAGGGCTTTGGGCTACTAGGGCCATGAGCTAGGGCTCTGGGCTAGAGCTGTAGGCTAGGATTCTAAATTAGGGCTATAGACTAGAGCTCTGGACTAGGGTTCTGGACTAGGGCTCTGGGCAAGGGCTCTGGGCAAAGGCTCTGGACTAGGGCTTTGAAATAGAGTCTTAGGCTGGGTTCTAGGCTAAGGCTCTGAGCTAGGATTCTGGACTAGGGCTCTGGACTAGGATTCTGGACTAGGGCCAGAGGTCTTGGTAGATTAGAATAGGTTTATCAGAAACATTACACACTAACATAAGACAAGAAAAAAATCTGAGTCAGTTTAAGTTTATTGTCTACAGTACCACTAAAACCCATAGAAAATACAGTAAGCGATCAGTAGAGTGAAAACAGAGAGCGACCAGTCATTAGTTGATGCCACTGGAGCGTCGGGATCAGTAGTCGATTCGAACTCGGTGGTTGTAGTTGTAGTGGTAGTGGTAGTCGTAGTGATAGTAGTGGTCGTAGAGGTAGTAGTAGTCGTAGCGGTAGTAGTGGTCGTAGTTGTAGTTGTAGTGGTTGTAGTGAAGGGATTCGGATCAGTGTTGCAATCCGCTCCATAGCATCTACACAGCGTGCCGTTCATTTTATGGTTGTTGGCACAAGCATAATCTGTAACTTCCACGCACTTTACGTGTGGCTGAAATTTAAAAAATGGCAAGAACTTTCTTTACAAAACAAAAAATGGCAAAAACTTTCTTTACAAAGCAAAAAAGTAATAGAAAGATTTTACTAGAACTTACCGGAAACGGGTAATCACAGCCGCGCCTTACTGCTAGTACCTCTAAAAATTAGATATTACTTTTAATTGTATTTAACTCTTAATTTCTCTTACCCTACCCTACCCTACCCTACCTTACCCTACCCTACCCTACCCTACCCTACCCTACCCTACCCTACCCTACCATACGTTAGCTCTACTTTACTTTAAGCCTTACTTTCGCCTTTTTCCATTAAATGACCCCATAGTGTAAAACAAGTAGTTTTGTCACATCTTCCGACTTTTTCGGTGTTTTTATTCACTTCCCAGCAATTCTTATCGTAGCCGCCCAGTCCAACGTAGTCTGCACACACGTAACAAGTGGTGTATTCTTCAAGCGAGCTTGCGACCGAAACTAAATTAATCGTGTTTTTAGTAATGGATCGGTCAAAAAGTTTATAGAATTAAAAAATCTATTTTTTTTTGCAATTTTTGCTAAGCAGTTCATTTTTCACTCAAATATTTTAAAAAAGCTTTTCCATTTACTTTTGGACCAAAAACGAAAATTTTTAGGTCTGGCTAGGATCCTCTAGGTTCAAGTTTGAAAAAAAGCCAACTTACCCAAATACAACAGTACCAGAAGCACCATACCCGACATTTGACAGCTCCAATGTTCCATCGACCAAAACTTGCACAATCGACCGACCGACAGACCAACTTTCGGCTCTAATGACCAAACAAAAGCCGGAACGGTGTCATTTCAACAGTGACCGCACTTTTAAAGGACTACTACTAGATGTCCTTGTGAAACGTTGGCGTTCTGTGTCACGAATCAGGCAATTTAAAAAGGACAATTTTGCTCAGACCCAGCCCGGCTCTTTCCCCATGTCTACCACTAAGCCTGGGTCAAAACCGTGGCTTCAGGGCTTATCTTAACCCCGGGCTAAGCCGAAGAAAGATAAAGGTTTAAGCCGAAGTAAAGTTTATAGGAGCCGGGGCCAAATTAAAGCCCCTAGGAAGGTGCCTAGCTTAGGTTCTGCAACAAAAGATACAATGCCAAAGTTTCCAAATTGGCGCGAAACCAAAATAATTTAAATTTAAAACTCTAAAGCGCGAGATCATATTTTTTGTGGGTACTATAGGTAGTACCAGGAATACATATAAATATTTTGAGCTGATTCTGGGGCAGATCATGCACTTTCCTTGTCAAGTTGTTTTATATTTACCAGTTGTGAACAGCCCTGTTCAGTTTTTTAGTGAAAAATAAATACTGAACTTGCCTGATGATTGACACAGAACGCCAAAGCTTACATCTAGTAGTAGTCCTTTGAAAATGCGGTCACTGTTGAAACGACACTGTTCCGGTTTCTGTTTGGTTATTAGAGTCGAAAATTGATTTGTCGGTCGGTCGATTGTGCAAGTTTTGGTCGATGGAAGGTTGGAGCTGTAGAATGTCGGGTATGGTCATTCTGGTACTGTTGTGTTTGGGTAAGTTGGAGGCTTTACTTTTACGATTTCAAACTTGAATCTAAAGGATTCTGGCCAGAGTTAAAAATTTATGTTTTTGGTCCAAAAGTAAATGGAAAAACTTTTTAAATTTTTGAGTAAACAATGGGGTCATGTGGCTTAACAAAATATGCAAAAAAATAGATTTTATAATTCTATAAACTTTTTGACCAATACATAACCAAAAACACAATTTTTTAGTTTCGGTTGCAAGTTCACAGAGCTCCACCCAATGTTACGAGTGTAGAAACTACCAAGCACCAAGCCAAGATCAGAGTTGCTTTGCTGTCGATGAAAACACCCCCCTAAGCAACTGTCAATTAAACAGTTGTTTCGAATTGTGGGGCTCGATAAAAACAGATCACTTCAGTAAGGCGTTGAGTTTTTGGGTCGGAGTGGTAGTGAGACTAGCATTATGAATTTTAGGGTATTGGTGGGCTATGGTTGGGAATGTGAAGGTTGAGGGAAAAGTAAAAGATTTGGCAGGGTAGGGTAGGATAGAGTACGGCAGGGTACGGTAGGGTACGGTAGAGTACTGTAGAGTACGGTAGAGTAGGGTAGGGTAGGGTACGGTAGAGTTGGGTGGGGTACGGTAGGGTAGGGTACGGTAGTTAAGTACAATAAAAAATAATTTTTATTTCTTAGTATTCCCCGCAGTAATTCGCAGCTGTAATTTCACGCTTCCGGTAGGTTTTATTAATATTAAAGAGTTGTATTTATTTTGCCTGTAAAAATGTTTTATCCTTATTGCATGTCTTTCCTCCCGCCCCCCCCTCCCCCCCCTCCCTTCACGCTATAAAATTATATTTTTTTACCTTTCAGCCGGGAGAAACATGCATTCAACGTGTGAATTATCCCTATGATGACAACCTAAAAATGGACGGGACTTTGTGTGGATGCAATGGGACGAAATGCAACCACGGTCTGAATCCCTTCACCGATGGCCCTACGACGCCAACTACCACTATAGCCACTACTACCACTACCACTCCAACCACCGAGTTTGAATCGACTACTGACCCCGACGCCCCAGTGTCATCAACTAATGACTGGCCGCTCTCGGTTCTCACTCTACTGACTACTTGCTGTGCTTTTTACGTGTTGTAGGGGCACTTTAGACAATAAATTTGAACTGACACGGATTTTTTTAGGCTTATGTTAGTGTATAATGTTTTTGATAAATCTATTCTAATCTACAAAAACCCCTGGCTCTAGTCCAGAATCCTAGTCCAAAGCCCTAATCCATAGCCCTAATCCAGAAACTTAGCCCAAAGCCTTAGTTCAAAGCTCTAGCCCAGAACCCTAGCCTAGAACTCTAGCTCAGGCACCTAGTCCATAGCCCTAGTCTAGAATCCTAGACCAGAACCTTAGCCCGGAGCTTCAGTTCAAAGCCCTAGCCTAGAGCCCTAGCCCAAAGCCCTAGCCCAGAACCCTAGCCCAGAGCCCTAACCCAAAGCCCTAGCCTAGAATTCTAGCCCAGAGCCCTAGCCCAGAGACGCTAGCCAGACCTAACAAACAGGTCGGACTTTTCAGGCCGTTCCGAGCTTATATGTATTTAATTCAAAGCCGGCTTGGCCCGTTCCTCATGTCTAGCTTTAACCCACAGTCCTAGCTCAAAGCCCTAGCTCTAAATTATTTTGGTTTCCCGCCAATTTGGAAACTTTGGCATTGTACCTTTTGATGCAGAACCTAAGCTAGGCACCTTCCTAGGGGCTTTAATTTGGTCTCGGCTCCTATAAACTTTGCTTCGGCTCAAACCTTTATCTTTCTTCGGCTTAGCCCAGGCTTAAGATAAGCCTTGAAGCTACGGTTACGGTTTTGACCGAAACTTAGCGGTAAACATGGGAAACGAGCCGGGCCGGATTTGAGCAAAATTCTAGTCGGGCCGGGGCTGAAAACTCAGGAAAAAACCGGCCCAAAAAGCAGTTTAAAAAACAAGTTACGGTAACTTTCAATAAGACTAGGTCTAAGCTAGAGCTCTGGGCAAGGGCTTTAGGTTAGAGTTAAAGCCAGAACTCTAATTGTAAGGGTAGGACGCCAGGGTTAGGGCTGTGGGTTAGAGCTCTGGGCTAGAGCTTTGCGCTGGGGCTCCGGGCTATTGTTCTGAGCTTGGACTAAAGCTGGAACTAGGGCTGAAGCTGGGGCTAAAGCTGGGACAAGGAATGAGGATTGGGCTCTGAGCTAGGGCTCTGGGATAAGGCTCTGGACTAGGGCTCTGGGCTAGAGTTCTAGGCTAAGATTCTGGGCTAGGGCTCTGGGCTGGAACTGGGGTTAAGACTATGGCAAAGGCTGGGGCTGCAACTGGGGCTGAAGCTGAGGGCTGGGCTGGCAGTTGTGGCTCTGAGCTAGGACGCTGGGATAAGGCTCTGGGCTACAGTCCTGAGCTGGGACTGAATCTCTGGCTAGGATTAGGGTTTATGGTAGCTTAGAGTAGTGTTATCAAAAAATTATACACTACTGAACATAAACCAAGCAAAACAATCCGTGTCAGTTCAAGATTATTGTCTACCGTGTCTCTACAACACGTAAAAAGCACAGCAAGTAGTCAGTAGAGTGAGAACAGAGAGCGACCAGCCGTTAGTTGATGCCACTGGAGCATCGGGGTCAGTAGTCGATTTGAACTTGGTGGTCGTAGTAACGGTGGTAGTGGTGATTTTAGTGGTAGTGGTGGTCGTATGTGTACTAGTGGTCGTAGTGGTAGTGGTGGTCTTTGGAGTAGCAGTGGTTGTAGTGGCTATAGTGGTAGTTGGCGTCGTAGGGCCATCGGTGAAGGGATTCAGACCGTGGTTGCATTTCGTCCCATTGCATCCACACAAAGTCCCGTCCATTTTTAGGTTGTCATCATAGGGATAATTCACACGTTGAATGCATGTTTCTCCCGGCTGAAAGGTAAAAAAATATAATTTTATAGCGTGAAGGGAGGGGGGGGAGGGGGGGGCGGGAGGAAAGACATGCAATAAGGATAAAACATTTTTACAGGCAAAATAAATACAACTCTTTAATATTAATAAAACCTACCGGAAGCGTGAAATTACAGCTGCGAATTACTGCGGGGAATACTAAGAAATAAAAATTATTTTTTATTGTACTTAACTACCGTACCCTACCCTACCCTACTCTACCCTACTCTACCCTACCCTACCCTACTCTACCGTACTCTACAGTACTCTATCGTACCCTACCGTACCCTGCCGTACTCTATCCTACCCTACCCTGCCAAATCTTTTACTTTTCCCTCAACCTTCACATTCCCAACCATAGCCCACCAATACCCTAAAATTCATAATGCTAGTCTCACTACCACTCCGACCCAAAAACTCAACGCCTTACTGAAGTGATCTGTTTTTATCGAGCCCCACAATTCGAAACAACTGTTTAATTGACAGTTGCTTAGGGGGGTGTTTTCATCGACAGCAAAGCAACTCTGATCTTGGCTTGGTGCTTGGTAGTTTCTACACTCGTAACATTGGGTGGAGCTCTGTGAACTTGCAACCGAAACTAAAAAATTGTGTTTTTGGTTATGTATTGGTCAAAAAGTTTATAGAATTATAAAATCTGTTTTATTTGCATATTTTGCTAAGCTACATGACCTCATTGTTCACTCAAAAATATAAAAAAAGCTTTTTCATTTACTTTTGGACCTAAAACATAAATTTGTACCTCCGGCCCGAATCCTTTAGATTCAAGTTTGAAATCGTAAAAGTAAAGCCTCCAACTTACCCAAACACAACAGTACCAGAAGCACCATACCCAACATTCTACAGCTCCAACCTTTTATCGACCAAAACTTTCACAATCGACCGACCGACAAATCAATTTTCAAGTCTAATGACCAAACAAAAGCCGGAACGGTAACATTTCAACAGTGACCGCACTTTCAAAGAACTACTACTAGATGTCCTTGCAAAACTTTGACGTTCTGTGTCAAAATCAGGCAATTTCGATACTCATTTTTTGCAAAAAAACTGGGAAAGTCGGTTGTCAATTGGTAGAGGTTGGCTGATTATGGAATTCAGGGAACTTTGATGCTTCATATCTACCTTACTTGTTAGTTTTTACTTACAAGGATAATTACAAGGAAAGTACATTCAAAATCAAAGAGAACAATAACCATCGCCAGATCCACCATTCTTTTCTTGACTCCTTAATACCTGGCCTGCTCCGCTTTGATTGACTTCAAACATTATATATAACAAGGTCATGTAAATATAAAATCTTCAGCAAAGTACTAAACTGCGCTCTCCAGTCAATCTCGAGAAAATCAAGGTCAAAAAACTGTGTTTTGAATTTCCCGCAAATTTGGCACTGTGTTTCAAGCTGATAACTTTGCCTTTTTGCGCTAAAAACCTGAAAATTTTTATACGGATTCTTTGTACCACCAATAGTACCCATAAAAAATTTTAGCTCGCGCTTTTGAGTTTTAAATTTAAATTATTTTGAGTTCCCGCCAATTTGAAAAATTTGGCATTGTGTTTCAAGCACTTTTTTGACTTTCTAGACAAGCTACACTTACAAATTTAAAAATGTAGGTTTATTTAAAAGCTTTCTACTAGTATATCAAATAAAAATGATTAAGAGTCAAAAAATGACCAAGTTATAAGCTTGAAACACAATGCCAACTTGGCGCGAAATTCAAAACGGAGTTTTTTAATCTCGATTTTCTCGAGATTTCTTGGAAAGCGCGACTTAGTACGTTGCTGAAGGTCTTGTAGTTACATGATCTTTCTAAATATATAAAAGTTTTGAAGTCGGTCAGAGCGGGGCAGGTCGGGTACCTTCCTTGTAAAAACTTTGAAGTCAATCAAAGCGGCAGCAGAGCGGACGCTTTCCTTTATAGCTATTTAGTTCTAACTTACAAGGAAAGTGCTCGACTTGCCTACTCGAATTGGATTCAAATCCTTTCTACAGAAAAAGCACATAAATATAAGACCTTCAGCAAAGTAGTAACTCGCGCTTAACAGAGCATTTCGAGAAAATCGAGATCAAAAATTTACGTTTTGAATCTCCCGCCAGATTTTCATTGTGTTTCAAGTTTATAACTTTGTCATTTTTTGACTTTTAATAATTTTTCTTTGATATACTAGTAGAATACTTTTAAATAAACTTAAATTTTTAAATTTGTAAGCGCAACTTGTCTGGAAAGTAAAAAAAAGTGCTTGAAACACAATGCCAAACTTGTCACTTTGGCGGAAAACCAAAATAATTTAAATTTAAAACTTAAAACTTAAAAGCGTGAGCTAAAATTTTTTACCAGTACTATTGATAGTCCAAAGAATTCATATAAAAATTTTGAGCTGATTCTGAGCGGGGCAGGTAGGGTACTTTCCTTGTCAGTTCAAAATCGGGCTGTTGTTACAAAATTAAAAACTGGCAATTTTGCAAAAAATATTTCAACAAAACTCGATGACTAATAGCCATTACATTTTGAGCTGTATTTTGTACTTTTCTTATCAGTAACATTTACTCATTTCCTTTAATCAACCACAAATTAAGAAACACAAAAGGAACGTCCAAGGATAGTTATTACAATACTAGTACAGGATCAACCATAGATGGGATAGCCATCATTATATAAACATGCTACATTTGTCATGACCTGTATACTTGTTCTTTTGAATTTTGTATCTAAAGTTTGAAAAATGACTGATACTTTTAGAATTATCTTACTTTTAACAACTTTGTTTGCTATAGCTTTAGCTAAAGATGAGGTTGCATTAGCTAAAAAAGAAGTAGCTCTAGCCAGAGATAAAGCTCATGTATACGGAACTTTCTATTGTTCTATCAAAACGCCGACTACGTGGATCCCTAGTACTACACATCTGAAGTTCTGGGACAAAGGACGCATTTTTGACAACACTTTGAAGTAAGTTAGCTAAAATATTAGGTGCCGACATAAATAAACCGCCATTTTTTTACTGGAAATTACAGGAAAAGTATAGCGGGTTCTTTATGTCGGCACCTAATAGTAAACACAGAACCCAGAGCCATAATCCAGTACCCTAGCCCAGAGCCCTAGCCCAGAGCCTTAGCCTAGAGCCTTAACCCAGAGCCCTAGCTCAGAACCATAGCCCAGAGCCCTAGCCTAGAGCCCTCGCCCAAAGCCCTAGCCCGAAAGCCTTAACCTAAAGCCCTAATCCAGAGTTCTAGCCTAACCCCTAGCCCATCACTCTAGTCCAGAACCTTAAGCCCGAACCGTAGCCCAACGCCTTAACCCAGAGCCCTCGCCCAGAGCCCTAGCCTAGATCCCTTGCCTAGAGCCCTAGCTCAGAGCCCTAGCCCAGAGTCTTAGCCCAGAGCCCTAGCCTGAACGTCTTAGCCCAGAGACTCAGCCCAGAGCCTTAGCCTAAACGTCTTAGCACAGAAGCTCAGTCCAGAGGCTCAGCTCAGAGCCCTAACCGAGAGCCCTAGCCTGAACGCCTTAGCTAAGACCCTTAGCCTGAGCACATTGTCTCAAAGCCCTTTTCTGAATGCCCTAGTTCAGAGCCCTCGCTTAACTTGGAAATATTTCAGAGAATTCAACCTTAGCGACGACAATCAATACATTGATGAAAACTTCACAAACGGTATTTATGGTTTGAACTTGTACTTGACCATATACCACACTTGCACACATGATGGAACTATTATCAAATCAATTCAAAAGCTGCACAAAGATGAAAATAACCTTGGCAAATTTGATTTGTACAGAGCTACATAAATATTGATGTTTATACTTATCATTGAATTTTGTACCATAAATTGTTTTGTAAATAAAGTTTTTGCCATTTTTTGATTTGTAAAGAAAGTTCTTGCTATTTTTTGTTTTGTAAAGAAAGTTCTTGCTATTTTATGTTTTGTAAAGAAAGTTCTTGCTATTGTAAGTCCTGTAAAGAAAGTTCTTGCCATTTTTGGTTTTTTAAAGAAAGTTCTTGTCATTTTTTGTTTTGTAAGGAAAGTTCTTGCCATTTCATGTTTTTTAAAGAAAGTTCTTGCCATTTTGTGTTTTATGCCAAAACTGATGACCACAACCTCTCCCCCCTCCCCCCATCCATCATCAATTTTCCATTAAAAGCGGTTTTTTACGACATTCTTTCTGAGAGGGTTGTTTGTAAGGATGCCGATCTCACGTCGTCTTCCCAAAATCCCGACTTCCAGAACAATCGTTGTGTGACCTTTTGGCGCGGTGGATCATCGTATTAAGTTACTCGTTATTCGCTGAGAATGACAGAGTTCTGCGCCTACAATAAAGCGTCGATGGGATGTTTAATGTTTGTTGTAGGGAGTGGAGTTGGGGATATGAATGTTGGGGTGGGGATAAAATTGTGAATGTTGAATACAGGGGGGGGGGTGTGATGTATGAGATATGAATTTTGGAGTAGGGCTAGGGAATAAGGTTGAAGATATGAGGGTTGGGGTAGAGGTAAAAATTGTGGATGTTGGGGTAGGAGAGGCAGTAAAGTTAGGTACATGAATGATGGAGTAAGGTTAGGGATAATAATGTTGGGTGGGGGTTAAAGTTTTAAATGTTGGAGTTGGGGAGGGGGGGGAGAGGGGGGAGTGAAGTTAGGAATAAGAATGGTAGGGCTAAAGGCAAAGTTGAAAATATGAATGTCAACGAAAGATTGAGGGGTTAGGTTAATGTTATGAACCTTAAGGTATGAATAGACATGGAGAAAGGGCCGGTTCTGAGCAAAATTTAGGCCCGGCTTGGAAATCTCAAAAAAGCTCTGTTATGCCCAACCCAATCTGAGTTTTTTCAAGCCCAGCCCGTTTTTACGTAAAAAACGGGCTAGGCCGGTCCTGAAAATAACTCAAATCGGGCCGGGCCTGAAAAGTAAATCATTCCCCATGTCAGTAGGGTAGGGTAGGGTAGGTAGGGTAGGTAGAGTAGGTAGGGTAGGTAGGGTAGGGTAGGGTAGGGTAGGGTAGGGTAGGGTAGGGTAGGGTAGGGTAGGGTAGGGTAGGGTAGGGTAGGGTAGGGTAGGGTAGGGTAGGGTAGGGTAGGGTAGGGTAGGGTAGATATTATACTGTAGTAGTTGTACTTTGTAGATATTATGTACTTATGTTGTAGTAAACATTTGAGCCCTTCCGGTTAACCGAGTTCTGGGTCGAGGATAACTCTGTGGTATTATTTGTGTTTGCCGATCCCACTACTTTGCACTCTTGCCGTTTTTAATTGCACCGAAGCGGTTGGTCAGAGTAAGTGGTAACAAACTCTTACTTTTCTTGAAAACTTGAGGGTCATTTTAGGTTTGACATTACAGTATTGGTCATGTTATGACCGTCATATTGTCGTATGTTACTGAAATTTTGCTTTTCCAACAGACGATACTGTAGTATATAGTTAAATATACTGTATTAGATTCTCAAATATATAATTTTAGATATTATCATGCAAATCTGGTACATGGAATCTTTTCCATGCGGTGACAAACGTCTACCACACCACGTTTTCCCACCAAAGTTCATCAGTATCGACCAGTTGACTCAAGTCTCTGGAGTCGTTCATTATAAAGTAAGCTTTAGTTTTTATTCATACACAGTTCTACCCACCCTAACCTACCCAACCCTACCCTATCCTATTCAGCCCTAATAATTGTGTTTTACCCTAGCCATACCCAAGCCTTATGCTGAACACCTCACCCCATATCCTTACTTGCCTTGCGTTACTCTACCGTACCTTATCTTAACCTACCCTGCCCTACTTTACTTGATTCTACCCTACCCTGCGCACCCCTCCCTACCTTAACCTAATCTGAAAATTCTTTTGCTCCACCTGTTCTTACTCACTTCTACCCCACCCTGCCCACTCCAATTACTAAAATGACATTCCCTTTTATAGGTAGACCTAAAAGACACCGTAGCCATGAAGAAGCGGTTGAGCCGAGTCCGCAACGAGACTGGCTATACCCAATCCGACATTCTGACCCTAAACGAAGAGATTCAGGGTTTTGAAGAGAAGCTAGACGACCTATACGAGCCAGTAGAACAACATGACGACATGTTATGCATGGTACTGGAAGGTGGGCTCTACTGTGATGTTGAGATTGATGAAGATGAATGGATTCGGATTCAGCTCGAAGATGGAGACTTGATTGTTGTACCTAAAGATCGACCTTACCGATATACTACTACCGCCAAAAACTTTGTCCGGCTTCAGAGATTCGCCAGACGTGACGATGATGTTGCGCAGGGATGAGGGTTCAATGTAATATAAGGTTCTTCAGATGATATAACACATATTTTAATCATTACCATGTAAAAATTCAGATATACAGTTAGATATAACATGAATAAAGTTTGTTTTATTTATTTTACAGAGTAAATTACTATATATACTATCAGTATACTATACTAGGTTGGTCATATAATTTTGAGCCCCAATCCCGACAATTTGCGTTGAGGGACACATAATTATTTGAACAACATAATATCATGGTAAAAGTTAAAAACCAACATCTTTCAATATTATAGTTAACCATGTTTATTCGATTGTTTAATACTATAGCAGATAGGAATATACAGTTTGTGAACCGGATGTGCTGTGTGGAAAGAAAAGAAGCAATTGAATGTGATTTGGAATCAAAAAACCCGTGGGAAATACACATAGTGAACATGACGTACAATATCGTTAATATGATGTGGAATTAGATGTAAAACAACATAAAATGATGTTCAAAACGTCGAAATGTATCTATAAAACCATTAAAAAACTAAAATAATTATCTACAATACCAAATCCAAGAGAAAATACAAAGTAACATCAAAGACACAATAAAATCAAGATAAGTAGATGAAAAGTGACAAAATATAACTTACAATAATATTTTACGCAAAATATTATTAGCAAAAGAAAGAACAAACAACATATGGCAATATAAACAATAGTTCTCCATAAATACATGAAAAACCATCGCAAAATATATTAAAGTATATTATACTTGGTATCAGATGTTGAACATCACGTTTCAAACAAAAATAGTAATCGAAATAAAGTAAAAATTGTTGAAAAAGCAAGAATACAAATTAACAATACTGTTTAAAACAATAGTTACGTATTAAACATAAGACTTCGGAATAAACAACAAAATCTGAGAAATATGATATCAAGTGTAATATCGCACTTCATATCAAATCCATTTTGAAGGTTTTTCTACCAAATTCATGTTAAAAACCATCACAAACCTATAGTCAATACGTTTAGTTCAAAAAGAGTTAAGTGAAGTTTGTAAGAATCGACAAGAACCAATATTATACATGATGAACGTGTCAAATGAATCCTCACCACATCCACATCATTCCACGCGTTTGGCTTTTCGAACCAAAGCCAAATAAGGCACAGACCATCTCAACGGTTTGTTCGTCTCAAAATCAGTCGGGAAATAGCGGATTTCGGCATCAAAATCATGTAGACCTTCTCTTCGGTTGATCTCCAACAGCCCGAACATGACAAAGATATTGTATGCGGCCATAGATGAAAGCAAATGGAACATGGCGTGAAGATATGGAGTTCCTAGATACAACCAAAAGTCGCAGAATAATCGATCGGCTAGCCAAAAGGCGATGGCAAGGCCCCAACACGTGAAAACTCGCCAGGTGAACTTCTCTGCCGCTGGAAATCCATTCCTAAACATGAGAAAATGAGTAAAGACTTACTGGAAATTGACAAGATATTATAGATAAGACAATTTTTGAGCTTATGAAGTTAAAATTGACTTTATTACTTCTTTATAAAGTGTTATATTATCATAAACTTCAAGTTCGGCCAAATTTTATCAAAACTTTCCATGTGCAATGGAACGCCAAATCGATTTTTTCAAAAATTAGCATCCTTTGTTTTCGTTGCAGGACCAACTCAAGCCTTACATGTAGACATGAGCAACGGGCCGGGCCCAATTTTCAAGCCCGGCCCGCGGGCCGGGCCTAACTTTTAGGGCTGGCCCGTTTTTGATTTTGGTCAGGCCCGGCCCGGCCCGATCAGAAAATTTTTAGGCCCGGCCCGGCCCGTTTCAAAAAATTTAAAAAATTTAAAAAACTTTAAAACTTAAAAACTAAACGGAAATTTGGCTTTAAATTGTTTTTTTAGGTCATTTATGGATCATAGAATCCAATAAAATCGAAAAACATAAACGGGAATTAAAATAAAAAATTTTAAAAAATTAAAAATTTTTTTTTCGGGCCCGGGCCCAATTTTCAAGCCCGGCCCGCGGGCCGGGCCTAGATTTTAGGCCCGGCCCGTTTTCGATTTTGCTCAGGCCCGGCCCGAAGGTAGGGCCCGGCCCGTTGCTCATTTCTACTTACATGTGAATGCAAAATTGCTGTCAAAATTGCCCAAAAATGGTTTAATAAAGCCTTTTATGGATTTCCAGACTATAAAAATAATTTTTTGTTAAACAACTCACTTGATTCCTTCCTGGTAGATCATGAATCCGCTGGGAATACTGACGATCATCAAGGCAAACGCGTTCAACGACGGCTTTATGAAACACAATAAACTGACCAGTGTTGTGATGATCACAATCGCCCATCGGATTTCTGGTCTGAAATTGAGGTTTGTAAAATACGGCGGATGTGAGATTCGGGTTTAAAATTTTAAAATCAAAGTGAAAATTTAAATTTGTTACCTAAAATAATATAAAGTTGGAAAACTCACATCCTATGCCGGTACTGTGCTGGATATGTTTTTAAAATGGGGAGATAAGTGATAACACACATGTTAACCAACCATAACAGTGCTAGTTCGTCTACCAGTTGACCTATAACAACATGGTTAATATAAATAATACAAAAAAATTTTAAAAATATTTCGTAATTATGTTTTTTTTGAAGTCGTAGGGTATGGTACTACAGTATTTTTTAAAAAATTTACAAAAATAATTTGTGACCTAGTACCAAAAATGTCATCTTACCGTAATCCACATAGAAACCAGGGAAAATTTGCAGATCTATGCAAACCACCCCCTATTACCCTCACCCACGCTTACCCTAAACTTAAAAACATACCAAACAAGCTCAACGTAGCATGATAAAACGTCGAAGCCAAGCCATTAATAGTTAACAACAAGTTCGGCATCACAATCAGCCAGTTCTCTTCCATAATATAGTCACGTAACATCATCGCATTGATCATTGGTAATACGATAATAGGCAGATTGGTTACAGTATTCGCGAACTCCGCCACCATGGGCAATGTTTGGTACTTGTAGGCGGATTCGCACCATGGCATCCCAGATTCATATTGAAACCACCGCTCCATTATGTCACTAAAAATTAATGAAATTAAGAGAAATTGGTAGTCTAACTCAATATAATTGGGTATAACTCAAAGTATAGAAGTCAGATCAATATAAAACGTTACTATATAGTTAAAAATACTTTGTAAATTACTATCTTACATAAATTAAAGCCATTCTCTAACAAAAAGTGGCATAAAACCATCATTGTTTCGAAAATTTGTCGACAAATCAAAATATTTACAGGTGACATAACTTGATATAATTTAGTATAACTCACGATGTAGACGTCAGATCAATATAAAATTTTACTATACAGTTAAAAATACATTACAAATGGCTATGTTATTAAATTTTAACTCTCTTATTTAAAAAATAGCATTAAACCATCTTTGTTTCAAAAAGTTATCAAAAAATCAAAAGTTTTCATAAATGGCTTAACTCAATATAATTTAGTATAACTCAGAATATAGTGTTCAGATCAATATAAACCTTGCCCATACAGTTAAAAATACTATACAAAGTACTATGATAGACAATATTATGTTAGCCATACGCCAAAAAGGGCATAAAAACATCTTTGGTTCAAAAAGTTTTAAAAAATTTGAAAAAATTAGTAGATGACCTAACATAACATAGAAGGCCATAACTCAAGATTCAGATGTCAGATCAATACAAAACTTTACCATACCGTTAAAAATACTATAGAAATCACTAGGATACACAAAATTATAATAGTCATCAGTCACAAATGTCATAAAAACATCTTTTTTTTAAAAATATAGTGAAAGTCTGAAAAAATCAGTGAATGACCTAACTTAACATAAAAGGTCATAGCTCAAGCTTTAAAAGTTCGATCAATATAAAACTTTACCATAATGTAAAAAGCACCTTGCAAGTTACTATCATGCCTATGGCTATGTTATTTACAAATAAAAATTTGCATAAAATGGCGTTAGTTTTAAAATTTTATCTAAACTTCGGAAAAAACTGAAGACCCTAACTCAATATAAATTATCGTAAGTTCAGAAATAGATGTCGGATAAAAATATAACTTCAGCAACTAATAACTAAAGCTATATAAACAGTACTACAATATACTTTTTCAAAAATAAAAATCTTAAAATTTAAAAAAAAATCGTTTTTACTGATCTTTTCCACTGAATTACAAGCTTTTTACCCAATTTTTGCCCCGTAAAAGTCCCATTGTTTAAAAACCGATGTAAATTTGTGAGGAACGTCGCTCGCGATATTTGCACAAACAATCGGATTTGCATGAGCGCACTTTAGTTGTTTTTCCCCAGCCATTGTTTGGCTATTTTTGCCGACTATTCTAATACTTTTGTGCAGATGCGGAGCTCAAGACGATTTTTGAATATATTCTTTAGTTTTAGAGGTGGGAATGTACTAGGATAGGACTACACAAGTCTAGGATGAGGCTATGATAAAACTAGGGCTATGACAATAGTAGGCCTAAAGCAAAGCTAGGGTGGGAATACCAGAAGGCTAGAAGAGAGCTAACGCAAGGCTATAAAATTATAAGATAGGGCTAGGAGGGTAAAGCTCTGAATAGACAAGAGTAGAACTATAGTAGAGCTATAATAAGGGTAAGGTAAAGCAATAGGTAAAGCTAGGATAGGGCTATGGTGGGTCTAGGATGGGGCTAAAGTAGGGCTAGGATAGAGCTAGGGCGAGGCTATGGTAAGGCTAGGGTAGGGATAGGGTAAGGCTAGGGTAGGGATAGGGTAGAGCTAGGGTAAGGCTAGGGTAGGGCTAGGATAGGGCTAGGGTAGGACTAGGGTAAGACTAGAGTAAGGCTAGAATAGCACTAGGGTAGGGCTAGGATAAGGCTAGAGTACGACTAGTGTAGAACAATGGTAAAGCAAGGGTAGAATTAGGGTAGGGCTATTGTAAGGCTAGTGTATCACCATAGCCTTATCATTGTCATTCACAATCATAGGGTCTACTGTATGTATGACATATATTTACCATATCCTGTCTCAACATGGCCTTGCTCTACCAGAACCATGCTTTGCCATCACCATGCCCTACCCTACACGAGTTATGACCTATCTCTTCTACAGATTCCTCTAGCCTTACCCTAACCATGCTCAAGTATTACATAAAAAAACTTAACTATAAGCCATTTCCTAGCACTAGCACTAGAACTAGAACTAGCACTAGCACTAGCACTAGCCTTGCCTAATAACGTACTTTTATTTTAACTTTTTCCTAGATTACTCTACCCCGCCTTACCCATACGCTTCCTCCAACCCTACCCTAGCCTACCATACCCACAGCTTTGCTTTAGCCCTACCTTATTCTACCATACCCGGTCCTACCCATACCTTCTTTTAACTCTACCCTACCTTAGCCTACCCTACCCAGCCTTAGCCATACCTTTCCTTTGACCCTAGCCTACCCTACAAGCAATCATCTCACTACAGTAACCCAAAAACCGCAAAAAATATTTTTTTATCAAAAAATCACTGCAAAAACACTTCACCCTCCCCCGACCTCATCAATGTCTACTACAATATCAAAACAACCTCAAAAACCACCCCAGATACAGGTGAACTTCCGCCGACAACTGGTAGAACTTGAATCAGGTCGTAATCAGTAAAAATAAGTTTATTCGTTGAACCCCTGACTTTTGTTCGTCGTTCCGCTTTCCGCTGGAACAATACGACAATGAAAACAAAGGGAAAACGTCGAAATTACGAGAAAAACGTATAAAAAGTTTTGCAACAAAGTTTCGAGAAAATACACGGGAAATTAGAATTTTAATTGAATTTAAAAAAAATTTAAAAAAAAATAAAAAAATTTGATATTTTAAAAATTTTAAAAAATTAAAATTTTAATTAGATTTCAATAAAATTTTATATAAAAGCCCTAACTCCAGCACTAGATGGAAAAATGTAGCTCTAGTACTAGCTCTAGTCCTAGCCAAAAATAGAAATTTTTAAATTTTTAAAGTTTAAAAAAACAAAAATACTAAAATAAAAAAAAATAAAAAAAATGAAAAAACAAATTTAGACCGCAAGAACTTTCTTTACAAAACTAAAAATGGCAAGAAATTTTTTTACAAAACAAAAAATGGCAAGAACTTTCTTTACAAAACATAAAATGGCAAGAACTTTCTACAGAAAACAAAAATTTGCAACAACTTTCTTAACAAATCAAAAAATGGCAAACACTTTCTTTACAAAACAAAAAATAGCAAGAACTGTCTTTACAAAACTAGAAATGGCAAGACCTTTCTTTACAACTCTTATAATGGCAAGAACTTTGTTTACAAAACATAAAATGGCAAGAACTTTCTTTACAAATCAAAAAATGGCAGGAACTTTCTTTACAAACCCTAAAATGAAAAGATCAAAGTAGGTAAAGTATTATATTACTATATCATCAGATGACACTTTTTGTAACAAGACTAATTTTAGTTCTTGTAAGCTTAAAATATTATACAAGAAAGATAACGAACGTATTTTCCGTTCATTTTGTTTATTTGAACAAAGGTCAATTTTCTTGTTTGGCGGTCATTTTTGTAACGTTACGAGATAATTTTAAGAGCTTTTTTATAAAATTTTTATTTTGAAAAATTTAAAACAGTTAAAACTTTTTTTTACAAAAAAGCAAAAACTTTCCTTACAATACAAAAAAATAGCAAGAACTTTCTTTACAAAACAAAAAATGACAAGAACTTTCTTTACAAAACGAAAAATGGCAAAAACTTTATTTACAAAATATAAAATGGCAAGAACTTTCTTTACAAATGAAAAAATTGCAAGAACTTTCTTTACAAAACAAAAAATAGCAAGAACTTTCTTTACAAAACAAAAAATGACAAGAACTTTCTTTACAAAACGAAAAATGGCAAAAACTTTATTTACAAAATATAAAATGGCAAGAACTTTCTTTACAAATGAAAAAATTGCAAGAACTTTCTTTACAAAACGAAAAATGGCAAAAACTTTATTTACAAAATATAAAATGGCAAGAACTTTCTTTACAAATGAAAAAATTGCAAGAACTTTCTTTACAAAACAAAAATAGAAAGAACGTTCTTTACAAAAAGTAAAATTTTAACAATTAAATAAAAAATTTGTTTTTAAATTATGAAAAGCATACTTTGAACTTTTGAATTCAAATAAATCATAAAAAAAAGCTTTGGAAAAAAAAGCAAAACAAAGCTGACTAAACAATTAAAAAGTAACGTTTTAAAATTTTAAAATTTTAAAATATATACGCCAAGTCGTAACCCTAGCCACACTTTGATTCAAGCCAAAATCAAAGTGTATCTTCCTTCCTTTTCTAAATCCTTCCCATGCTTATTATGAATAAATATCAACGTTACTCTTCCCCTACTGTTATTACAAATCCTCGCATACGAAAATAAATAAAATACCACGGCGACGTCATCTGGTTTTATGGGATCATGTGGAATAAAAAAAGAGAAACTCCAAGTGCAAGAATGTCTCGTGGCGAGTCAGACGATTGATGGTAATATGTTATTTATGGAAACATATCATCTGTTTACCGTTATAATTTATTGTAAAGTAGTTGATATCGTATATTGTAAAGTAGTTTATTGAGATTGTAAAGCGTTTGAATTGTAAATAATGTCATAGCAGTATTTCAGTCAAGAAAAAGTATTTAAAAAAGCAAAAAGTAAGTCCTACCCTACCCTACCCTACCCTACCCTACTGATGTTATAAGAAAAAAAGTAACTTTCTTTTCAACATTTCTCGTTGTTAAAAATAGACGAGAATGTACTTTCTAGTGATTACTGATCACGGATAACCAAATAACAAAAAGTACGTCAGGGTTTTAGGGGATAAATGGAAGAAAAATAATGTCCAAAACAAGATATTCGGTTCAAAAAACCCTTTCCTAAACAAAGGTCAGCGCAATTATACTATAAAAGAATAAAATATAAAGGATGATCTTTAGTCTCCTTTTGTAAAAACAAATAAATTAAGGATTTGCACGTTTCTTCAGAAAATGCCACACTTATTGCAAA